AAATTAATCCCCAGTCTTAACGTTTCCTTTAGCTCAAGACAGCGGTAGACTGAGAACTACTCATGAGAAATTCAGATTAAGACTGCATAAAACTTCGATGACTAACTCGTTATCCTATTTCCACGTATGTAATAAATACTGAAACTCCTTGGAAGTGTTTCATTCCGGCAATGGTCCTTTTGGGTCAGTTATAATTAATATGTCATTCCTTTCACAAAGTTTGTCAAAATGAATGTTTGACCACCCGATAGAACTGCTAAATTCCTTTAAATATACCTCCTGGGTTCTGGTATCTCTTCGGCCGTGGCACTTAATGATATCTATATACAAGGTCCTCTAACGGAGAAGGCTTCGTCACATTATCTAACGCCGACAACGCCTCCATGCCTTTCCATTAACGTCTTTTTGTTTGTTATACCCATTAAAATCATATTGTTTATTATAGTGCCATTTTGCAAATGTGTATCGAAACCCAAGGCATTCATGGTTTCTATGATGCCTGGATATTTCAAAACGCTCTTTGATTAATTTGAACCTGTTAAAATGTTTTAGTAAGTTTTACAGATGTATCGTTAATTTTTCATATAACATTTCAGTTTTTCTAACATCAAGGAAAATTTCGTGTTACAACATTAACCCAAATGTTCACATGCACAGGAGAAATCAAAAGCAAGTTTAACCTTGATTTACGATGGCCACTTTCGAAAACTCGGTCGATTATATCATTTTTACAATTACGTTTGTTTACAATTACGATATAATATGAAGCATTAACATCTTATATGGCTTTCCTAACCTGTAAATATACTCCGAGCGCGCTTCTTCTCTCAGATCAAAGTAGCAAAAAGATCATGACTCTGATGCTATCTTAACGACGCCTTTTCATTTCATAAGGCCTAGCAGGCTCGTGGGTGTCAGTCTTTTGAAGACAGATGGAGGAAAATTTCCAAATTTGTGGGATGTTTGTTAAACCAAAAACGACTCCAAGTGACTGATTTGATTAGTGCAGGAAATTCGTCATGTAGTGTTGATTTAAGAGTATTTCCATGTTCTGGTAATCACGTTCGGTTTTTTCAGCAACTCTAAACAATGAAAGTATGAGGTCAGAAACATTTGTTTTGAAATAAAAAAGTTGTAAAAAATGGTACTGGCAAGATGAAAATCAAACAGACGACTTCAAAGAAAGTCCAAGCATTTGTCAGTCAACTTCTTTCCTTTGTATTTCTGGGCGTGTCAGTTTCTTCAACTGTAGTGCTGATCAATTCTCACGAGACTGTTACGAGCAATAAATCAATCGCTTTAATTTGACAAGTTTGAAATGTACAGGGAAACCTTTTATGTACAGGGGAAAAGGAAGAAAGAAAGTGATACGACAATTTCCTGCAATCTCAACGGATTGAAAGCATCTTTAAGTTTTTGGGCTGTAACGGAAAAAGAAGGAGTAGAAACTTTATTTGGTTCTTTTGGTTGAGCAAGACGAATTTCCGTCTTGTAGGAGCACAGACCTCAGTCATTAACAAAGAAGTCTGTCCATGAGAGATGTTATGGTCCCAGTTCTACTAAACATTGTTCAACTAAGGGGTTGGGGAAGAGGTGGGTTGGGAACGGGGAATTATCCCTCGTTTTTCTACCTTTTGCAGAAAAAAATCTTTAAATTCAGCTTACAATGGGAAAGGACTGAACACAGACCACCATCATATTAAGTAACTATGTTTACTCTTTTCAAATCAGTTTTGGTTTCCTTCTGACGGAAAAATTGGTTATAAGACGCAACATGATGATTTGAAGGCTCCTTCTTACGCATGCTCTATGTTTCAAGCTGTGCAAAAGCATCAGCAACTATACGGAAAATTGTTAGTTGAAAATAAACGGCGCCTGACTTCGTGTAAACAACAAACGTGTTTGAGCAGGTCTGAAAATGTCCCACACAATGTGTCGAAAACCCTATTTCAACACTGCTTTGATGAGAGAGCTTAAGCACCACACGTTAGTTATCGCCTGGGGGATCAGAGGATTTTTTTTTTGAGGGGGGGGAGGGGGAGCTCAAATAGTTTTAAGAGGGAACGAAGGGGGAATCAGTCTTTGCTAAAAGAGTTTGAAGGGAGACTTAAGAAAATTAATCGTCAATGAATGGGAAGGGGGGGAGGGTCATTTAATTAGTGGCAGAGTCTTATGGGTAAATTCTATAGTGACACAATTAAAATCCCGAAGCCCCCCTATGAGTGTGTTAGTGCTGACCGTCCATCTGCCTTCACTTTTTTGCATAAGAAAAGTATAAGTTGGAAATACTGACCACTTATTTTATCTCAAGAAGAAATGAAATATCTTGTGGTGCTAGCAATCACGAGATCCCTCTAAAAAATTGCAACCGAACTGTGATCTTTTTTCAGAAGGAGCAGTGATCCTCATAGCGAGAGCGCGCACAAATTACAAATGTACCTCTTGTCAACGAAGAAATAGCAAGCTGAAATTTAACATGCACAGACGTTTGCGTGAGTACAGGCGTGATCCTAAACCGTAAAAATGTCGACGTCTGTAATTTTATCGGTTAAATTTTTAATGCCTTTCGCTCGTCTGAAAAACAAAGCGGCAACATGAATGGACATGTTTTTTGAGGATACATTTGGTTGAAGCTTTCGTTACTTAAATCCGCAGAAATTTACTGAATAAGGTTTGAAATGTTTCTTGTAAAGGAATTCCCTTTCTGTTTTCGAGATATCCTGTTCTACCTTGGAACAGGATATTACTGTTTCTTTGGTTGTTTTGGCGGTTTGTCGTCTGGTTTAGGTCAGAATTTCCGTATTCAGCTCAACAAGCCATGTTAATCACGGAAAAAGAGCGAAAAAGTAGCTGGCAAGAATCTTTAATACACGACACTAAGGAACCCGTAATGATCCATATATTTGTAATAGAGTAATAGCCTTGTCTTCCGATTGGTAACCTATCTCTAAGATATTCGACCAAGAAAACGCGTCAGAAAAAAAAATTGTCAGAGCTATTTTCGTCTCAGGATCTATCGCGTGATTCTCGCTGTCTTTCAACGTGTACGAACACTTCGTTTTGACAGTCATGAATATGAAAGGAAAAAGTCGCGCTATGAAAACTATGTCTACCTTGTGGTCAGATAACTTCCTCATTGGAGAAATTATTTCACGTTCATGATAAGGTACCTTCTTCTCTATTTCGTTTTCAAAACTATATTTCTTCGTCTCAGCAAAAGCAAAGCAAAATGTCAGAATTAACTCGTATGTTTTTTTTTACCCTCTGTTGTTTTCACCCATACGCTGTGGTGCCCCTATGTTTTTAAATGAAGACTTATTTTATGTTACTTTTTTCATCTATGGCCCTTTATTTAGCTCTCTACCTTTTAAATCGCGCCCAATACCCCTGTGGACTTCACGGCTTAAATATTTTATGACTGTACGATTCCCACCTTTTTCTTTTCATCTAGAAAGCAAGATGTCTTATGTTCGATACGTAACTCTTTTTAACAACCCCAGACTTCCGTCATTATCTGTGCCAACACTGTAAATGAAGCACTCTGTTTTCAAACGTCTCCAATTTGCAAAAGGCGTTTCGGAATAAAAAACGGCTCAAGGTTTTCCAACGTTTTAGTGCCTACACCAAGCTTGGTTGGGCCGAAACGACTTTTGAATAAATTGGACGACTTTTGGTGGACTGAAAAACTTTCGTGGACTAAAAGACTTTTGCAGACTGAACGACTTTTGTAGACGGAAAGTCTACCGTGTGGACTGAAGTACATTTGTAAGGATCCTTACCATGTAAGGTCTTCTGTGTGGACTTAGGGACTTTGGTGTCGTCTAAAGGGCGACTTCCATGTGGATTGGACGACGTTTTTGGGAATAAACGACTTTTGCGGGTTAGAAAACGTTTTTTGGATCGAACAACTATTATGAAGACTGCATGACTTTTGTGTGGATTAAACGAACCGTTTGGCCAAGGTTACTGCAGTGTTTGTTTTAATGTCCCTCGTTAGTCCACTCGGGCTAAATATTTTGACAACTGAATAAAGGTTCTTCTCTTCTCTTTTTAAGTGGCAGGTCGAGTTTTATTAATGTGGTCTAAACGACTTTTGTGTGGACGGGTCGTTTGACGTGTCGATTGGTTCTGTGGACTAAACAACGTTAGTGCGAGCGGGACGATATTCGTGTAAAAATGGACGACGTTTCTGTAGATTAAACGACTGTGGGGGCTGGTATGGTTGAGGTAAGATTGTTTGGCCGTGAGGGAGACTTAATTAAATATAGAAGTGAACTGAGAGTATAATAAACTTCGTATAAAACAAGATAATTTGGTTTTATCAATTGTGTTGATGAAGTAACGGTTGGCCACCGCAAAGAGTTTCTTAAGGTAAATTTGCGAGTGTTAGCCTTTCGATTTGCTGATTCTTTCAGTGGATCTCCAATTCAGATCGGTCTTTTAATTAAAAAATAACCCGTAGAAAAAGCTTTGGTTCTCAAGGAGATTCCGTCGTTTAGAAGATGACGCTTATAGTGCCTAAACTATTGTGGAGGTTCTCTTAAAGTTCTCTTGATGGTTCCATCTTAAACTCTTCAACAAAAGTTGATAATTCCCAAGTAGGGTTGACCTTTGCCTAGGAAAAGGCGCACATGGGTTTGAAATATATCCTACATATACGACTTCGTCTGAACAGTTGTCTCGTAGTGTTGTTATAGTTGATAAAATCGTGTTAAAACTTATGACAGAGTCTGGGAATGTTTTTCCAGTTACCCCAAATCTCATCAAAGGTGAGACTACGGGGCTCCTTAAAAGTGGCTTAAGTCTCAGGGCTGATGCCATAGACAATAACTAACGGAAGTATATAGCTTAAGAAAACAACTTAATGGTTTATTCGTCGAATATCATAGTTTCAGAACAATATTTAATTCCTTTCTCAGTACATATATTTTGACATTTATATCATTTTGTGCATTGTTGGCATTCTATAGATCCATCTAAAAGCGGGCACAAAAAAAAAATTCATTGAAGTCACGATGGTGGCTCACATTGTTCTTTATTATGAACAATAAACTTAAATCATCTTTATAAATCTTAACATTGCGAAAGACGTGTACAGATGCTACCTTTAGGTTCGAAGGAACAAACCAGTTGGATCGTAACGTCTTTATCTTGTTTATAATTGACGCTGAAGGTGCCTTAAATATGCTACTAGGAATAAGATCAGACTCAATATAGGCTAGGTAGAGCTCGATAAGATTATCCGAAATTTTGAACTATACTTACTGGTGAAAAAGAAAAATGAATACCTGCTTTGTTCATATTTAAAAGCTTATGAGGCGGAGCACTGTGTTAAGCTGTTACAGGTTACTTAAACCAAATGAAACCTAAACACACATGCGGAAATCTGGCGCAGAGTTAATATTTTTTAAGAAGTGATGTTAATGGGAAATGCTAACAAAAGAGGATATGCAGGAGCTGTTTGAATAGTTAACATCTAAACTTCTTTCCTGCTCAGCCGGTAATAGTTATTCTATTCTCACCAGTTCGAGGACGAGCTTCTTTTACATCTAATATATACAGCCATATGGCATAATACACACTAAGAATTTCTTCTGAAGAGTTATAAAGCTTGGTGGCAAATTTCATGAAATATTGGAACTTTCAGCACATCATAGTGGATTCTAATCGATTCCGGGACATCTCATTTGAGACGGGTCCAGCATTTGACATATAGGAGAAGTACTGTTCGTGGCTTGGGTAGAAATGAGCTTGCGGTGACGAAGTGGGCCCAAAATTAGACGGAGGGAATCCATTCATTCCGTTATTGATAAATTTTTGATAGTTGGCCTGTCTGTGGAAGTTGGCCATTTCTTGCATATTGTGTTTGCTAGGCCAATTGGGACCATTAAAAGTAAAGTTGTTGAACTGTTGAGGGGGTGCCTGTGCTATGGGGGATGGCTTTGGCGATGGATCTTGGACATGCTGTGAAGCAGGTGGCGTGGGGCTCTTTCTTGGCTTAGCTGCTGTTGGTTTAGGCTTGCTTGGGGCGCCTTGTTGTTGCTTGTTTTGCTGTCGAAACTTAGCCCTTCTGTTTTTAAACCATACCTAGAAAAGATAAGGATAGGATTAGCGATCAAAATGTTAGAGGAAAATAATTTTAAACAGTTTTCGAGTCATTCATAAAATATGGAAAGCGAGGCGACAAGATTTGGATTTACTTGGTTGCTGAGCTAAATGAATTTGCCATTACATTGAGTTGGGCCAAAAAAATATAAATAATTTGTACTAAATAGAATGATTTAACACTAAACGTAAATGGTTGAAATGCCACATTATTGAAAAAAAAAAAAAAAAATTAAAGTCGAAAAAAAGTTTTATGATATTTTAAGATAAAAAGGTTCAAATAGGTACATCAAATTTAAACTGTAGTAAGATTTCATGTATTCTACCAGGCTAAGGCTAAAAGCAAGATAAAATTAAAAAAAAATAAAAGCATGTAGCGTTCGGACAAAAAGCAGGGAGTAAACGTCGCGTGAGTCCAAGGTGTGATAAGTGATACCAAACACTTGAAAGGCCACCAATTCAAACAGAGCTTCCAAAACTCCGTGTCTCAACTCACGCTAACGAAAATCACGAATTACTCTATTTGTATCGCAATATTGAAGAAAAAGCATCAAACTAAAGACTTGAATTACTTCTGTTTAATCAGTTTGCTTCATTTTGCTTTCTTCCATAATTTTTTCGCCGGTTTTTCACTAAAAAACATGTTTCGTGCCATTTTTCAACACGTGTTCAAAGTTGGCCCTATCTGTTCCCGACGCGGGCGTTCTGCTTTAAGATAACAACTCTTTGTAAACAAAAGAGTTAAATTCAGTAACGTTGATAAACAGAGTAATTTGTGGGTAATTAAGTACTTATAATCCGCTATCACCCAAGTAACGCCCCTTAAAAACAAAGTCAAGAAGATTTTGGGCATATCTATCATCCTTATAAAATGCTAATTGTCTCCGTAGGCCACGCAATGTAAGACATGACCAAAAATAGCTCGAAATATTTGAGAGCGACGATTAAAATGGCTAGGCGGCGACAGTCCTTAGTTGATTACAATATACATTAGCAGAGAATTAAAAGCTCACTACTTCGTCGTTTTAAGTAACGCAGATATCAGTGAAGCACACCGGTGATTCTAATGGCAATATGTCAAATTATTTGATGCGGGGAAGACGCATGAATGATTCTGTGAAAGTGGTGTGACTTAAAACTTGCTCTGGCCAATAAAATCTAAACAACAAAAGAATTAGGAAGATTCAAGAAAAGCATGAAATCTGTCAACTGTCTTGGAAGCAACACATTTTTTTCCAAGTAGGACATATCCCACAACAGGGGGCCTGGTTCTCCCAGTTACGAGAATACACCAAAAAATAATCCTTTTGTCTCAAGACGGATCTTTGCTCTCACCTGTACTCTGCTTTCCGGAAGATTAATTTTCATAGCAACTTCCTCCCTCATAAAGATGTCCGGATATTTTGTTTTAGCAAATAGCTCGTCCAGAATTTCAAGCTGAGCTTTGGTGTAAGTCGTACGCTCACGACGTTGTTTTCGTGGAGGTCCTAGAACAAAAGAGGACAACTATTTAATTAAAAAAAATTATAAAAAACGGTTACATGAAGAAAAATATACTTTGTAAAGAACTGATGGGATTGTGTTAGTCTGTCTTGCGTTCGATTTCAAAAAGAAGCAATAATTTTTACAATTGTCTTGGAATTTCAGCTCTACGCAGGTTTCAGTGGATGGATCAACCACATTTAAACGGGTTCTCAAGGAATAAGTTTCCAATTATTCTTGTCCAGTTCCATTTTGAAATATATTTATGGAGTCCAACAATCAGGTAAGTCAGACCCGACCCTCCTACATCTAGGACTTTCATTCCTTTCCGTCATTTTAGAATCCAGTTGTGCCCATCATAATTCATATTTCGTAATACTTATCCTCAACAAGAATCTTCGAGAAGCAAGCTCAAGTACTCGAGTGCTACAGCTGTAGCTGCTTACATTCAACTCGCTGCTCTCAAACTTATAAAATGGATAATACGATCCTCTTTGGGTCTTTGTAAGTGACTCTTCCTAAATTTTCAAGTAGACATTTCCACCGTTTGCCAAACATCTCAAATCCCAAGACAAACTTTTTCGATCACAAAACATTAAAGTTAATACCTTCAAAAACCTTGACGTTATACATTGGGGACAGCCAAGACACGGCATTAAACCTGGCCAAGCAAACTCCATATTGCAAGCTAACCGACTTCAAGTTTAGTTTAGTCCCAAAGCATTAATTTATATCTGTCTTCTTATACCAAGCAAAACACGTACGAGTGGTGGGCTTGGTTATGTGATTGGGTTGTATATACCGCTTTTTGTCAGCCTTAATCTCTATATCAATTAGGAAAATAGCAAACCAGCTCTTAAGGTGGCTGTCCAATAAGGGATTATCCAGGGTTTTTCTGACAGACTCCCGCATTTGAATGGATTATAATGCTGATGCATAAAAAAAATTGTCAAACTTACAGCTATACCCTCATGTGTTACTCGACGAGTGGGGAACTCATTGAGCAAACTTTGAAGAGGTAACGATATAAACGACGTGAACAGAAATAATACAAATGAACACTAACTAGTGCAATTATGTGCAAGAAAAAAACACTTTTTTTTTTTTTACTCCATTCTGGAAAAACTCAAGTGTAAATTCAGTTGACAATGCAAAGATTCCGTTTACTACATCATTAAAAGAGGAACCTTCATTTTCCTTTGTGACCTGATGTTTAAGAATCTCAACCAATCGTGATACTGACTTATTTCGAAACTGGAACAGCTCTGCTTGCATTTATGTTATTATCCCAGGGATTTGAAAAAACCATTGGATTAAAGTCATAAACAGGAAAAGACTAGGAAATTATGTTAAAAAAAAATCTATAAACACGCTAATAAGGTATGAAATCCTACGCGGTCACGTTATAAAAGTGGCAAAACGTGATCTTTAAGACAGAAAGATAGTGTAGCTGAGCACTGATTTCTCAGTAGAGATTTCCATGTTGTAAAATGTGAGTTTTGTAAGACGATAACAGTGATTATAATTTGTTGGGAAATTTTCAAAATGTCAAGTTCAGATGTACATATCTTATGCTTTAAGGTCTCGGAGGTGAAGTTATATTTTTCAGTGGAAATCTTTGAAATTCTACTTGAGAAATCTAAGGACAAAGAACTTCTGTTTTAGTTGTCTTTCTATGGCTGTTCATTTTCATCAGAGACTAAACAATCCTTTACGGGAGTCAGTCGAGAACGGTTAGCCTTAAAGCCACTTAGCACAATAGGAAAGATTATCAGGATTGAGACCAAATTTATGACATCAAGGCACGCAACCAAATCAGAGGACATTGTTTATCACTGCACTCTTACCATACATCACAGCTTCGGTCGGGTCGTAAAAATCCATGCTCTGTGGACGACTGTAGTTGTACCCGTTCATTGTACAGGGTGGCAAACGTCCAAAAATACCATTCATTTCTGATCGTGTCTGATGTTCCGCAGTAACTATTGTGTAAGCAGGAGAAACTTAATGTTAGAATCACCTATTTGACCCTGTGGAAGGAACATTCTCATGTGACCTACTGGTATTGTCCTGTTTTGAGAAAGAAAAATGTCAGTGATCGATATGACAGTTGGCAAATTGACATTTCTTCTACCGGTCCATTTTGACACTTAATAAATGGCGTTATCTTTCGATAAGATGGGATAAATATGGTTATCAGTCTGTTGACGAGAGATAATCTCATCACGGGCACGCAAATTTTTAAACGGTAAGCCTCCCTGCTACGATCTCTGTTCCGTATCATGCACCTGATGATGCACGTGATTTGAGTCACTCTCATAGTGTGTTCTTTGTTTCCCCACTGCGTGATTCACGGTTCCTTTATACTGGAAATTAACCAGCTTTAATTTTTCTGTTTCATCAAATAAAATCCACACAAACGTCTCCCATCTTCGACCGTTTTTACTCCTTTTTCGTTCGTTTTAAATACACTGAGTTTTCAAAGTATTCTCCATACTATTAAAGTATCTAATGCAGTTTTATTCATCGAAAATATAACTCATGTATAATGACGCAATTTCTTTAAATACCACCAACACCGAGAATACCTCTTATTCAATCATTTTTTTTTGTTCGTTGTAACTACATCAGCTTTGCTATAGTGTCTGCAAGAAACTGTGCGAAAGAACTCCATAATTTGTAAGCGCCATATTACAGGGAAAAATAGAGCAACTGCGGCTGTATCTATTTACGATGAGTAGTTCACCATACTATAAGCGTTTTTGGAGAAAAAAATAACATCTTATTCGAATCTTCAAAGCCAAATGAACATAGGAAGAAAAAGAGGTAAAAAATCTTCTTTTTTTTGCGGAACGAAGTTCACTTTGTGATTCTCCTGCCCTTAAAAAGCAGAGGACGCTCGTAAATCTTGACACATAATAGTGCCGTCTTTCTTACGAAAGTTGCACGTCTGCCAATCGATTTCGACTTAAATCAAGTCTACACAGTGTTTGAATATAAATCTCCACGACCGTAAGAAGATAACGTACATGTTTTCACGGCTGCTGAATTATAAACCTCACCGCTAAGTGTTTCCAAAATTCTTTTACAGAAAAAAGGGAATAGAAAGTTTTCACATTTCCAAAGTTTTCATATTTTCATAGTAATGATAGTAAACCTTAGATCCCTGCGAAAGTCCAGCTAGGGAATTTGCGTTAAATATACTTTTATTACTTTATAGCTGGACAAAGAAAACCTGTTCTTAATGAGTTCAATTTCTGATTCTTCAAAAATCATGATCCCGTTGACGATTATTGTTGGTGAGATGCCAAAAGATAACATTTTATCGTCATTTTGTGGCCTCCAATGCTCGGCCTTTGTCAACGCATTGAAGACGCCAAATAAAAGTATCTAAAACTTACGACGATCATCTTCAATAATAAACTTTCACAGGATATGTGTGGTTTAAAAATTTGAAACTCACTGCAGCACCATTTAGATCGTCATATATTGATCAAAATTGGCAAATGTTATGTCTCTCACCTTAAAATCTTAAGTACATTGCCACTAAAAGAGAAGTGTAAACTTTCGAGTTGTTGAGTAGCAGATGGGAAGAGCATGGCTTTTCAAACAAGTTTATTTATAGTTCTGCTTATTTCCGGACCAAATATATATTCTATGGCAAGATATCAATGGATAATTATCACGTTCTAGTTATATTCTACCTTTATTATTAGATAAAAATTTAGTTTTTCGAGAGACTACTCCCTGGAATTAATTCACTTTTCTGGCGAGTGTTGCTTATCGAATATTAGAGCAAACGACACTCGGGAAAATGCGAAGGAACATTTACCCTAAGTTCATGGTATTTGTCGTTGTCGAGGTCTGTTTAATGAAATGCTCGGGAAGAGATAAGCTGGATGAACACCAGATTAAATTAATGTCTGTGAAGCAAAGTGAACTTAACACAACGAGAAGGAAACATAACAAAAATGCGATTCGTAAATAAATTCGTACAAACAGAAGACAAGAAAATTTTACTCTTATCACGGGATATATACTAAAAACTTGAATGGGTGCAAAAAGTATTTCTCTAATTTTATTTCGCAAGAATGAATTATTTCGCAACTTCTAATGGGCGTGACGTTGTCATATCGCAACAGATATAGTATCAAGGAAATCTGGAGAATTCAACATTGAGCTGCAGCCAGAATAAACGAAAACGCGTACCGGACGGATAAACACATGCACGTAATCCTAAAAAATTTGACGTTTTCAAAAACGTCACGGAACAGACTGGCCAAACACCGGCATACATCACGTACTAAGAATGAAAACTGATCTTTTTGTAGTAACTATGGAGGATGGATATTTTGCGGGGGATTTTGGCAACATTTCAGTGAGTATGTTTTAATTAGGTAACTAAGTTACACGCCTAAAACAGCCGAAGTTAATGTCAAAGGGAGGAAAAAGAAGAATGAGGAGCGAACAGAAATGTCCCTTGCATGGTCATTTCCGATGAAGACTATGTTACAACAAAAAATTTCATGATAAATTTCCCATTTCAACTATGGAATTTTTTTCAATTTTCACAAACCAAATTCAGAACTCTTGTCAATATATTTTGATTTGGTGAAACTGTCAAAAATCGCCTAATAAGCCCCAACAATTAAAAGCTAGATTATCTTTATTAAATCTTTAAAAGTGTTTTTTGTGCCGAAGATACTTAACTTTCTGGTCGTAAGTTTTTAAAAATTTAATATGCACTGAGTATGCTCATTGAGACATTCTGATGATTTGTGAAGATCAAAGCCTCAATTTGAGCTACTTTGACCGACAAGTCAGAGCAATGCAATACTACATCTGTAAAGTGCTGAAAGCACTAATTGGGCCATTGAGCCTTTTAAAGTGAAAGACGTCTACGAAATTTATGTTCACATTAATTTTTTTGTTTCAGTTTACTAACCTTAGTCCAAAACTACACGAGATTTTTCCAATAAGTTACAAACTCCTTCTCATTTCTCTCTTTTCCCGACGGGAATGTAGTGTTGTTCGTTGCTGATGTTGTCTTAACTGAGAGTTCGTGCAAGCATTACAATTATCTTTGAATCAAGACTATAATTAGATCACTCTGTGACGTCAATCAATTTAGGAAATAGTGTCTGCGAGGAACATCCACGACCGACCACATCTTCCGGATGTAGCTCCATGAAAAACTTTTCATGTTCCATAAAAAATCCAATTAGTCTTTAAAAATTTATGAGAGGATTTATGACATCCTTACTTAACCACTGCCAAGCTTAGCTTTTAAAAAACCAAAAACACCAAACAGGATAACAAATCACCCATGGCAACATATTTTGTCTAGGTACCAACTAGTAGGAGACATCGTTTACATTGAACAGTCAAGAGAACATATCCAGTGAATAGCATGGTGATGAGATTGATCCCAGGACCACCGCATTGCGAACCAAATGCTTTGGCCTCTTGGTCATGTTCCCCCCTACTAAACCTTGAACACCTCCTCCCCTCCTCCCCGAGCAAGTTTCGCACAATCTAACCGAGGCTCTTCTGCCTTTGTTAACTTTTCGCCTTTTCTCCGCTTTTGTTTAGTTACAATGGTAAGTTATGATCAACCAGACCGTTAATAGCCTCATAGGTGATAAAAAGGTAGATCTTAATTGCTGGTGATAGGTTGGTTTACAAAACAAAACAGAAAGACAGCCTGTTTCCCTTTTCAATGATTCAAACAAAATTTAAATTAGTAAACCTCGAACTGTGTAAACTTTGCTATCCTCTTCAATAAAGGAACCTACAATTGTGCTGTTCTTTGGTTGTGAAAATTTTGATGGGTCAAGGTTATGAGCTGTCATGTCAGATAATCCGCTGACCTATCTGTGTGGCCCCCTTGTCCTACAAACACTTTAGAATTCATGAAGAATTGGAAATAGAGAGGACCTTTTCAGTCAAAACTAACTTAATCTCTTCAATGTCTAGCCACGTGGGAACTTTGATTGTATCCGTGTGGAAAATATCAAGGTAGCTCTACACATCTTACAATAGCGCAATATTTTAGAAATAAAAAATAAGTTTTAAAAGTCCTATCTTGGAAAGATAATGATTTTAACAAGTATAAACGGAAGAACTATGATTGTTTTTACAGGTTGTCGCTAGCCTTGGCCTTGGTACTTAACTGGTTTTGTCAAATAACAAGATCACATTATAGCACGTTGTAACCATCAACAGTTTTATGGTGGTAGTATTGTTCAATTAAGGCATAAGTGATCTGATACGTGCAACTCAAACGATGCCATCATCAAAAAAAAAAGAAAATACTGTCGAAATTAGTATTTTTTTCATAAAAATTTGTGGATTTTTTTCATTTGCCTGATTACAAAGAAAAGTCATCAACGATTTAATTTTTTTTTCTTATTTCAACTACCAGGTTCTTTTTCTGTAAAGTTTACCGAAAGAAAAGAATTTGAAAAACAAACAAAAAACCTTAATTGAAAGCATGTAATTTACCAAAATATCAGAATATTCTATCATACTTTGTAGCTTGCCTGAAATTTACCATAACTGAAGCAACTATTTTTCAGTTGCTGTACTTAACAGTATGGTTTTCCTCATTATTAAATGAGGTTATCTCAAAAATTGTTCACGAGATTTTTTTCCCCACATAGGGAACGTAAAGATTAATTGAACATTAACTTAAGTAACGAAATGGAATTGTGAATTCTCGGTCTCTATTCCAGTGATTGCATGCAACTGGCATTGCATTAAGAAGCTAGGGTTGTGGACAAAATTAATCTCGTCCTTCTCTGATCTCTGTTTCAGTAATGCATTGAGTTTTGACTTGTTCACCTAAAACCTCCAATTGAACAGCAGAGAGTCTTGTAGGAAAAAACCCACAACTTTCGACTTTTCTTTATGAAACGTTCGTTATGATCAAAGAATGCCAGTTACAAAGCAATCAAGGCGAAGACTGCAAGACAGGTCATTCGTTTTTTGAATGCTGGCAAAGACAAATTTCGTTTCTGTTACATACTTCCTACTATAGACCATTCAAAGCTTATAAAAATAAGAAAAAATGGAGAGAGAAAATATTAATCCAAAGAAATTTTTGAAAGCGAATCTTTGCGTCAGTAATAAGGATACCTTTAAGCAAGTTATAACCAAGAAACACCCATATAATAAATGCAATATCTAACGACGACAAAATATGTGGGATAAAATTAGCACTCATTTTATAGATCAAAATTATCCATATGAAACAATCCTTGTCAGTTTAACGAGAGGATTGCGCAAATTTCATAACTTAAAATGTTTCCCGATCTTTCTGCACTTTAGGTCATGGTAGAGGAGAAAGAGTAGAGTAACTAAATCCTAAAATCAAACGATATTTCACCTTTATCGTCCGTGTTGCGGCTTTCGTAAAAGTTAGGTTTGATCCTCGTGGCCAAAAACGTTCCTTTTTTTGTTCGTTTAAGGCGTCACTTCTTTGCGATGCCAAAATAATGTGCTTAAAACTTGGCATAGTTTGCATATTTGCCTTTCGTGCAACGTAGTTGACTTGGAGACATTTCAAGTGGCGTGGAAAGAAAAGAAAGTTTTTGCATACTTGTCGTGTCACTGAAGAAAAATATCAGAGCTGAATATGTCTTGCTTTCGTTCTGATTTCACCTTAAAGGTTACAATTGTGGTAATCTCGGAATAGTTGTGGGATACAAATTTAGGATGAATCTAAATTAACTTAAAATAAACAATTTTTAAAAATATAATCACGAATGAGAAGAAACTGGCTCAAATTTGGAAAACTCCAGAAATGCATTGGGATTGCTGAAATTAGAGTTGCAGACTAGTGTGGCGTAGCAGTTATTGTCAAAAATATTGACTTGGATTAAGGAACTTATTTGGAGACGTGCATGTTCGACCTCCGTCTGGAAGACTCTCAGGCGCTTCGTACGTTCTATCTCGCTTCGAACACTCCACGGAATTGAACTAATTGAATTATGACAATGACCCAAGCATTTTTTTCCTTCGGCTTCTTCTTCTTTCTGAGTTTCTACGGGTTACGTCTATAAACGTGTGAATGGTGTGTGTGTGCGTGTGTGTGGATAGCTCGAGGGAGTGTGTTTAAACTCATGACATAAATGCTCAAAGACGAAAACGTGTGTTGGTAGTGTGGTATCTGGATAATAATTTTCTTTTTCAAGGCTTAATGCCTCACTCTATGTATTCAAAATCAACAACAGCGTTCTCTTCTGACTAAGGAAAAAATACATAATTGATTCTGACTAAAACTTCAAGTTACGTGAAAGAGGAATTTGTTCATGTTAAGAAACTCTGGAATTTGAACCCTGATCCGGACATTTGTTGAGGATAATTCCTCACAAGTGGACCGCAAGGTGCAAATTTGACAAATGTTCATACGGTTTTGAACGAAGACTTTATGAAAAACTACTTAAAAGGATGAAATGATTCCGAGTTGCTTTACTTGTATGCAATCAGCCGTAGCTTTCAGTGCAAGACTCTGACAATTTGTAGGACGAGTTTCCATGTTCCTCAAATCCGTGGGAAAGGGAACTTAATGACGTAAATATACAATAGACGGTTACACATGAAAATTGTGATCCGTCATTCAAGAACAAAGATGGTTCACACTTTAGGAGTGTACTGTAGAGTGAGGGTCAGATGGTGAGGTAGTTTCGAGTATGATGAATTGGTCCTTTTTAAGGCATCAGTGTTCAATGGATCGATCACACTGTGAAGAAATACATTTTACAACGTGATAACTGTTTACACGAGAAAGAAACGATGAATCAAACTAAGTTCCAACTGTAGGATTACATCGCAGAATATAGGTTGGAAAAACTGACGTGACCTGAGTGTTGTGAAGTCCGTTGGAGGAAGAGGATTAATTTTGTCAAAATTATGTGGTCGATTTGTCAATAGTTGCTATGTTTTACTTAAGTGAGGTGGTTAACTTACCTTTAAGATTATATATTTCCTTTCAAAAAACCACAAATCTCTTGTATGAGACATCTTAGCATGGAAGACTTTAACGTAGCAATCAAAGCCAATCTTTCATCGATTATTTGAATAAGAAGCTCGCTAATACTTACAACTTATATCCCTCTGAGGTAAGGATCCGCGATTGTCACTAAATGGCCGTATTTTGTTCTCCTTTTTCTTCCAATAGTAAAAATAGGAAGTTGTTTTTCCAATGAAGTTCTTCCTGTACTTTACGGATGAAAGAGAACAATAGAATTCCGTGATGCAGGCATATTAAACAAAATTGCGTATTCAAGCAAGCAAACAACTTCCCTCTTCGTTTCGAGAGTATGTGTTGCTTAAATTCAAATAGTAATAACGCCTGGTTTCCTTATTTCAGTCTAAAGGTATTGTTTAGTCTCAAAATATCGTTTGGAGCACCAGATTGCCAAAATTTGCGCTAATATTAGCCGCAAAGCTAATTGCATCGAACCAGCACTATTATGCTTTGTTTTCCTGCTAGCAGAACGATCGCTCCTCATTGTTCCCTGTGTGGATACTGTCATTGTTTGTGACCACCGACTATAAAAAAGCTATAGCGGAATTTGTAGAAATGTTTATAAAATTACTTGTAGAGCGATGATTTATAAACGAAATAATAATAATAATAATATTTAAAAAAAGACTGCTCATATTCAAGGAAAGAGAGAAAAAGATTTTATCAAAGTTTTTAAAACGCACAGGATTCATTAGACGAAACTATCACTGTTGCATATTTAAAACGCACAGGATTCATTAGAAACTATCCCAGTTGCATTGACCCCCATTGCCGAGGCTGTCATAAGTGGCTGTCGTTAGATGATGGTCGGTTGAGATGGCTTCGACAAGTCGACCATAATTATATCTACCATGTATTAAAATTATATCCATTGATGGATCAAAGAAGATGCGACATTAAATTTTATGCTATTTGTGACACCCCGTGCTTATTTTTTCCCTATTGTACACTCTCATCATTACTTCTGTGTTATAAAAATGTGAATAGTAGAAATTGTGGAAATCCTTTGTTCTAACGGACAGAAAAGAGAGTCTCTAACTGTTTTGGTTTAACTTCCTTCCAAGAATTTTTGAAAGACGTGCTTAGCTTCCTAATTCCTATGAGATATTTTTCATGTGATATTTTTCACATGATGAGTGGAAGCATGTAGTCTGGTCTTCTCAGAGACACTTTAGAATCAGTCAAAATTGAATACTATGCCACGTACACAAAGTGACATACAAATCTAATTTACAAGGTATTAAGTTCCCAGATTTAATCATTTTATTAGCATGCTCTTTTATTGTGTTCTGAGGAACTTTACTGAGATAAACAGATTTCTTACTGTCGTGGAAATGACGTAAAAACGAATAAAGCACTTTCGTTTGATTGCGTGTTTCGTAGTCAAATTTGTTATCCGCGCGGCCTTCAATCTTATCCCCCACAGTTGCGAACTTGGAGGAAAATGTCACGCTCTTGCCATTGTTCTTGTGTAATATCCAATATTTGTGAAAATGAATGTTCAACGAGCTTCAGTTTTCAACCGGAGACAGAAAGGTGTTAGTTCATTACGATTTCTCACAGATTGCCAACGGAGGAAAAGTGGGAATTTTCCACGTCATTTACATCAAAATCTTGACTCACCGAGCAGCAAGCGAACTGTTTTTTATCAAGGATTACATCGTTATCCCATTATCAGCACATAATATAAAACATCGATCACCTTCGACGATTGAAGTAACTGCATTTAAACTTTCTTTTAAGGTTTCTGTCTCGTTGTTGACCATAGTGATCATATGCATTGAATTTCTCCAGACTGGTGCATGTTCTTTGGAATATGTTTCATTGCTGTTGTGCTTCTATGCACGAAAAACTTTTTTGTCTTATCCAAGACAGGAGATCGTTAAATTGGTTTAACTGTGTGGGTTTGTCAAGTATTGTTTAAAGCAACGCCCCCTCAATTTACACTTTGGTACAAAGCCTGTGGACACACCAAGGTCATTTTGACATCCCTGCGTTTAATACATAACAACAGACACTAATGATTCTTTTGTGCTAAACACTATGACAAAGGCTAAGAGAATTACGGGAAGTGTTTGTGTCAATTGAAAGTCAGTACCGTTTTCACTCATCGCCACATTTACTGTAGCGGATTGCACAATAAATTTATAAAATATCTGTCGATTTCTGCCACGGATTTGAGGAATAGTTGGATTTACATTTGGTCGGCTTACGATCCCTTACTTCGCAGACACCTAACAACATGGTCTTCTTATTGATTCTTACTGCCATAACGCTAAATTTCCTGAACCATTCGAACTCAAAAAACTAAGTAAGCGTATGGTAGAGTTTTAAGTTTTGGAAGGCAAACAGAGCTTTGTGGAAAGCAAAGTCAGGGAACTATGACAATACTTTTTCAAGAGATGAAGAAGTTAAACTATTTTTTTCTTGTCTTTTGCATTGGAGAAGAGATACACAATCATTTGACATCTTATCACATTCCCTTGGAATTGAAAGGAAAAGATTAAAATCATAAGACTTGTCATGGGTCACAAAGACCTGTTCTTAAGCAGAACACTGGTCTTGACGGAGCCGTTGAACGGATAATGAAGTTCGTGACGGGATCGCCTTTGAATCTCGGTTAAAGAAAGGCAACTAATAAAGTAGAAGAAAAGCTTATAAAAACCAGCTTTTATTTCGCAGTCGAGTGTTAAAAAGGAGTGGGTGATAGTTGCTATTTTAAATCGCTGTAAAAATTTGTTATACAACCGCGTACATCATTTATACTCTGACATTTGGTCACAACGATCTCTTTGAAAAGAAGATTTGTATTCGCTGAATGTTTCATTTCCAAAACCACAGCAAATTTAGCATAAAGCTTCCTTCCCTGTTTAATCAATAAAGACATCGTAGCATTTTCTCCGGAGAAACGTATGCTCATAGTCCATAGATTTTCAAGATACTGCGGCTTATAGTAGAACTGCGACTCATGATGTGATGTTAGGTATTTTGTGCCAAATAAATAACTGCTATAACGTCTTCTAATTCAAGTTTATATGCTCGCTGTTTTCAGCAAAAAACAGGCAGAGATTACTTTCGAACACAGAAGCGAGAAAAATCAGGAAAGAGGGCCGAGATGATCCGCTTTGATAAAAATTACATTGGTTATTTCGACCTCAGTCATGTACTGGATTCGGTCAAGCCGATTTGCTGCACGCCATAGCAAGATATTCAAAACATGCGACGCAAAATTTGGTTTACCACTAACTAGAAGAAAAGGCGTCAAATATTTGGGGCTACTATGTTAGTGTTGGGGTACAGAGCCAAAGAAACGATTAAGAAAGGCTTGTTTTTCTTCAACTGTTATGCTTTCCGCTTACCTTCAAATGTTTAATGAACCTCTCTTTAATCAACCTTGCCGGCTGCAACTATGGCTATCGAATATCTTGTGACTGTTTGGGAATAAGCAATGCTTGTAAATAATTCTTCGTATAGGACCGATCTACCTCTGGTCTTGTGTAAGCACTGTTTATATACTCCTTTTTTCCGGGACGGCGCCTAATGCATTCCAACAAATATGATGTGTACATACGGGATGCTTTGAGATTAAACAGACTTTGACGAATTTCTGCTCTGTTCTGTGTCAAAGTCTAAAGGACCCAGATGCAGTTGGCGTGGCTCAGTGGACACCTGAGTGACCCCTGGTGTTCGAAACCTTGGTGATGTATTAGGGTGTTGTCTTCGTAATGGACGCTATTGAAATAAAAGGTCTAGACATTTCTTTGTGTTATCTGCTCGAAATGTTTCAAAATCTTCTGTTATCTTGACAGTCCTACCGGCACGGCTGGAAAGAGACAATCCTTATATAGCGGCTGTTAATAAATCGAAAATTCACTGACGGTTATATGCGTGTTAAAGTTCGGCTTGCATGACTGGGGAACTTCTTCGCTCCGTGTATGGCAGACAGTGAAAGAGGACTGTCTGTGGCCATTTCCGTTAAATTAAGAAATTCAAAATACCCATTTTCTGGTCGGTTTCGTCATTCACTTTTTCTTCATCACATGTAAAGAAATATGGAAGTACCAGGAAGTAGTTATTCATTATATGGTTAAGCTATAAACAAGAGAGTTTTATAAAAAGCAGAAAATTTTAAGTAGCATATATGTACATCATAGCCTGTGAGACTGATGTGCATTAAATGGAATTAGCATTTTGTGGGATTTATTCAAGTGTCTTTATTAGGGCTTATAATACGCTTTTTATAGATTCACGGAAACTTTGAAACCCTCTTTCTTACCCAGAGAGACGGATGTTGAAATCAGGGCACTTTTGGCTGTGTAAGTGACTATCTTATGCATGTTTGGCATGTTGGAAAGTTCAAATGAATTTTCAACCTACCCGAAAGTCGTAAAATGGAATCTTATGAAAAGAGAAATTTATACTTGACATTTCATTGAAAATGGATCAGCAGTCTTCGTTAAAAATAGAGTTATATTGACGTGTGAATCAGTGGTAATCCTCATAGACACAAAAAGATAAATAATCTGTGGTTAGTCTAGAACATTTATCACAAAAATATGTTTCACTTCATAGGTGGCATATCTTCATTGTTAGATATATCATTAAACAAATACACCAAGTGCTCTTTTCATGGAGGGACCCAATTTTTATTTTTTCAGATTACTTTGCTCTTTAATTTCAAATTTTAGTGCAATATGAAAGCGAAAACTGATTTTTACCGTGTTCTTAGTATTCATCACGATAAAAAATCATTTCTAAATGATGTTCAATTTTTTTGGTGGAAATATCGGTTAATCATTCTTCAGTAGTTTGGATGAATCTTCTTCATCTCCATCCATCTATCCATCTTTAGTTTCATATTCTTTGGTGTAGCAAGCACCCACTCCCCCTTTTTATTCAGAGATTTGATTCCACTTAGGGAAAATTTTTAGTGACCCCCCCCCTAACAATTTCGTGACTTATTTTCTCGAACCGAAATTCAAAAGTACCACCAAATCAGACTTATTTCAAGGTTCAGGCCCACCAGAGAAGATAGCTCGCCTCCTATCTCTTGTTATGGACCCTTTTGTTGGCTGTAACTCCAGTTTAAGCCAAGTGATGATTTCCGCTCATTGAAGATTAAAAATTATAGAGGAACCCTGGATTTTTCCTCTTCACTGAAGAGAAAAGCCTTTCATAAAATATTTTGCTAGTCAAAGACCGACCATGTTTACTATTGGTTGATTAGGAAAGAGGGGACCAGAGTGCTGCCCAGGACAACTGGAGACACGGCTTCCATTCTTGAACGAGGAAGGGTGGGAATCAAACCAGCAATAACATAGGACTTGCAAGTAGAGACTGAATTGCAGACTTGGCCTCACACAACGTCAAGTTCTTAATTCTACTGTCTAATCATTAAGACTGTAAGCCTTGCTTCATCGCCAATTTACACTCATTGCTCTGAAGAGTCGCGTCAAATCGTCTTTCCTGAAGAAATAGAATTAGCAAGAAGCTGACTTGGCCGGTAGTAAACGAAACGCAAATTAGATAATTAGTTAACGTGGCTGGTAACAGGAAATTTTAAAATCCATTACTTAACCTTCAATTAACTTCTCAGAGCTTGAGGAAAAGTGAAGCTTTTTATTCATTCTCTGATTTTTGTGAAAGGAAAGGAAAATGCATGAGGCTTTTTTTGGTATGAACGCTGGCATTACTGCTTTAGGGTGATATAATCCGAAGTGAAAGAATTGGATGTTTTATGATTTAAAAGGGTTTTTGATGGGAGAAGTTAAATACGCGAGATTATCCGACTAATAATAGCTTTTCCTTCCAAAGAATAACCTCCACAGAGAAGTGGAAAAGATTACCCTCGACCTACGCAGCATAATCCTACCAAGCTTATACCTTTCAAGTGATAACAAACATCGAGGACGAATATGTTACCAACTGAAAGATATCGAAAGTTGGAGTTTCTTTATTTATGTTTAAAAAGGGTCCCCTGAACCCCTTTGTAAAACTCAGTCGCGTAAAAATATTTGGCTTTTTCACGCATCACGAATAATATCCAAAATTCTTTCACTTTCTCGCGAAATTTGAGAGGATCATGTTTAACATAAAAATAAAAAACCAAATTTATCGATTAAATTTTTACTTTTTCTAGTCTCGACCAATCCTAAATGACAAAAGCTGACGTTATGTCTCATCTTATTTGTTCAAGAACCATTAGAGGTCTATTTTATGGCATTTATCGACCCGTATGAAGTCTATGTCCTGTCTGAAAACCCTGACAATTTACGAGGGAAAAAGTCGCCCTATCATGCTTCACGTAAAAGGGATAGGGGACCCTCTTTACAGCATGATGTCCTTAATGGCTGAAGGAAACAAAGCAATGTAGCAAGACCTATCCAGGAGGCTATGTCATTCAGCTCTGTTTAGCTTGGGGAGATAGAGGGTTTAAGCCGAGGGTGTACCTTGGAAGTAAATGGGTGGGTGTTTATTCCAGCAGTTTACGTGGGCTTGTGATCAGGCTCACAGCGGAGTTTACCTTCTGGGTTTCTTGAACATTACAAACTGTGGAAGGTGGTTTTTCCAGAATGTCTGGTGAAAATCGATGAGAGAAATGTTAGTAAGTACATCAAATGATAGCAGTAAGCTGTCTAAGTAATAGATCTTTCTCAATAATTTTCCGCCACAAATAAATAAATGAAATAAACATATTGGCTTACTGCACAAAAAACAAAGCTTAAGAAAAGCATTTATCTCAACGGTCGTTATCGTTCGTAAAAAGAGACATTGCGCATTAAAGTGCATCCTCGTCAGAGGCCGGATAACTATCGACATCTCATTACGACAGAAAAAAGAAACGAACATGATAAATGACAAGATGAAAAAGATTACATGAATAAATTTAAGAATGGTTTGAAGAACAAGATATATTCCCAGCCTAAAATGTCAAAAGAGAGAAACAACGAAATCATGCATAGTTGTTAGTCAATAATCCGTGAAAGTATTTGGTCATAAACCCAAACCGTCTAAATGAAGGATTCATGATATAACCGTTTCTGCCTCTCTGATCTACCAAGATGACTTTCCAAAATATTTAGATTAGCAGATTTAGTAATGGCTCTTTGCGGTGTAATAAAAATTCATCGCTAATCTGTCAGCGGCAGGCCGTTTATTGCAGACTGTTGCACGGGTTCATTTGATATACACTCAGCGGCGTGCAGATAAGATTACAGCAACTGTGCAAAGGAAAACGATAAATAAAAACAAAAAATTGCAATCTTTTTCGACAAACACTTGCAGCTCTTTGCGAACAGCATGCCTGGAACAGAGTATGTATGCTTTCTCTTTGCTGATATCAAGTTTGATCAACTCTGCTGAAGTGCTCGCTAATGTAATAGTTTGTGTCAAATTATGTCTTCAATTCGGAATTGCTTAGATTTCACACTGTGGAATTAGTTATATTACCCTCCAAGTCAAGAAAAAATATATTTATATTACATGAACTTAAGCTCACTTTACTTATGTCAGTTGAACACGTCCATAAATCAAAAAATGCTCAATGATAGGGCTAGTAAAGTGCCAAACAATGGAGCAGTTATTGAAGCATGAAAGAGAAACATTTGGGGTATTCTATAAGACTTTTAAATATTTTTTTGAAAACAAATCTAAAGGTGGTCTTAGAGGATCCTCAAGTGTACTGTTTCCCCTTTTTCTTACGAGGACTTTTTTTAATTTCTCTTTTTATTAATTAACTTTTATTTATTTATGTTTGTATTTGTTAAGCGAAAGAATGACTTGCTCTCCAATTAAGGCCTCTCAATTTCTAAACTATCCCATGCGCCCTTGCACTTCTTAGGCTTGGAGACTTTGGGTCATCTTATCAAGAACTATAGACAATCAAAGAGTGAGCTGCCAGAATTCTTGCTGCAGCAAAAGACAATTTTGAGTTGGAAATGACGCACATAGTACTGTGTCCAAAGGCAGTTTAACAAGATTTGTTTCCATCGCCCGCCTTGTGCCCTTGTCTTATTACTCCTCACAGTGGGTCTGCTGACATTGCAACCTATCCGCCGATAATTTGTCATGAATCATTTAAGATTAAGCCAAGCTTCTATGGCAGAGACTTAATCTGGTAATAAAGAGAGCCTTTATGACATTTTTCTCGTCAGAGCTCGTCCAACATAAACAAAAGCTACTTGGTTTAAGGGATATGTAGACACCGCGGTATTATCGTAGACTTTTTAAAACTTGGGTTCCCACTGCGCTTTCAGGTTTCCTAGAGAGTGATCCCATTTCAGCTTCCTGTCGAAAATTCATCTGTTTAGTTAACTATTGCTTCTTCACAAATATTCAGTTTCATGCAAGAAACTCGTTCAGTAAACATTTCACGCTCGATATCATTTTCGTTTGACTTGTCCCATTAAATCATCAATCGATCATCGTTGGTTTAAATGTCTCAATGACAACGAATTTACCTAGCCTAGCTTCATTTCACATAAAATAAGTGTGTGAAAACTAGCACATATGCGATTCTTAAATTTAAGGGGGCAGCTACACCTTTAAATTTGTTTAAGCGACTCCACTGATTCAAAAATTTACAATTTCTATTTTTACTTATTTTTACTTAAAAATAGTGAAGGCCATATAGCATTAGGTCGAGCTAAACTGGAGACAGTTGTCTTTGCTATTTTTATAAATATGTCAAGTTTAAATGTGTTGAAACAGATCGTACTGCCTCAGGCAGTTCATTTTTGACGACACAAAGCATGCCAAACATTTTTTCAATAATATGTTTTTGTGTTAAAATTGCATTGTATAAATTGACCTCAATTTTACCGAGGGTCCAAATTAATTTTAAGTTTCATTAACAGAGTTTTGCTTGATTAACATTTTTGGCCTGAATGAATGATATTTACAGATGCGAGAAAATCAGGTAATTGAGTTCGCTCTCTTTTTAGTCAAATAACAATACATCAAATGAGATATTCCCGATCATAATTTAACGTTAATTAACGGTTAATTTGTTGAAATTAGGATAATGAAAATGCGGAAAATCGACGTACTTTGTGACACAAACAATTTGTAGGAATCTACGCGGTACACATATTTGTACGCAATGCACAATTTACCTTTTAGAAATCAGTTCCTTCGATTTGTAGTTTCTCAATTAGTAAGTTAATCATAGATTCTCAAGACCGCCGACCCAGCTTGGATGAATCCATGCAGCCAATCCATACTGAGAAATGTCTTAATGACGCTCCTAACAACAGATTTTTGGTCCGTTTATGCTGCTCTTCAAACTGTGATAAACAATGTTCCTAAAAACTGTTTCATCCAATAAAGTTAATTTAATCTTGTCTTAATAGCATTATATTATCACAATAGAGGAAAGTATCTGTTTAAATGGATTATTGTAATTCAGTCAAGAATTGCGACATGAATTTTTGTGCGCGTTATTCTGTTCTATACAAAGTGGAACTCTCAAGCCTTTCCATACCTCTGTTCCTTATCCTAAACGTCATCCTTAATATCGAAAAACTTATTTTACCTAAACGACAGCTAATTTGGAAAAAGAGGAAATAACTAGAAATGTTGGTGTTAAACATGAGAGACCTTTAAGAACTTGAACAGAGGAAATAAAGGGAACAACATAATGTTCTCGAATCAACGAGCGCATTGCATGAGAATCTTAAGCAAGTCCCTAAACACCACAAGGCGAGAAAAAAATTGGTAGCGACATATTTGGTATGCAATGCGCTTTTCGACAAAAATTAGACAAGGATTGATTTCTTTTTTAATATCCTTTATTTATGCATTTCAAGCTTCAGTCCATATGTTTTATTTACTATACAATCATTACATATATTAAACAATTTCATATCAAATAAAGAAACTTTTTCTTTGGTTAAAATAACCCAATAGCCCCTTTACTCGCAGATCCTCAAGAAATTTAAACTTCCCAACAAATAACTGTAGAAACTTGCGCAAGGTGACAATTTCAGTCGTGTATGCTCTGATCAGAGCTTGAAGGAATAGTCTAGACTAGTTTGGCCCTAAAATTATTTGTACACTTAATAATTAGATTGCACTCGCATCACAAGATAGCTTTCTTATATACCCATGTTTTACACCAAACTTTAGGTAACTATTTACACGTTAGCTGGAATCGAAGAATTTATCAACAATATATTATATGAGGTTATGTTTTACTTTATAGTAACGTTCTGTAAAGCCCCAGGTTGAAAAGACTTTATGTAAAATACCGTTAGTGAAGCAATCGAAACTAGCTAAATAAGTACAAGATATAGAGTGGCATGTATTCATTATGTAATAACAAGATATTATAATATCTTGGTTACTAAAAATAATAAAAAGGAAATATGCAAATGAATGACTGATACAGGAAAAAAAGTTTTATATAGATAACGAAGTTACTTTACTCATACATAGCTATTTGGCCATAAATTCTGATTTCTACATTAAAAACCTTTAAGTGAAATGCGAACATTGAGCGAAAGATGTGAAAATCCAGGCAAAAAAATATGAGAAAATAGCATTCAGTTGAAAATCGAAGAAAGTATTTCATACTATTAGGCTGTTAAATGTTGTTTGACAAACTTTAGGATTTGCACTTGAAACCGCAATGTGTGACTATTCAAAAGGAAGAAATCTCCTGCAAAACCTTTAATCACGCTGGACAGGTTTTTTACTTGAAAACTGATTGTTTGAATACTAAATTGCACGTTGCCGAGCAAGTATTTCAAATCTAAAGCTTAGAATCCAAGAACTAAAATCATGTATTACTCTGCAAAGATGATTGAACGTTAAACCTTGGACTGGAAGGTTAAACAGAGTCATTTTCGACGACAAAATGATCACTGAAGAACAAGGTACAATAACAAATGACTGCTACGTACGACAGCCGGAAACTACTAGCGTCAAAGGGTCCAGCTTAGAAAGTCCATTGGGTTGAATCTATTCAAAAACTCATGTAAAGTAACACCAAACACTTACCAAACGAAAACAACTAAGACAAGAAGTAAATCACACTACGGTATCTTTTTAGGCAAACGTTTAGGAAATATGTAATTTTTAGCCCATAAACAACAACTCGGTGCAATGTATTTTCTTAACATTCGTGCGATAAAGCAACGGACTATGCATTCTTGCGGTTCAAAAGCGAACGAGCGTTCTCATTACTTCAGATAATGCTCTACCTCACAGAAAGACTTTCATGAAATCCTAAAAGGTTTTGCGAGATAATTCCAAAGAAAAACAGGTTTAGTTTCATTAAAACGAAGCTTTTAGAGGATTCCAAGAACAAAGCTAGCATGCTGATCCTTAAATGCGTTTCGGAAGAATCGATACTCTGCCATTTGAATCGTATTAAATGGCAAACAAGTTTTCCTTTTCTTGAAGACAATGCGAGGATTACTGTCAGGGAATTGTATTCCAGAATAAGCTATTTATCTAAACTAATTGGTTTTATCAAAAACCTGGTATGTAACGTAATTTTTTTCTTCTGCTTTATACGCGTTTCCAGCCTGTACGAGGTTTTGTGCCTTTAAAACGATCCCATAGACGTACAACTAAAGCTTTATCTTGGCGCCATTGGATGCATATGCGCATGCTCTAAGGGCATGTAGGATCCACCGTTTGGACTTGAGCAGTAATACGGAGGAGGTGGTGGTGGGGGCATGAAGGAAGGACTTGCAGTAGACATTGCCATGCTGTTGTTAATGACAGCATGAGAGGGGTACGTGGGCATGGGCCTTACGGAGTCGTGCGCCGGGCTCCAGATATTCCCACAGCTGGCGTACCTGCATGGTGATGGGCCCGCCTGTGAGGAATCTTTACTTACAGTTGGCGCTTTCGGCTTGGGTTTGGGTTTGGGTTCCCCTTTGCTCTGTTGTCGAACTTTGGCGCGTCGGTTTTTAAACCACACCTATTGAAAAAGGAAAATAAATAAATAAACATCCAGTGCCGTTAAATTGCAAATGGCGCCTGCGAAACAAGTGGAATTCAATTGTTGTCTAGTGTTTTGTTTGTTTTGTATCCAGTGGCGATTTACGTTGAGTAGCAATAGCATTTTGAAAAGATAAGAAGCAGAAAAATAACGAAAGCTCGATTAGAAGGTTTAGGTGGAAAAGTTAGTATTGCTACTCAAATAAAAGTCAATAATGAAGTTCGGAGGTTTTGTGTTAGCATTACGATCAAGTTTGACGCAAGATCCTGCCTTTTTGCGTGAGCGTGACTTTCGGGAAAGGTCTTAAGTAGTTTTCTCTGGAGAGTTTCAGGTCCTAATAAATACAATATAAAAAGGAGACACATCATACAACAAATGCACGCAAAACGGAGGTCAAGCGCGCTGTCTCGACATACAAACAAACACGCGATCTCAAACCTCACGCACACTAAATAAAACAAGACATTCTTCTTTCACTAAATAAAACGTGGTCGATACATTGCTCCTTGTTGGCTTTTTATAAGCCTGCATTTCTCAAATAAAATATATTTAACCTTGGTATCATTACGTGAGAACAGATGAACTGTCTAAGGGCGTGAAATTCCTTGACACTACATTCGTGTGTACGTACACAATCCAGGCGTACACCCTTAAATGATAAATACTCGGAAGTTAAAATATTTTAATATAATTAGAATTTACACCTGATCAAATAGAGGCTGAGCAAACCACAACGAATTTTTTCAGTTTGAAATTGGAGGTTAAACGAGGGAATTAAATATTCTTTTCTGACGGTCTCACATTAAGCTAAATTTGTGGAAGTCTTTCTTTTCATTAATAAATTTGTATTTTGGACTGGCATATCGAAGTAAGGGATTGAAGCTGCGGGTCATGTTCGTTTCTAGTACTTGAATGTGCTCTGATTAAACAACTTTGGTGGCAATTTGCCCTTCCAAGTCTACCAACAAGAATAAATGAAGAAAAAAGAACAACTTTTCATTTGTCGTTAAAAAAGAAAGAAGGCTATTAACATAATATTTCTATTCTGAACCCCCCCTACTCCTCACACCCCCGCTCCCATTTTAGTTATTTTGAAATCTGTCTTTACAAAGTTGCTTTAGCGTTTGGGGTCTTTTTTAAAGTGTATAACGCTTAATCAAGTGCGACTTGACAGACCACTTTTAAACCATTACACGTAATGGATAAAAAAAACATTTGAAAGCTCTAAAACCCACAACTGATCATATAGTTTAATGGGGCCGGAAAAAACGGAAAACATTCCTTCCTGGGTGCCAATTTGTGGTGAAGAAACAATTCATATCGCCTACTAAAAGTTTTCCTCCTCCTCTAGTTCAATCACGTACGTGTTTGTAATTGTTTTGAGTGAACAGAGAGAATTGCTTGTATTCGTACTTTGAAAAGTCTGAAGTTCAATTTTGAAAAAACAAAAAATATTTATTGTTAGTAACAATTGCTCATGCTTTGAAAACACATGAAACTAGTTAAAACCTTGTCATTACGAGATCCTGATGAACCAGGACAATGTTTTCCGCTGTGAAAACAGGTTTAAGACTTTTTATAAACGTCAAATGATTAACCAAAATAAAAGGAAAGTTTTGCGAGGAAAGAATTCAGGCGCATTACATGCTTAATGCCTAAAGGGCAAACCCCAAACTTGGGAAACGCAATGAAAGTAGAAAGAGTGGATTAAACTCTTAGAAAAAGTACTTTGAACTGTCTCTTGTGTGTAGAATGAAAGGGGGAAAAGAAATGAGAACAGATTCGCGGTAATTTCATGCAAATGTTCTGCAGCGTTTTCTTCTCGAAGTGCTTTCCTATCGAACTTTAGACACAATCGGCCCCGCCTTGTTAAGTGAGACTTTTTTCAGAATAAACTTCGATGATATTCTCAGTTCAGTTCAGTCATTTTTAAATGAACACGGAAGACAAACATTCCCTATTATTCCTATAGTGGTCAGTTTTCAAACATTCCATTGTAGAAAAAGTTGACACGGTTTGGGTGCCCCCGATTAGCGCATCACTTGACCAATAAATTTTCTGTCATCTCAGTTCTTCACTCAAGCATTTATATTCCAAGTCGTGCAGTTGTTCACTGATTCTCCACTCCGAGAAAAAAAATAACTATACACTGAATTACCTGTACTCTTGATTCTGGTAGGTTGATTTTCATTGCAACTTCCTCTCTCATAAAGATATCAGGGTACTTTGTCTTGGAGAACAGTTCCTCCAATATTTCAAGCTGAGCTTTTGTAAATGTAGTCCTCTCTCTTCTTTGTTTTCTTGGATAACCTGAAAGATTGATTTCCATCAACTCAAAAAAATGCCTGAATCGTTTAATTGCCGCTTATACTAGATCCAGCTCAGCATTTAAAGACTGGAATACGTTTATCCTCTAAAAACAATGAAATCTTTATTACAGCAATAAAGTTCGACTTTAGGATTTGCCCTCACAGCAAACGAGTTTACATGTTGGTTACACAGTCGTTTTGGCTTTATTCAGATGTATTTATGAAAGTCATTTGTCTTTATCAAACTTTGTTCAAGAGATTTTCTTTGTGGTTGAAATTGCGTACAATCTGTGTGGGGAATTGAGCCAACCCCTTTTTTGCCAAAGGAGTTTAACTTGATGTAATTTGAAGAGCAACGATACAAACTGAGCTATTTCCAAAGTAGGAAAAAACGAGTTTATTTATTGCAACGATGTAGCGAATTTTGGCAAAAATTCCTAAGGTATTTGGAACCGTGTCATTGTGGTCTTTTTAACATGTTTTATGTTGTTTTATCGTCTCAATGGGACGATATTTCCGTTCTCGTGAAGTTAAAGTAAATTTATTATTTAAACTCCCAAGCAATCATTCAAAGAAAGCGCACTTAAAGAAATAACATCATCTAGTTTCGAGCATTTCAAAACACAAAGTTGCAAATCAGTTTGGCTGTTTTTCGAGTGGAAAAATGCTTCACCTTCCCCTATTGAAAGTTGTTCTCACAGAACACATTTTCGTTTGAAAATCGGCCCAGCTTAAATAGTTTTTGCGCCCGCAAATCCTTCGGGAGCGAAAAAATCTCGTCCTGTCCTTCCTGAACAAGATAAGGTATGATTTTAGCCAACTCAACAGGAATCAAACTTGATGACTAGAATTACAACACGGAAATTTCCTATGGTAGATAAATGAAACAGATGCCATAGTGTCTCACTTAATAAAACTACTATCCCAAACTTATTAAGAAGAGGGAATCAATTTATAACTTATCATTCCTTGATAGGAGGATTGAGAAAGGTTTTGATATGCTCTTGTTTTATCTTGGAGCTTGTTACAAGTTCTAAGCCCACACATCTGGGAGGTCTCGCCAAACTAAATAACGTCCTGAAATAGCACGAGTAAAATAATCGATCGATCGAATATTGCTCACAAAAAATATGCCAAAACAACCAAACAAGGCTCATAGTGAGGAGACCAGTGGTGTGCCAGTCTTAGATAAGTATTATATTCGATTAAGGCTTTACTTAGAGGGCTTTTTGGTTCTGTGGAGACCAAGACAAGACCATTGTTCCCATTTCGCGTCTAAAAATAAAGGAGGCCTACCATACGGCGGAGCGACCATTGGAGAAAACATGTCCGCGGTTCGCGGAGGCATGTTTAGACCGTTGACTGGATACGGTGGGTAATGATTCAGAAAACCCGCCATCTTGGATTCCTGGTGTAAGTTATGGAGTGCGTTGTATGCCGTGTGCTGCGGATGCAAATGAAAACACGAAATGATCAGCTCGCGGCTTAGACGCGCGACCTTCTTCGCCAATTTGGCCCCTTCGGGACCCCCTGCAGATCATACCTGTCAAAGATATTAATACAGAAAGACGGGACAGAAAATCCGCTTGATAAAGCACTCTTCCTGAAATTCAACGTAACAAAAACAAGCCTGTCAAAGCTACACCCAGCCGGATTATTGTTCCCGGGTCAGAGAAAATATTCACGCGATTAGGTGGGCAAACTCAGGAGAGCTCAGAAACCGCCGTTCCAAGCCAATCAGTGCAGCGAGCGAGGCTGAATGCTTTTATTGAGCCCAAATCAAACGTAGGATAATTGTTCCTTTTTTTCTAATTTGGGACAATGTGGGAGGTCGTTAGTTTTGCAATGGTAGCCAAAAAGGAAGCCGCATGATTGTAAGTGAAAAATACAAAGTCAGTCGATTAAAGCTGACTCTTTGTCACGAGAATTAAAAACATGCATATCTTCGCGCGAGAAGCTACTTCGCGGTCATTCTTATGACAATCGGAAACATTAGGCGTAATATTTCCTTTCTGTGCGCAATTTAAAGAACAGTCATGAACGATCGATATTTATCGTGAGAGAATCCTTGTGAAAAAAAAGTAAAAATTCAATCAATAAGTAAGGTAAAAATGCAAAATCCTCAAAAGAAAAGAACAAAATCTGCAAAGGTAATGAAAGAGACGCGGTTTCATTTATGTTGTTAATTATCGTCACCTCAAGAAGTCTTCAAGGTAATTAATGATCATGCCTCATATTCCGGGGAATATGCTGGAAGTAAGGAGCATTACTCAATATTCTAGGACTGTGTTGAACAAGAAGAAAGAAAGATGTGAAAGCTGTAACTCGTGCTCGACATGATGGGCCACTTCAACCCTCCTCAGGCCAGTTTAGTTCTTATCTCATCAGCAACAAGGCGTAAATTGCTCTGGGTGTCTTGTCTGTGTCTAGTTAACCTAACTAGTGTCGACAACATTTCATTTACAATCACATCATCACTGCCTTACGAAGGAATTCTGTCAAAACCGAATTATACGAGCAACAGTTTCTAAATTATTATTATTTTACTTCTTATGCTAAACGGAAAGGGAAGACTTGATTCCAATTAAAACATTAGTTTTGTCCAAAAAAATTTATTGTAACCCTTTTTTTGAGTACGCTTTTATACATTTCCGTTGTGGAATTTCTGCAGTCTGAACATATCATTTAAGTTGAAAAGTACCGGCATCTATAAGTACAAGGTCAGTTAAAAATCACTGATCTTCTTGCGCGGTTTTGTTGCCGTTGAAATCAATAATCCTTTTCAACGAAATTTAAAAAGTTTTCGATGGCTTGTTGGCAAAATACTTCTGTTGTCGTAACTTGGGAAGGTGCCAGTCTGTCTTAAACTCTAAAGGAATTCTAGCTTCTACCAGGGATTTAAGGTTGATATCGGGACATTCTATGATCAATCTATCTGTCAAACGATCCCTAACCTTCATGACTTGAGAGACAAATGAAGACAAATCGGTGAAAAAGCTTTAGAGAGGATTAAATCTCCATTTTTTGTACTTTGTGCCCCTTCGCAAGTCGTTTTACAAAACTAATAATTAATATTGAAAGGCCCTAATCCTAAATTTCGCCAGAAACACGTGTGAAGAACGGGTTTACAAGATTAATTAAACGGTAAACCTCCTTACCAAGGAGAATGGAAAAGGAGAGAACCAACGGATATATTTTCGCGCCCCAGTGACCGGTCACTCGTGTCGTTAATTTACGAAAGGAAACCACAGACCTGTAGATATTGAAAGATCGCGATTGATAGCCTGGGATTTTGATGAGTGAGTCTTTAGGTAATGAGAGAACGTTGAGAATTGGACATAAAGTATTACTTACAAACTCAAAAGCTTGCGTTTCCTTGAAGAAACAATTCAGAGAACTTTTTGAGAAGAAGGAACGCGGAGAGGGAAGGCAAGCGTTGTAGGTTTGATGCGATGAAAAAGGCATTTCTTTTTCTTTGATCTCCTTCGATAGAAATCTCTAGTCATGTAAAACACCAGGAGCTTCCTGGATGAAGATGTATCTAGGGACTCTTTATGGAAGTTAAGTTTCGAGAGTTGCACCTTTAATTTAATTCTTGAAGAAAAAACGGATGTCCCATAGATTCGCACGCTCTAATCCACTGACAGCCTAGTTTAGTGAAAGGCTGGCTTAACTCAAATTGTTTGACGATGGTATATTGCCTGAAATGACACAACTGAGAATTGGCGGCCTTGCGTAAAGGTTAATTTTGAAAGACGCACAAGGAGTTATGATCCTTTTATTCGTCCGTTGTATTTGCAATTGCACACAATAGAAGCCCAAAGAAATGATAAATATCTCCTCTTACGTCACAGAAGAACGAATAATTCATCGCTTGCCCAAATTCAAAGGATTTTCAATTAAAACCAAACGCGGACTAATTATCGTTTTAATTTTAAGACTGTTAGATTTGGTCTTGCCTTTAAGCTCAAGATATTGGAAACATGGGAACAGAATGCGATACACCACCCTTTGTAAACAAAGTGGGTTGCATTTTAAATAGCAAAACCAGCCCTGGAAAAGCTGCATATTAAAAATGGCTGGAAATCTAGCTTCAAACTATGATAGCGAAATGTTTTAGATAAAAAAATCACTGTTACCAAGAACAAGAAGAAAACCAGCTCAACTTGTTACCTAGAAGGTCAAAGTTATATTTTGCTTATCGACTTTGTATCAGCTGACCCAATCATAAAAGTATACTGACTCTACTAATAACAATTATTTTTTTTTTCTTTGAATTCTTCGGTACTTTTTTCGCATGAATCATACCCAAGTCTTTTTTTTTTATTTGGTTCGGAAAGGTCTTTAATAAAGAAATTCGTCTTTGAATACCCTTTGTTAAATCTATTCGCTTTTGTTAACTAATTAAGGAAAGAGTTCCTCACAAACGCTTTTACAGCTAGGGAAGCTTAAGCTTCTCACAGATCAGCCTTACAGATTAATAAAAATTTTGATGAAAGGTTTCTATTTGTCCCTTTCACTTGTGTGAGAGGCATATCACTGTTGGACAAAACAATTCAAACAAATCGTTCAATAAAACACATTTTACTTTCAAGTTTAACAAAAAAAGTGTGTTTTATTAAAAGAGAGCGCAATAAAACATGCTTGATAACACGCGCATAAAGTGGATTTGTCTTGAAATGAAAAGGAAATATTTGAGAATTAAATATTTTTACGCGCAAAGATAAAATATCCTCGATCAAATGTGAAAACTTAACAATTAAGCGTATCGGAAACACTGAAGTTTCGAGAGTTTCAGAAGATAAAACACAAAAGACAAATAGAAAACTTCTCAGGGACTGCAAATCTGAACACGGAATGCCACTTCCTGCTTTATTACCGTGAACGAAAACAACTGCAACAAAACCGCTATGCGATTTTTTCTCGCAATTGCGAAAACGACAACCTTCTAGAAAACGTGAACCTTATTTTTCCCTCTTTAGAAAACTGTGAGAAAAAATGCTTGCACGCGTGTTTGTCTTGCTGGCCGAGTTTCCGGATTAAGAGGTCTTCGATCTGTGGTTTTTCAATCAATTTCACGCACATAGAGCGAACTGAAATCTAAGAAAACTCATGGCGATGCTTGACGGGAGCGCTGACAAAAAGAAAACAAAGTTTCGTTTGATAAGCTTCCGCTGAAAACCGCTTCGTAAGGGGGCAATGCTAAAAATTCCTGGTGGAAATCAAACATTACTTCAAAACACCCTCCCTCCTGCTGAGATGACTAAATAGTTTCCTTCTCTGCTGCCTCTTTGTTTATCCTGTGCTAAAAAAATATGGTTGGATCACACATTTGCCAGTCTCTTTTTATGAGCAGGAAGAGCCGAATCAAAACGAAATTTAAACAGCGGGTTTGTTATTTAACATCAAGTCTATGAGTTCGTGATCGATAATCGGTCTTATATAAACAGTACTTAAATTTATGTTTTCCGTGCAACACGCGCGATTGGGTCAATCGATAGAAGGGATGAAAACGTCTTTCGTTGGGCTAAGACTATTTGCCCGTGATAGGCTGCACTCGAGAGACGTTATGTAGCAAATAATGATCAATGTTTTTTCAGAGATAAAGATGCTTCAAAATTACCTCTTGTAAGCTTTGTATCATGTCGATCATGCTGCCAAAATGGAGTGAAAGTAAACACAACTCTTACACTTGAGATGGCACTCACAATTAAACATAAAACTGTAAAAATACACAATCCCAACACAAATATTGATCTAGAAACATGGTAACTTTCCCTCACATTATTTCTTGTACAAGTATAACAGGAAAGATAAAAACAGACGAGCCTGGAAAAGGTCACCTTTAACTCTCTGCTAATCGTTATTGGGTGTCTGTCTGTTACGAGCCGCGAAAATGACTACCATCTACGTGAGCTTAAGCGTGTTCGCCAGTTTTGTAACGCTTAGCTGTGTGTTATTTTCTAAGAGCATATACTAAGAGTAAATGCTGCTAGGACTCTGATTATAACCTCTACATATTAGAAGCCTGTGCGGATGGAAACACCTTGTGGGATTTCGCGAATCCCTTATTATCGGAATAATTGGTTTTTGAAAGCGTTTGGTGATCTTTCTTTCACCTCGATGGATTATTTCGTTTCTATCCTATTACTGAAGAGCCTAAAGGAATAGCTGACTTTCATACACGACAGTTTATGAAGGGAATGTTTTCTTAATAGTGTGTGCATCGCGATTTCCCTATCATACCACAGATTGGCAGAAACAAAGAGTTTATTGTTAAGAATTTTTCTTAAGGTCCTTGAACTGAGGCGGTGTTAGCTCAGCATGACGTGATGATATTGACTTCCACGTCGTGCAATAAGCTGCTGTAAATTGTCCAGAATTCCATGCTTGTCTAAGCGAAGAAGTCGTCCCTCCCACGAGCCGATAAACAGGCAGGTAAAATACGATTTAGCTAGACAATGCGCTCAGCGCTAAATCGCGATCGAAAAGTACTTAGCGCGCCCCTTGTAAGGAAGTGATTTCGTTCGATTTTCCGCTCTCGATGGCCGTCTCATATTGTTTTGTAGCGAACAGAAACCATTCAAGCGCGCAAATACAGACCTAGCACATAAAGTGATGGTCTTCTTGAGATATATCTCAAAATAAAACAAAGTTGTGCCACTGTTACTTAGTACGTTTAGCCGGGTTTGCTTTTCATGGAGCGGAGAGAACACAAGATGCGCTGATTGTAACTATCATGTCTACTTGCACTTTCGTCTCTGATGTTGATATCGTAGTCAAAGGCTTCCGATAGCTTTAGTGGCTTATTCTGTAACACTGGTTAATACAGTAATGAAAATGTATAAATAAGGCTGTCTTAAAAGAAGATTGCTTGTAGTATGTACATCGATAAATCCCGGAGGATCAGTGAAATTTTAGAAATCAAAATTGCTTCATGTCAGAAGAGAGGCCATAGTGTGAATGACGAATAATAATAACTTCAGTATAACTTACCAGCAATTAAGAGTTCAAATGCAACTTCTTGGCGAGAAGGAGGATCTAATCGCGAACTGGTTTGTGCTGTCGTGAGGATCAAGACTGTTTAAATCCTTGCGAGTTCTGGAATGAAAACAAAATCAATGGAGTGCAAGAAGGGAGCATGATTTAGCACAAAATGTATGCGGTATCCCGCAGGAAAAGGTTAATATAACATTAACATCGTTAGAGTCTCACGGCAAGAGACCTGTCTCATCCAGTTACCTCCTTACGCTAAGCCAACGAGTTAAGAAATTTGCACAGTTTTTTTACTCCTTTTCAGTCTGTTCCTCTCGAATGCATCGCAGTTTACCTGTTTCTTTTTAAGTCTTATAATTGCCTTTATCCCTGTATATTAAACTTAGAAGGCCATGAGGAGATAGAGTTTTGTTATTTTAATCAAAAGAGGCGGGGATCTTTTCCAGATGCTGCGGCCGAAAATTTTTGCCGCACTGTTCTAAAACCCTTCAAAAGGCAACTGTTATTAAAATCACGTTCAATAAATTCAAATTATCCAGAGTGTTTATTTCAACAGCATATTGTGAACGATCTCATCAACTCTAATTTGCACCACTTTAACGGTGTAATAAACTAAGAAGAGAATATTTTGCCAATTATTTCATTCTGTTCTATTTGCATTTAAAAGGAAAATTTCGAACGCATTCAACGTTCGCCAGACACTAACCTCTGAGAAAAAACTCTGAGCGTTCACAACGTTACAATACCATGGAGCGATACAATAGAACTAGTTTCAATGACTTTAATATACACTAGAAACGAATATATCCTTTTACTTGTGACCAATTCTAAAATGTATTCATCGCTGTCAAGACAAAAGCTTGCATCAGTTTAAGTTTGTCAGTGGCCTTTCATGATTCCGACTATCGGAGGAAGGCAAGTTATTAGTCGTAATTAACTAGATCGATTTCAGTGCGTGAAAGAGGACATCATATAAAACGTTTGTCTCTCCACAGGTAATGATTCAACCATCAATGGTAAATTTCAATATTTATATTTGCAGCTATATCATGTTTAAATACTGGATACCGCGCACCTATTTGATTTCTGATTTCTGTTAATTTTTAAATTGGCATTCGTGGCTTCATTTCACAGTTTTGTAATTCACTCAGCCAAATCCACCTCATTTTTTTTCGATTTTAGTTGATGGAGAAAATGTGTATCCTCTACCCACGAATTCCTTTGAACACACTAATTCTACGGCGTTGTTGTAAGAGTTCTTTTCACCGAAGCAAATTCGTATAAACACTATTCACTTGTTGTGCATATTACTTGTGAGGACGCCATCGATTTTGAAATGACATTGTTTTGAAATTTCGGGCAATAAAAAGTGACAGTTAGGTCATAAAAAAAGAAGTGAAATCGGAGGGATTAAGATCTACTCTCCGCGCGAATTGTACCACAAAGAGTTTCCCCGGAAATTAAATCAAATCCGAATTTTATTAGTTCTCGCATCATTTGCTCTCTTCGATTCTTAACGATGACAAACAGAACTCCAGTTAACACAATGTCTTACATTCAAGCAACAATCTTAAACTGGAGCACAAGGTGCTTCTTAATGATCGGCCCATCGAATATATAACAAAAACAAAGTCAAGACAATTCATATAGTTTGTGAATCCAATAAATTTGTTTTTGTAAACATGATCATTTTGATAAAAGCAGAAATAAGTTATCCAATACCTCTCCCTACAACTATTCTCAGTGTAACGGTTTACTACCACTTTGCATAGATATTAAACTTGTACACAAGAAGGATCTTCTGGCAAATCCCTTCCTACAGGCCGGTAAAAGAAAAGCGCCTTTCACCGGAAAAGAGCGAAGGATGAAACGTATAAATTGCAATCTAACAAAGATCGACAATTGTCAGAAATGGAAACTACTACACATCAATTAACCTTCGCTAATTTTGGCGATGGGCTGTCATCGCGGTAAATTTTCATAAACGGATCATCATCTTAAATCCTCGCCCGTGATAATTGCAGTGGTATTTTCAGGGGAGAAGAGTCGACCGCCTTTCGGAAGAGGAAAAAATTAGTTAGGTCTTTATTAGTTCTTCTGCGCGCGGTTTACCATGCACCCTGTTAACCCATAACTTTTCTCTGGGTTTCATCAGAGCTCTTAGTGACACGCCTGAAGATAAAAAACTTTATAATACCGTGACTTGTTAAATTGTAGACTTACCTATATATTCCAACTATTTACAGTTTTCTGTTGACTGCCAGCGAGTTACATGTAAACAGAATATTTTGTTTAACAAGATGGTTAATGAAAGCTTGAAACACCCACCAGTCAATACTACACAGTTGTCATCGATGTAAAAGTGTCTTGAATATTTGCCTTGCTCTCGTGATACGTAATTTATATTCCAGCATTTACGGACTTGAGGTCAATAACAATACCACACCAATACTCTGTAAATAGACATGCTTTTCCGTGGGACACGCAAGGACATTTCTGGAAAGTTTTCATTTTTTGGACAGATGAAAGCTCAATCTATCAAAGGTCGACTAAAAGAGGTCTATTTCGATAATTTTGGATTTAATCCAAGCTAGAGTGGGTGAAAAGACAGTAGTTTGGTGATAGAAACCGCGACATAAACGTGTGCTCCAAGGCGAATGACTTTCCCCAAGGTTCCGGCTTAAGAGGTAAAGGATTAAAACATTTCTCCGGGTTGAATTACATGAGGCATATCATACTTGAGAGATCACAAGACCCAAGACTCGAGGCGACTCAAATTAATATCATTGAACGCGTGAACAAAATGATACAGTGGGAGTTCAAACTTAGTCTTCTTAACTTGTAATAATGTTTCGGTTTCTTGCTAACGTACTGATGTGCAGAAGATCAATTTGTCGTATGTTCATGTCTTCTTTATTAGCCAGCTAGCTGGGAGGGGTCGTTCTAAAACTCCACTTGAGACATGTCCAACCCTTAAAGCTGTCATTTTCAAATTTTTTGATTTAGTTGTTAAAATGATTTATTTTGAATCACGCCTAAAAGTGGGTTACAAGTTTCAAAACGTTATCAGTGCTGTTTAAAAGAAATCGCATGTCAAATCCCATCAACTGCGCACAATGTGTATGCCACCCTTTAAGTACTTGAGGATTATTTAAGGCTTACAGACACGATAAACCCTCTTTCGAAGTAATACTTATGCTGTGAGCACCGTCATTGCGTGTTTGCCAGAAGATTTTTTTAAGAAAGCCTTAAAGGACACGAGAAACGAGATTAGTCTCCCTGATTCCATTTAGCTCGTGACTCTCTGAGCTCTTAACTTTTCTTACAAATGTAAACATATTTTTTACGTATCTTTGTAAATGTAGAATATCTGCCTGATATGGGATTTGTTTAACAACACGCACTAAAACATGATATTTTTTTGGCACTTCGCGTAATTTTTCAGTTGTTTAGTCTTAAACCCTTGAAATACTATAAAGCTTAAAAAATCAGCCAATTTTGTGGATATGTTTCTTTTGTAAATGTTCATAAAAAACATCAAAAGAAGATAGAACTACCCGGCAGTTTTTATTTGAATGATCCAGCGCGTTGAGAACTTACGGTATAATGTAGAACCTGTAACCCACTTCGTTTACGATTTCAGAAACCTACGCCGTTCGAGAGGCAAAAGAAAAGACCGTGGTTGAGATTAAGTTTATCACAACACACTCATATGTTGATCATGCACTCCCTGAGGAAAAAGTTTTTTTTCAGATGAAAAGAACAGCCATAGTGTTTTACTTTGTATATAATGGATTTCGTTGTTTTACTTCCCTAAGGATCAAGAATGCCCTCTCTTTTTTCTCCTTTTATTTCCACTTACAACATTTTAGTATTACACTCGCGGATCCCGATTTAAGTAAGATCCGGCATTTTTCAACGCCTTTGTCGCTTTGATTGTGCTAATTTTAGAGTTTCTGCCCTTGCAGTGTTTACAAATAATCCCCAAGTTGCGAAAGGGCGATAGATAGTGAAGTGTTTTTAGCTATTTCTAGAGCAATTTCCTGGCTTAACTTTTATAGTAAGCCGTTCTTGTTATCAGCGGTAGAGAGGAAACAGACTTCCCGATTGCTTAGCTTTGTGACTGCTTTTCAAAAATGCGCCGCATTAACAAAACTTGATAAAAATATCCATTTAGACATTAATTTGAGAAAGGTCGCTTAAAGAAGAAATTGGAATTATCCATAGTCAAATAACGGTCTGGTTGTAAAATATCTCCTTTTTGCAAGCAAATGTTTCCATTTTTTGAGTTGATATTTGCGTATTTTGTCCATCCTTAAAAAAACTAAAAGTCTGTAAGAGAGGTAGTCTGGTATTGTATACCTTTTGCATCCAATAGCTTCACTTGGTTTCACAGAGCCAAACAAAATGCTATTAGGAGGTCGAGAAGCTTTCTTTGTTGCTATAACTAGCACGTGGGTAAAATTTGAATGCGAAAAGATTCTTAAGTCTTTCTGTGAGGTACGCACTTCAGATTTTTCCACGAGATAGATTTGAGGAACATCAACTTAAGAGAAAAAGGTCTCATGTTTGAAGGAGCGTGCCATACCTCGATAGCACTTAACGCGCACGCGGAGCATGCAGAAATCTGTCTTCTTATCTATACAAAGTACTCATTTGAAATGTGAAAATAAAATTAAAAAAAACGTGCTGTAATGAACGTCAAGTGGTTGTTTCTGAGAGAAGAACAAGCAAGCAACACGTGCAGAGATCTACACCAAGAGATCAAGTTTAAATACGGACGTGCTCAGAGGCTCAGTCTTAAAGCAGGTCTGAAATTCTCAGATTGAAATCGTTAATCGAAATTGGGAGCAAGTAACTTTTCAAAACTAGATATTCTATAGTTTGAAATGAACGTGACCAACACAGTTTGAACATTGCCCTTCGTGTGGTAGTCGCACCTGACCATCAATTCAGCTCAGGTTTCTTTCCTCAGTTACTGACCAAAGAGACTCAAAATTTTCACCCGTGTTGTGTTTAGTGTTTATTCATAGATAACATGATATACCAAAAGTAAATAATCCAGGGAACACCTTAAGCTTCAATGCAGTAAAGAACAAGAGTGTTGAAAACTTGACATTTTGAAAAGAAAGAGATGTCTTTCTGAACGATCAGCTAAGAGAATCTTTATGTCAAAATTCAATCTCCTTTGAATAAGGACACGTGTTTAGTGACTTAAGTCAAGAAGGAAATCAGTATTGTTTCGATTGTTGAGTGATTCATAACTTTTTCAAAAAAAAATATAACCGGAGGGTCGGCCTTTCAATAGTTCAACTGTCTGGTTATTACTCTCTGTCCACGAAATCACACAGAAGATAAATGAAAGAAATTAATAATTGTTTAAATGCCCGTCCTAAAGTTATTGGTTCATTTTTTTTGTTCAAACTTTCGTGTTAAGGTTCCTGCAGGGTTGATAGTACGCAGGTTTATATTGCTTTGATGAAAGTTTATTCAATCGACGCGACAAGAAACTTGCTGTGCCTCTAAAGATTTTCACAGCCTTGAGTATCGCAAGCTGGGACTGTAGATGTTTGCATCATACGGAAACAGCTAAAGAATAGATTAATTTAATAGTAGAGCGCCTCGTCCCATGACTCAATATTGAAAAAAAAATAGTTGTTACCTTTCGTCTGAAGTATCCTGGGTCTTTGAATGCGACCTCTTGGAATCCTAACTTCGTCTGTTAATTAAGTATTATGATTTCAATTTATCAGTTAAAACTGCTCAACATGCCAAATGCTCGATTTGTAAATTTATGCAACGAGGATTTTAACACTTCCTTATCGGAAAGCTGTGAAATATTTGTAATAAATTAACCCTTTAGGCAGCCCGAATCGTCTAGCCAATCTTTATTCTATAAACTCGTCAGATTATTGAGAAAAGGCTGGCTAATGATCCACTGGGGCCAAGTTCAGCCGATGAAAAAAATCAGCCCATCAGTCTGAAGACATTTCGTTTCTCGAATAGCTTGATTTCTCAACTTTCGTAAATAGAGATGATTTTATAAAATATAGAACGCGAAAAGAAGGAAAAAATTGTGTGAAATAACGAGGTCCTTTGTTGACGAACATGTACCCAAAACAGCGAATATGAATGACGAAACTCCAAATAGTTTTCGTATATGGCAAAAATTTCAAAGGAAAATCAACTTTAGATATAATCTCGTTTTCGAATTGTTTCAGAAAGTGGGAATGTACTCATTGTTTGAGTTTCTTAGGTTGAGAAATCTACGAATTTCTATAAACTTTTGACAATCTTTTTAAGATGTTAGGAAAAAAAATCATTGTTTCCGATATCTAACACAAGAAATGAATATTAAACAGAAAGGAGAGAATATTTTTCATGGCAATCCCTCTTATCAAGTTGTAAAAGTTGTCTCTAATGTCCGAAGACCTGTTTAAAGCTTTCCCGACGTACACTTGTTTACTTCACAAGCAGCTCAAAAAGTTGTAGGTAAGACCTTTTGACATAACCTTTGTTGAAAGACTATTGTGCGTGACGTTACTATAGAGCGAGCTCGGCGAATCTAGTTTTATACCGCGGGGGAAAAAATAGGAAATAAAACGGACCCTCTTGACTCAATGAATTATACAAGGTCCTTTTAAGTTCAAGATCGCCTTTAGAAAAAGGCTTAACGTTTCTAGATAGGGAGTCTTTACAAAAATTGGCTTCAAATTTGCATTACAAAGCCGGAGACAAGAGTAAAGTTGTTTAACTTCACACAATTCAACGCCCTTCAGTTGCACCTCAACATATCGTCTTTCTCGACAAAGTCTCTCGGTTATGTCGTGTTTGTCTAGCGTTTTTTTTTTATATTTGGAAGATTAGCGGAGTCGACAGTTTAGATCTACCGTGTCAAGTGAATTACAATGGAAAAACTCAGAAAGTTTAAAAAGTGTTTGCCAAGGTAGTCCGGGTTTAATAAAAGTTTACGAAAACAGTTGAGACTTCTTAGAAATGAACGTAGGCTGCACACTAACAAAGCTGGCCGACAATTATCCCAAGAATAAGTGATCTAGTGCACTATGTCGGAACTTTGAAACGTTCTTTGAAATGAAAATGAGACCGATTCTTCAAATACTTGGGCCAATTTGGAAAAGCTTGCCGCAAGCGTAAAGTAATGAATTTTTCATCAATGAAGTAAAGCTTCTGACGCGGTTAGAGGGCTTTGAATAGCAAGATAGACCGCCATAACATCGGAATATAAATTAAATTGCTTTGAATGAGTTACGAAAAGGAGAATTACCCATTTTTGACACAAAAGCACCTTAAAGGAGCTATCTGAGAAAAAAAGAAATTATTTTTCAAATTTTTGTCCTGTTATCACAAGATTCACTCGAGATGTTCCTCAAACTAGAGTCGTAAGGCCTTAATGTACGTATCTGTAGGATCTTGATCCTTGCGCCACAATGAACAGTGCAACAATTTCTTGTCTCGATTAACTTTCTAGCCTTCAACTCACTTACCCACCTGCAAGTCAGTTACTTGAAAATCAGAACATCATTTGGACACAAGAACTACACTAATTCGTGTCGTTTGCTCGCCGAAGTTGTTATGTACAAAACAGTAAACGTATAAGCTTCATGCCTTCATTATACCATTGGTTTAAATACCTCATGAAAGGAGTGTTTGCATGTTTTGCATGGCTTAATTACTAAATATTTTTCTTTTCAAACTTGCTACCCGTTTATGTGAAGAAATACAGACGTGATGGCAGTCGAGTTTTTGACATAGATGTGGTCCTTTTTAATCCATCTTCGAAGTCTGGTGAAATAGAACTTTTTAATAAAAATTTTCATTAAATTTGCGTGGCTTGAAACATAGGCTCCGTCTGTGTCGAAGAGACGGCATCAGAAATAGAAGTTCTGGTTGTACTCGCGTGTTTTCTGTCTCTTCTGTGTTTTATAATTGTCGGCTCAGGGGCGTATAATCTTATTATCAAGCTTGTAAGCATCAAATAAAATACACCTGTAGAAACAATATCTTTGGTTCCTCGCACAAGCGAATCACGACTGTATTAACATTCTTAAGCAGTTCTTTTGGCACCAGGCGAGTCGAAAAACCAAAATTTACTCCTAGTCTCCTTTCGCGAACCCAAAACATTAAGAAACATTATGGCAAGTTCGAACGATAAAGAAAAGGAACGTGTATTTATTTTACAGACTGTCTTAAGACGAAATAAAGCGCTTAGTTTATCATTGCTTTAGCTCGCCCGGATTACTCTAACACAGACACAAGAGTGTTGGTTTGTTGTCTAAAAGTAAACAGCTAAACGGTAGTTGCGCAAACTTTGACTCGGCGGAGTTTGACATTCCGACAAACTACTACACCGTTAAATTGCTTTTGAAACGGGATACACATTTGATCTTCTTTAGAAGAATATGTCGTGAATCGCTAAATGGCAATGCTTTTAAGATAAACGAAAAAGCGGATTGTTTGGTCGGATTACAATATATTTTACTTTCACTTTAAATATGCAAGAACCGAAAAATCGATGAAGAGAGAGATGGTCGTTTTTTAAGGCTATGCAAGTGCATGTTGATGTTTCACGTAAAACATCTTCGCAAAACACCAGCTGTAAAAGGCACTAGGAAAAGGTCAAAAAACCCCTTTGAATTTTGGTATTTCTTTAAAAACGGCGAAGGAAATATGTAGAGCAAACAAATTTCATAATCGATTTGTCATTGATTCAATATCCCCCTAACTGAAATTAAAGGAACGAATCATATTGTCCGTGCAGGGGAAAAGATGAAGTGTTTGACTGACTATATTATATTGATCATGACGTTTGTAAGGTGATTTTTATGCTGTAGACAGAGAGAGCGAAACCTGCTGAATTGTTATGTTTCTGTCTGAAAAAAATTCGTCTCAATTTTTTAGTCTTAACTAAAAATTTTTCTGAAAATTATTTAGTTTCCTGCGGGAAAGATAATTCAAACATCAGCCAAAGAGCTGAAAAATAAATGTAAGGTGAGAACATGTATTCGGTTGTACGTAAGAAACTAAAACTTTAAATTTCACGTATGAAATAGCTGGTGTAAAGCAGTTTAAAACGGGTTTTAGTAATTAAGTGATCCGTTTTTATCTCCCGTGCGAAAACTGTGATCAGTTTAAACCCAGGGAACGTTTAAAGAAACGTTTGAATACGCCGCAAATCAACACACTAGAGTGAAATTGTTTAAAGTGACATCTAAAACATGATTGCCCCGAACGGGAAATGACTGTTTTGCTTTGAAAATGTTTAGTTAAACTATTACATGGAAAAATAGGAGGTCTTCTCAGATCCCGAAACTCTTTCAAACGGATTAGAAATATGTCAGTTTGATCTCTCTGTTTACTCAGAAAAGTCTTCCTAAACGAAGGAGTTAATTTTTCTAAGAAAAAGTAGAAGAACACTCCATTTCCGAAGAAAACTCATAATCGAGTTCCTTGTACAGATGGCAAAACATTCAGATACCTTCGGCAAGCTTTTTATTGTTAAGGGAAACTCATTTGCCGACATAATTTCGCTTTTATTGCGGTAATCAAATCCGCAATTATATCTTCTTGGTGTCAATAGCAACAATTTTATTAAAGTTTTAATTTAATTAGTAGCATGAAAAAATAAAAGCGATCGCTTAATTTTCCCTCTAAGTACCCAACAACCGCGTACAGTATTTAGATTGAGGGGATATTGTTTCAGTAATAATTGTTAATATCCTTGCTGCAATCTCGGCGGTCGCTTTGTTGGAAGGCGCGCGTGTAGGAAAAATTTACATTAAGCCAAAGTGATTAAACTGAACTGTGTTGTGGACGCTCAGTTTCGCTGTGACACAGAACGTAACGCAATGGTTAAAAAGCGGGGAGATTAACGAATGTGTCATCTTCAAAACAAGAACAGATCCTGGTGGAAAATTTTCACGAATTGTATTTCATTCTTCGACATAGCGCGTATTCGTAAAGAACAGTCAAAATACCTAAATAAAAAAGGCCGCGTTAACCGGAAAGAGGATGCGAGAGATATTAGAAGAAGCAAGAAGAGGCGAAGGCTTTTTGATGCAAATTATGCAATAAACTAATCAGTGATTTAATTTGTTCTTTTCTTGTCGCTTCACAGACCACCGAAATGAGACCGAACCGCCATTTAGGAACAAAAGATCAGCAATGAATATTTTTCTCTGCCCCATATATTCAAAATGAACTACGCTGAATCGAAATTAACTCAATTAAGCAACAGAGCGCCGAGACCAGCTGCTTAGAATCGTGGCTCGCACCTTGGACAATTGCATTTGAATTTTTCCTTTGTTCGCTCTAATGACGATCTACAAAGCTTTTAGTATTTTGGAGGCGTGAGCCCGAACGCAATACTGCGCTCCTCGCGCGCCGCAGCAAAATGACCCTACTGCTGCGCGGAGTTTACATATAAGGTAAATGCGTGTTTCTGGCTCGCTCTTGGTTGTCACTTAATTGACACTTTACTGCACGCAACCGGCAAAGTCATCAAGCGACAGCAAACAGGATTTGCTGACCACTGTAAACTGACCACGAGTTGTATGCGGACGAAATTTGAAGTTATACGCCGTGTTATTTTTGAATTTTTTTCAGCTACTTGGGGCATCTCAAGCTCAACGTTTGCTGTTTGACAGAGAGAATTCCATTAATTGTTATCTTAAGCTGCCAGATTCTTCAAGAAGGAAATTCAGCTTACTCCTTCTCTACAGGAAAAGGTTTGTGTAATACGCTCGAATAGTTTCTTAAACGTTCCTTCAGTTAAATTGGAATTAACCATTTTAAGAATCGCGTGTCTTAACAAGAGACAATGAATAATTATGATGAATTTATTCCCTATACGACTCTAACGCAATGTTATTGAGATTGTTGTTTAGCTTGGCTAAAAGCACTCGTTCGTCGCTTAAATGGTGTTGAGATAGAGAATATTGATTCAAATATCGTCGCTGAAGGGCTTTTTTATTATTATTCGAGAGCAGACATACACTTATATTGAGCCATGCTGAAAAATTGACTGATTTTTACAGTAAGAAGTGCGATGTTCAGTTTGCATGATGCAATGAAAGTGTCAAATCGGCAGCATCGAATCTGTGTAGATAATTGCTTATTTACAGAGACTTAAACTGCTATTCAATTAATTGATAGTAAATGTCAGAGGTAAATCCAGTATTTGGAAGACTTCAATTTTAGCAGAGTTTGTGTTTGTACAAGAACAGCGCGACACAATCGCGTCAATAGCTCCAACTCAAACCATCCAACAGCGCAGAGTCAATTCAGTATTCTACAGAAATAGCTCTGTAGGTACTGAGCTAAGTTGTCAAATCACTCGCTCCATTAAATTAGTGTTTTGATAAGCTTCAATGCCTTGCAATCACACAAACATTTTTGGGAACAAAATCCAACACCTTAATGCATTGAAACTGCTAATAGGATCGACAACGGGCATTAGATTTACTGAATCACGACAAAGACTCGTGGTCATTACATCGATCTTCCAATGTGACAACATAACTTTGTCCCAATCGAGAAACCACCACGGAAAATTCGTCAAAATCACTTCCCATCCATCAAAGCTACTGCTCTGCTTTACGTCCCCAGAGATTTCCATATTGCCTCTATCGTTAAGATTCGTGATTAGAAACGCGGAGAAGAGTGTAGAAATATTTTTTTACCCTCCTCTCCCGTTGATTTGACTACTAGATTGCTGTATTCTTTTGAATCATCCTCCAAGGAGAGTTAACAGGAAGCCGGAAACCTTCATGCTGCTGGTCGAGTTTCAAAACACGAGGCTTGTTCATTCCGGTCACAATCTATTCTCATTTACTGAAATTTCACCAATCTATCAAAGCGATAACTATCGAAATATTTTAACGGCGACAAATAAAAAGATGGAAAGAACATCGAAACAAAAACACGACGTTTAGTTTGCTGGTGCGTGGTAGGATAGCGAATACGCGCTCTTGGGGAGGATGTTGTTGTGTTCATCTGCGGTGCACCAAGACAACGAATTGGGTCCATGCGTGTTTTCCTTTAGACACAGCACGGGTGGGAGTCCAAACCGCTTTTCCGTTCCCTCTTCAATTTGATTTTTCCTGTGGGATTCGTGTAGTGCGTGAAGCATTTTAAGTTAGCTTCAGTGTAAATAGCAGATAGTTTAACATAATTTTGCTCTTTGAACAAATTTACAGTTTATGTCTTAACTTCAGCCGCCAAATCTCGCAACGGTTTCGTGGAACACAGTTAATAATTTTGTTTCATGGGAATAACTAAGGGAGCATAGAATAGTTTATTCAACTTCTCTCAGAACTACAGATGGCAAATGTCTTCGTTGGACTTGTCGTTTCACAGACAGGTACTAAAACATCTTGGTATTGTCTGACTCGAGTTACGCAAATACATTCCATCAGTTTTAAAACCAGTGCAAAATTTGCTAGTGCTTTATCTAGTGCTTTTCCTTTTAGCCCGCGATTCAGAGAAGTTCGAAAGAGACATTTAATAGCCGCCTATTCCACCATTGCTATTGCTGGCTGCTTCCCCCTCGCCTGCCTAGTGTCAAGTGGACTGTGAAAGCACTCTGACAATGTTGTAGATAGATTTCATTTGTGACACGGAATATAGAAACCTAAGCAATTTACTGTCGTAAATTCTTATTCTCAGGGATTCCTTTTCCATTTGTTAGTTATGTTGGGATTTTTTTTCAATTAGTAGACAGTTAGATAGATAAATGGGCTTACAAGGTACTTCCTTCATCAACGAGTTGGGAATTTCTAACTTTCAGGACAACAAAGTCTGTCAGTGTAGAAATCTAAAAATGGAAATGGTAAACAGACAGATTATTATTACTCAAAATGAATGGACTTGACTTTACTCTCTCGATATCGTGACGAAAGGTACGAAATCGTGCCAATTAAAATCCTCGTATTTTCCGCGCTTCAACAGAAATCATTTATCATTACTAATGGTGGGCGTTATAATGAATTAACCTTTGGTGCGACGAAGACACAATCTGCATCTATTTTATTTTATTGTATTTTAAATCTCTGACTAACTGCGTTGGATACACACTGCTTTGTAGGGGAAGAAACCTATTCTTTTAGGTGTAAAAACAATGTTTCCTCTGAACAACCAAAATAGTCATTTGTATTAATTTCTTTACCAGCTAAGGCTCCAGCGAAGGAACCAATCTCAAAATTAAATGGCCCGACACCCACTTTAAGTTTGGGGTAAATTAATCTCCTTGTTAGACAAGTTTTTTCCACTTTATTTTGACACAGTTTAATGAGAAAGCAGAAGAATATCTTTTAAATAGAAATGAGACTGTATCTCAAAAGAGCGAGGATACTCTTTAAACTGGAGGACTCATTTTGAATGCCATAATTTGGTTAGATCAGGTAGTTTTACCTTAGCTGATTTTGTTGCCCAAATCAAGTTTTATCAATCTCTCGATGAGTTTGTGAAGTTTCTGCGGAAGAGACGTACTCAGGCTTAATTTTCTTATCTGAGGCATAGACTTTAATCGAGAGGAGGCCACCTTGTTTGCAAACGTTGATGGAAATCGATTCTTCTGGACTCCGTGACTTTGGTTTCGAGATGAATGTATGGCTGATTTAGAGCAGCCTCAGGAAACCACATTAAGAGATTAGATAGAAATTGTTATGGGACTTCCTTTACGAAGAACTTGAAAGGTTGCATTGAGATACAATTCGTCTTCGGTAACGCCCTGTAAAAGCACAGCACTAGGAAACTTTATGAGCTATCTTTATGTTTATCCTCCCCCTTCAAAGCAGCTTCAACAATTTCAAGGATTCGCAAATTCCAATTTGAAATTCGCAGAAAAATCGTTCACCAATGCTCTTTAGAAATAGAAGAACTTGACGGATAATTTTTTTGGCTCGAGAATGTATGTGGGAGTGGCAAATATTTTAGGAGACAGGTGGTGATTGTTGGAGAATGTTTTTAGCCAAAGCTTCGTGAAGTTTGCAAAGTTAATTTAACACTTACGTAACGTGTTTTTCAAGCTTGATTTACTGAGATGGTTGTGCAATAACGACTGTTAAGAGAGTAATGAAATTGCTTTTGAACTCAATTAATTCACAGTAGTTTCAATGCATCCCAGGATAATGTTATTATGGGTCCGTGGGAGCTAAAATATATCTTGCGGTTGTGTCCCTTTTTAACGAAGATCGATAGCTTCAAAACCGCAGACACAAAACAAGCCAATTTTTGTCTTCTCAAACAGATACAAGCTTTGCATGGTGACCTTTGTAAATCAGAGACCTTGATAATCTCACCACACAAGTTACATACATCCCTTATCTCCATGAAGATCGTCTCCTCAAACAAAGCATTCACACCTGACTTAAGAACTTAAAAGGACACGGAAAGCGAAGTTGAAATGCCGCTTCATTCTTGTATCCATTTTGACGGTAATTCTTCATGTCTGTGGAAGTATACGGAATTTTATTGCATAAACTTGTGGCAATGACATAACATTTCTTGCAGGTCTGAAAACTAAAACATACATCATTGGAAACAAAATCCATTCCGAGCCGGGAAGTTTCATAAGGCGCTTCTACCCAGCAAATATTTCAAAAGTATTTTCTGTAAACTGGAGGATCGTATTTACATTCTATTTGCGGCGACACTTTTGTCAGTTATTTTAGAACTGATAATTACTGCATTTTCTTCAACAGGCGTTACCGCAGCTAATTTTAAAATTACCTCTTACCAAGGCTTTTAAATGTTGTAGCAAACTAAGAACCAATTACGTATACGGTATACTTGTTCAATTATCTTTAAACGTTTTATTCAAGGTAGAATGGCGTACATGTATACAACACGCGAATAAAGTGGTGAAAGACTTCTGTCAATATATATAAAAATATATAAAAACTCTTCCTTATTGAGGTTAAAAAAGGCTCCAGCCGTGTATAAATATCGCAATTTCCTCGAGTGTCAATTTAAACAGAAAGAAGAGAGTAGTTTTTGTTCCATTATGGGTACATATGTAAAAAACGGCTTACTTTTTCATCTCTTCATCATAAGATTTATTTGCCACTTGCGTGATATTCTTCGTGCACATTTGATGGCGCAAACTTCTCTTACGTGCGTTGATTCCGTGTCACAATATAATTGTGTTGTTTAGATACGCAGTGTCTCAGCGCCTATATTTCCATTCAATAAAATTGCCTTAAACAAGCCTATTTTGGGGAGAATTCAGACAGTTGTTCTTGCTGACTTGGTACATCTTACATAGATTTTACGATGCTTCTGGTAACTTGCTTTTCTCTGTGAAATTTTTTAAGAAGGAAGGTAACCCTTTCTTTGGCATTTCCTTTTCTTCTGACGGATTTAAAATAGTGCAATATTACCGTCGAAAATTAAACAAGAAGTTACCTGCGGGTTAATTGCGTATCAGGAAACAGTTTGCGTGCTTTTGTAATAAGGACACGATAGCGTAAAAGGTAGGAGACGTGAAATATCGTGTCGCAGTAGAACACTTGAGAGTTTGTGAGAGTACAGTACCTTATCTGAAGCCGACCTTGACAAGGATACAGGTAAGAAGAACATGTCTAACCTGAACTCGATAAACACTGAAGGCATTTGGGTGAAACAATGATTTGCGAATGCGAAGAGAAAGTTGCAAGCAAAGATGTTATTTTTTGACAAGATCGTAAGACAAAGAAGACATTAGAGTCCCTCAAACTTTTATTTACTTTTGCAATTTCTTTGTCATTTTAAATCACAACAGGCAAAGATCATTTCGAAAGGATACAGTCCAAATAATAATTTGTGTATGATGTCATGCGAATCTTTCTAACATGCAATTCTGAACGAAGCTTTTAAAAATTGAAAATACACGAAGCTGAAACTTTATTGTTTAAGCATCAAAGTCATGAGAACTTTGATGTTATTATTACAGTTGAACACTCTGACAAAAGCGCGATTTTCCGAAAAAGAACCCAAAACTCTTAAAACCCAAATTGAGGCGGAAATGAGACCATGTAGATAAAGGAAAGTTTCAATGGACTTTACGAACTTTATCCTACAGATAAAAGATTTCAATGTTAATGGAAATGTAGACATAATAATCCTAGAAAATTTAATCCTAATTCACAAAGCAAATGCAAAACCAACCAGAAAGAATACACCTTGTAAGAGCGAAGATTAAATTGGCAAAAATTTCTATGTATCGACGGTGGTCTATTCTGATTTCTGCAAAGATTCACTTTTTGATCTGCAGCGGCCCGTTTCGTGAAATATTTCAAACACAAATGTACAGCATCTATCAACTTTGAATGACAGTTCTGTCCCTTGATGAAGGAATGATGATAGCAATATATCAAGAAAGACAAAAATTGTGTCAAAACATGAGCAAAGGAAGAGTTCACGCAGGGCTTTGTCTGCTCGCAGTCACCTTTAAATTGTCTACGATATTCATTTTCAATCCTAAATATGCTTCAAGAATAAATTTGATTTACTCAAGAGAGGTGAATTTTTGGACGATTTATGAAGCTTGATAGAAGATTGGGAAGGAGAAATTCATACACGAAAGAAAAACACAAAATACCGCTAAATAAATGTGGTAGAAACATTGAATATTCGAAAGCCACAATCAGGCATGGCAGTTATGCCCGATGACAGTAGTAATTTGCTTATTGCTCTAAATGAAACGAAGTCCGCCCCCCCAATTAGTTGATTGAAAACACGACTTTTGCGGTATAGGTTACAGAGCATGTTTGGGCCGTTCAGGGCCGTTACTACATATCTGTCACCGATCAACCCCTATAATCATTCACATCCAAAAGAACCAAACAACTGGGAGAGGAAAACTTAACTTTACACCCTAAGCTTAACACGTATCTTATAAATCACCATGTGACTCAGTTCGACAGCACTTAAACACCCTGACCGCGGAGATAGACAACACCAGATATTGGCCTTTAGTGTATAAATCAATGTCACCTGGTTGCCGTGATAAGATCCATGTCTGCTCGCTTACTGCTCATCAGGGTCGACGTCGATATATAGCAGATGAAGCAAGACCCATACCACACACATAGACCGAACAATAACTATTGAATACAACATATATTTTCAAAGGACACAATTGTCCTCGTAAATACAAAAACTCACATCGAAGCGAAATGTTCATAGTTGAGTGAGCACTTACAAAAACAACGGAACCAGACGTAAATTTATTTTGATGCTATCGGGGCTCCGTATCACATGGGCGTGTTGATTATTTGACTCCCAGTAATTCAAGGCTATATATACTTTGAATAGAAACAGGGGCCACGTAATTGAATGCATTCCTTTGTACAGTGACTCCTGACAGCTACTCTCAGTTGGTGGTAACAGTGTTATAGACCAGAACATAAATGGCAGTAATTTTATAACCACAAGCGTTGTCTGTTTTTTTCTCTTCTCAGTGGATTGCGGATTGTGACAAAATGGCGGGCTATTTCGGTCATGTCGGAGGACATGTGCCTCCGTATTCGGTGGGAAGCCACGGATTGAGTCATCCTGCACCGAACATCGATTTCTTCAGCCAAATGGCTCCTCCACCGTGTGGTAAGTTCTTTTCTAAATACACAATAAAGCCAATTACAGGCTCTATAGTTTCATAAATGGAGGGCAAGCCAAGGGTTGCCGCTTTTAATTTGAGCTTCCTAACCGGCTATTTATCCTTGTAACGTAACAAAGTCTCGTGCTGTAGATCAGTCTATGCGCTAGACTCCATGTTCCCAAACAATCTGAAACAAAACAACAGCGGATTGCTATTAAAAAAAGTAGGCTGCCATCGTGTGAAGGTCATGAGATCGACTCGTTTGCTGTTAATACAGCACATTTGCAATCTTCACTTTTGTAAAAGGCGCGTTGAAATCCTCTAGTTTGTAAATTAAGAACATCTTCTCAGACCAGTCCGAAAATATGAAAAACTATATAATTTGAGCTTGCTTTGTATTTGAGTAGTACGAGGCCGGCCATTTGCTCGCTTCGGTGAAGAGCACTTGATGCTTGTACGTAGGCATGTTGAAGCATGATTGCTTGTGTTGAAGTTCGCTTTTCAACCTCACGGCATTATCGTAAAATGCAGTCATATTTCAAGTAAAAACAATGATTTCTATGTAAAGATTTCCCTTAAAAGTGTTGTTTAAACAGTGCATGTTTTGTTAAATAATTACACATCGTTAAAGGCTTAATAAATCATCATCCCCTTTTAGCAGTACTGTGGTGTGAAATCTGTCATGAACCTTCAAGATGACAGAATCTAACCAGAATACAGGAAAAACTTTTCACTATATTGGGCAGTTTTTATTTGAACTTGGAACAAAGCCTCGTTTGAGAAGAAAGCCATAACATCCGATTGCATAGAATCTGTTGAGATAACTTTATGAAACGTTCGTTTGCGGTTTCTCTGAGGTTTCGACGCGGGGCTGCTTATGTTATGCATCTCTCGATAGCAAGACTCACAGTTGTGTTCTTTTCAGCTTTAAAAGCTCTACCCTAATCTACCGCTATAAGCAAGTTAATGGAGAGTTTAAGAAAAGACTACAGAACTCCAGGATTCCCCAAGAAGATCCTGCCTTGTCAGTGTGCCTTTATTTTAAAAACATGTCTTTCTTCGAAGTTGTTTTCAACTGTCAACCCACGCTAGTTAGTCTCTGACCACTTATTCTGAGATGATATACAGATAAAACTAAATTAGAAATAGTAGACAAAATATCCTACTTTTTCCCTCTAAAATAGTAGCACAACAGTCGACACAATTCTTTCGCTTCAGAATTTCTTCGTTTTCTCGATTCTTGATATCAAATTAGGAAAGATCCATAGGCATCCATCTTGTGGCCAATGTATACACTCTGGGTAAAACGGAATGACACAATAACCTAGGTTAGTAAAAGTTTACCAACGGTGGATCGATATAATTTAACTTCATGAGTCATATTTTGCATTACGGTGGTAGTTTTGATAATTATAGCTATGGCTGTTACCCTATACTGTTAACTCTCGTTTTCGATCAAAAATCAATAATATGTGCAAGGCAAATTGGAATTCACTGACTTTCGCAGCCTCGTTCAGTAAATCAGTTATTTTGTTTCTTTGAGTGTTCCCCTGAAATTTGAAAGTTTACCACCAATTATTTAGCCAATTTATTTTGTTTTCGATTAAAGTTTTAAATTTTCTCCTGGTGAGCGCTTTCCTTGGTAAAAAAACTTGGCTCACATTGAATTCTTCCGACTTGGAAATGAAAGTACGAGGATTCGAGTGAATCAATCAAGCTTTTTATTTATTCACAATGGCCGTTACACTGAAGAATGAGTATTCGAGTAAATTAAGCTTGTTTAGTATTTCGAAATGCCATTGTTAATAAGAGATGGTGATAAATTTTATTAGGAATGGAAGTGTGAAGTGGAAGCAAAAATAAGATTTCCTCTGGTGGAGCTAGGGCCACGATAATTTTGTCCCGCGTTGAACTGAAGAAGAATAACACAATTTGTCGGCAAAGTCAATCTCAACTTCGAAATATTTATTCAGCTACGCTTACATACATTTTTGGGAATCTAAGAAATAGGAAAATTTGAGTTTTTCTGTGTAAAAGTGGACGTGAAATGGGCAACTTCTGAACTAAATTGTCGTCAAAATGGTTTAATATCATGAGGTACTTGAGCTTCTTTTGAATATCGCGAAACTCTTTGAAGTTGAAAGGTGGGTGTTCGCTCACGGAAACTTAACGATTAATTAAATTCGCCTTTGCAATTTCTCAGAGAGAAATGCGTACTTGAGCCGAGTAGTTGGCAAATTATTACGCAAACTGGGGCGAGGTCGTGTTATTAAGACGTTCCCTGTTTATTCGTCTCGAATGGTAACTGTGGGATTTGTTTAATTGGTTCTGCACATTCTTTCGCTTTTTATCTCCTTATTTCCCTTCACAACACACAAACAACAAGTTAAGACTTTTAACGAGCTGTAATTCCGTGGCTAAACTCTTTCGTTTTCCATGCAAATATTCCTTCACCTTGGTTTTTCTCCATATGAATCGCCAGGGGCGGTATTCGTGGTGGTGTTATTGGTATGTTCCCTAAATCTTTTACGTGCTTAAGTGCGAAACAAGAGTCAAGAGCATTAGAAAGGGACTGCACGCAATGATAGAAGTAACCATTGTGTTCTGTTAACCGTATTACAAGTAAATAATGACAAGCAAAAGTATGTAAATTGAAATAGGTTTACAGATACTTATGATTTCATTTTAGGAAAGTTTAACCAGAGTCATTTGAAATAGAATACTTCTAATACTTGGTTGTTTTCATTTGAATTAACTCTCATCTGTTGTTGTTTTGCACTGATACACTACTCTATCAAGTTTTTATTCTTCTTTTGGTTTTTAAAGAGAAAACTCGGTTTAATTAAATGATCCATTTGATTACCATTTTGACAAAGACTCTTTCTTCGTTGTTGTAAGTTTTCGTAAACGTACAATATTGGTCGTGTCATAGCTTGGTTTCACAGTTTATCAAACCCCTCTGATAGAGTTATTAAGCTATTGATCAAGGTGACTTCATTTCCTCTTTTCTATGGTTAGCAAAACATGTATTGTTTGTGAACCTAGCATGCCTTCGCTGCAGTTGATCTTATTTTTCACAAACACAACTTCTCCTGAGTCCTTTTTGGACAAACAGAGAACCTGTGGTTTATAACGTACAAAGCAGAGCGCCTCTGGTGACATAAACGTCTCACTATCGTGAAAGACGAAAATTGATACGGACCATGGCCATTCATACTTGTTAAATTTTTTCCTCGGAGTTTCTCGCTTCTCACAACCATGGATTTAAAGTTCGGCAGAAGTAAGAATCATAAATCTGGTTGTAAAACTTACATTAAACATTCTAGAACGCCGACTTCTGTCATCATAAAATTCCACATGTTTGTTCAGCGTCAGCGAAACAGTAGGCACAGGATACGTTTGTAAACAATGGCTGACCACTGTTGCCCACAATATTCCGCGTAGGCATGCGCAGCAGGAGGAATGCTTCAGGTTTGGGTCGTGCGCATGACTGAATAATTCATTTATTGCGTGAAGCGTCGCACTAAGACACAGTAGGCAGCATCTCAGTGACACACAACGCGCTTTGTTGATATTGTATCATCTATTTTTAGTAGAAGCTCGCAACAGCAAAAGTGATAATAAAAATGCACTTACATCATTTTCGCTTCAGTGAAGAAGTCACACATTAGTTAGGAAATTCACGCAGTTTGAGAAATACCGTTTTCATTCAGATCCGTACTCGAAATCCAATGGCATACTCTATGCAACGGCAGGAACAGATAGAGACGAAACGCTTGCCTGACTTAAGGCAGTATTTTAGATCTTGATTTGCTTGCTAAGTAATACTTTGTTGCAGAAAAAAACTGATCTACCACTGATTGTCACCAGGAGCTCATTAATGTTGTCTTTGAATTTATCGAGCTGTGTGCGGTGTAGATATATCTGGTCGCGAAAACCGAATAATAATAAGTTAAAGCAAGAAGTTATCGTATGCAACGGTAACAGCACCAAAAACAATGAATGAACCGCTTTTTCTTTTCACTCCTCACTGAAATAGTGTCAATATTTAAGAAAGACCAGATTGTCGCATAAAAAATACCATTGAAGGCTTGACCATTAAAAATACTGTATATGGAAATATCTTTTCAAACTGGGTAAGCTTCATTCCTCCTACATTCCTCCTGCGTCAAAAAACATCAACTTATCGAGATGAAAAATGGGGCATCGCGGTAATGTCATAAAAGCTGCTCAGTCCACACTAAATGTTGAATAAAGTGTGCTAAAATTCATTTTGCACATGCAGGGTGCTAATTAAGGGTTTACTCGATGCAACGAGTGGAAGCTTAGAATTAATCCTGTGCAAAAGTCAGAGTTTCAGTTTCCTGTCAACAGCGTTTAACATTGTAAAGCTGTGATAAGTAAAAATATCCATTGGTGCAAATTGAGAAGCTGTGAGAAAGACATCCTAGCTGGTGTCCTTGAATTTTTGTAATTTCCAAGTATAGTGGTTAATTTGATTATACAGCAAAATAATGCCTCTTGTATTCATCTGACATAACCTCCTAATCCTTTCGCAAAAATGTGTGAATTCTTTGCCATTGCTAAAGTACTTCCATTACCATTCTATTTGTGGGAGGTTTGTCGCTACCACGGATTATTTCCCCTTTACTGATAATGTTGTATGTTCTCATAACATGTTTATTTAAAACAGTTTTATTTTGGAAGGAGAATTTACGTAATGTTGTTTTTGCTTCTCTCATACAGCGCACCCGAGAAAACAGCGTCGAGAGAGAACGACTTTCACCAAGGCCCAACTGGAAATCCTAGAAGAGTTATTTAGCAAAACAAAATATCCCGACATTTTCATGAGGGAAGAAGTCGCAATGAAAATAAGCCTTCCAGAAAGCAGAGTGCAGGTATTTTGTTTTCCTTTTATTCATATATTTTTCCATGAGCAAAAGGTAGAGATGTAAGGGAAGGGTGGCATGTAAATTTAGAAACACCCTCCGTTTAGTTAGCGCAAGTAATTTCCACGCCCTAATCTCCCAAGATAGCCTTTTTGGGGGATTGGAGTGGAGAGACCGCTGACAAGCTGACACCTGGGTCCCGCCCTAGTAATAAACACATCTGTAAATTACTCTTTGTATGCCTTGCAGATGTACAGACAACTGAAAATTGAGGGATGTATTAAAGTTGCGTATTTTGTAGAGGTCTTACGATTATTCAGTTTATCAAATTCAAGATTATCAGTACGTATTTGCTTCAAACACAGATACAGGAAAGAAACATTCACAGTGGCTACATTTAGCTCCCGACATTGTGTGTAATTTTTTAATTTACCGTAATAATTTGCATGCGGCTTCAATGCATGTTTTTAGTATGACGTATTTCAACTCTCAAAATGTTTCCTTCATAAAAAAAAATAACAACAACGAAAAGAACTCCATTTCTGTTTACATTTACGATATTTGAATGAGAGACTATATTGATAGAGCATCAGCATTGATCACTTCTTGTTTAGAAGAGTGGAATCCATCTCAAGCTGGATATTTTTCTTTTATCCGTTTTACAATATCAGCCATGATGTGATGAAATATTGGCCTCACTGGTATATTTCAGCGAATACAAGATAGAAGACATTAATTTCTTCTATATTTGCTCATCAGCGTGCTTCTTAAATAAATCTAAAATCACGAGAAGAAAATTTCTATCAGTTTGTGTCAGGGACTGGGTATGTGAAGCTGGTTGTAAAGTTAATTCACATTTCATGAAAATAATGATCCTTTCGAATTACGGATGCAGAGAAGGAGAATCGTATCATGTCTTTTTTTTTCTTGTTGTCAAAGCTGGCTACCCTTCCAGACTTTGACATGTTAAAAATCACCGTTTAACAGTTTGAGGTTATCTTAGTGACTGCATGCCTCAACACAATAATATAATAACACAAGGCAAAAGAGACCATAAAAGTTTTAATACAGAAACGATTAAGAAATAGGTAAGAGAAGGTAATTATACATAGTGACTAGTTGTTAACTAATCATTCTGCGAGTTCTTGAAATTCCATAAGATGGTAGAAGCAATCTTTTACGATTTTTATGTTTTTTTTTTATAGCTTTTATCAATGTTTCATGATAATCTAGCTATAATGGAGGGTCAATTTCATCTCTGATGTTTCTCAAGGCCGTAAATATCAGGTCTTCCCGCACACTAGCCCGTGCATTTTTAAACTGTTCACCGTCAAAATTTACGGTAATTTGGGGCATGGGAAATTTTACTTGTTTGCCATAAAAGGAGCCGACGATTCAAATTTCATTTATTCAAGGTATCTTTGGGTGTTGCTTTTACAACGTACCTCTGTATACATTCGATATGTTTCATTGAGTTTCCAGGCGTACAAAAGACACTGGTTCATATTGATTGTCGTGAGTTAATAACGAAGATAATTCCTCTACACGTCTTCCTTATCATCAAAAAACGGCTTTAGATGGTTTTTGACCCGTTATCATTGCCTCTTTACAGTAATTGTGTTACACCTTATTCAAAGAAAAAAATTACGTGGAGTAACATGACATTTTGGTTAAAAAAATGACAAATGCTACATTTTTTCCATAGTTACATCGTTTTATTTTTTTTGAAGGTATACCTTTTCTATTAGTTTATGTAACCATTTTTTTTTTCTGCGAGGTTGCTCCAGGATGCCATCATGATTCGTCACTATATATTTAGCTAACAGTCTTAAAATAGATCTCTCTTTGTGTTTGTCTCTCCAGGGGCTCAAAACAAAAAAAGACAACACCCTAACCTTGGTTTTTGATGCATTTTTAAAGTCGATCTCAGGAAATACCATTCCGTAATTCCTCATAAAACAAATGGGCAAAGGAAACACAACATTAAAATTTAAAGTAGCAATGTGGTTTCGAAGATATATACCTGCTCTGAATAGCCGACACACAAAGGAACACTTGTTATTTTTTTGCTTTTTGCTTCAAGTAATGGAAGTAGAAAATTGATCTTAAGCTGCTAAATTAGCTTAACGGAGACAAAAGAGGCAATATGTTTCCGAAGATATGTAGTTGTGCTTGATGCTTGATATCTTATAAACAAAGGAATACTTTTGATTTTTTTTTGTATGTCATAGAAGAATGGAAATTGATCTTAGTCCCTAAATTAGCTTAAAGGAACAAGAAGTTTTTTATCAATTGTGATCTAACAGCGAGGATTACTTTCAACAAAGACTTTTGGCGATAAAAACTGTCTGGCCTTAACAGTCACGGAATTTCAAGTCACGAATTCGGGTTTAATTTTCCGGGATAAAATGTCTTGAGAGATTTCTGATGATAAAACAATACCAACATCGTTGGATGCATCAGTAATTGTTGAATGCATTATAAAACACTAGTTTTCTCAAACTTTATCCTAAAATATTTCTTATATTGTATATCTTTTCATTTCCTTGAATGAAGAAGGTTTAGAATTTGAAAGTCGTGATATGATACAGGAATGTTTTCCATACGAAGACGAGCTGTCGTTGCTAACAGGAATATCAGAAAAATAGGTTATCGTTGGTCTTTATGTTGGATGTGTTCCTAGCGATCACTTTGTGAGGGCTGGATACTTTGCTCTCAAAAAATGTTAACAATAAGCTGTTCTTTCATTTATCGCAGTTAATTGTGATACTTGGGGAGATACTAACTGTTAGACTCTGCGTGAATTTAGAGTATGACCATTCTAATGAAAGCAAAAGAGAATTTCTTCCTTGTGGCATTGGTTTCTTGTATAAAGGGCTAGTTTCGCCTCTGATCCTTAAAGCTTTTCATATACACTTTTTGGCAAACAAATGACGAGAAGAGACAAGATCATTAGCTTGAGACTCAAAACCAAATTCTCCTAACTAATCTAAGAGAAAAATTGAAGCATCTGGAAGGGAGCGCGCTTTTCGAGGACAACGGAAGCAGTAACACACAATTTTCACTTAGGGACTCGTTGCTTCTCGCCAGACAAAAACATTTTATAAAACCCTTAATCCCAGTTGTGGGGTAAATCCCGTATCACCGGTCTGGATAATCCACAAAGGAACGAAGACATATTCCAGCGAAAATGCGATCAGGATATCAGTGATAGAGCGAAAGATAAGGCATGTTGACAGGTACCAACCTTGGCAGCCTGGGTACGAGGTTAAACAGGTGTAAGATCTGGATAAGCACTCGGAGATTCCACTTTGATTTTTGTTTTTCGCCTTTTATGAGAGAAAAGTTATTCACCGCAAGAATTTGCCGTGGTTACCCAACAGGATATCTTGTATTGGTTAATTACGGCTAAAAATAAAACTGTCTTATTTGTGCATCAGCAACTGAGGTGCAGTCAGAGATATGCCATACAATTGAAAATACATTCAAACATAATGATTGAGCCAACTCCTTATCCTTGCCTGACTCATCGACAGTCGACAGCGTACAAATGATACCATTTTTGTCTTTTAATTCTTTAAACTTTACATTAGGTTTGGTTCTTTTTTGTTCATCGCGTATTATTCGTATCTTCAATTTTTCGGGAAAGCGAATTTCAGCCTTTTCTCTGACTATGCTTTGGCCATAGATTTCTTGGAGAAGGCGACAAATTTCATTTACACCACACCAAAGGTAACCGTGCCACCCTAACCCATACCAGAATCGTTATGCGAGAGAAAAGACTAGTAGTGAACATTCTTTTACTACAATGGGCTTTATCACAACAACTGGAGACATTTTTAAAATGACAGAGAACCTTGAATTTAATAAAATTATGAAATGACATTACTAAGATAACCAAACATGAAAAGAGTAAGATGACACCAAAAAGGACCAAGCATGCATCAAAATTACAAAGATTTACCCCCTTTACTCTCCATTACTAATTATATTCTCCACACTGGCATCTTAACATTTTCTACGTTACCAGCAAGGAGAATTTGATCGATAATCTGAAGCTTTTTGAATTGGTGATCATTTCCTTTATTTTTATGACCTTAATATTTGGTTCAAAGGTGATTTTGTAAGGTGAAATTGGAAGCCAGTCACTCTTTAGGGATACATATTAAACAAGGATTTTATATGAACTGAATGATCAGAGGTCAAATTGCGACGTGCTTCTGCATTAGCTGAGGTCAATATGTATTTTCTCCTAAGCATTTTAATACATTTTCTACAAGTGTGTTAATGAGAATTACTTTGCTTGTTGGCTTTAAGGTATTATTGTAATAGGACACTTCTTACTGTTAACTGGTATGGTAAGTTAACTGGATAGGTTTGAAGTAGATAGTGGGGGTTAAATCGTAACCCAAAGCAAAATGTTTTAGAACTCATTTTCTGTAAGCATTGTGATCAAACTCAGTGTACTAATTGCACTTTTCACCGATTTAGGTTTGGTTCAAAAACAGAAGAGCGAAATGTCGCCAACTGGACAAAGCTGCGGAAAATAAACGAAAACTCGAGAAGAAATCACCTCCAGGAACAATTCCGACGTCCAAAATTGAACAAAAGAAATCAAGTCCTTCTCCATACCAGCTCCCCAGCTGCAGCGCAAATATAAATAACATGTGGAATGGGCCAGCATCTACCCCGCTAACACACAGTCAAAATTACCCCACCCCTCCCGTGTTAACAAACAATTCCGGTCCGGTGTTTATGCCTCCCCCACACCCTCCCCCTGCACCGGCACCCCCGCCATATTATCGTCCGAACTCTGACTGTTCATACATGTCGGCGTCACCTTACATGCATATGAATAGACCTGGCGAGCAAGCGTACCCACCGACTCATATGTAACAACTGTTCAACAACTGTTAGATTTTCGCGAAACAATGGTGAACATGATTCGTCTGCGCCAATGGAATATCCAGAATAGAGTATCGCACGAAGATTGCCGAAGGTATCCGAATATTTCAAGGAGTACGGAAGAGAGCACGCTGAATGAAGTTCACGGGAATCGGCTGAATCCTCGAAGGCAATTTTTTTCAAGAAAAAAACTAAGCAGAATGTTGTACATACGATTTAAAGAACACAGCTTTTGCACTAGCCGCAGTGTATATTAGCTAGCATAAATTTCACATTTAGAGGTTTTTAAACACGTTTATTTCTATTGAAGACTGAACTGGTCATCTCGGAGACAAGAAATGGTTGGCGACGCCCCCCCCTCCCCATCCCCCCTTCCGTTTCTTCAATGAGCAACAAGTCTTCACTTTTTATTTTTGAGTCATCTTTGTTATCTTTTACTTCGTGTAATTGATGCTTTTCTCCAATTCAGTTTACGACGCTTGTTACATTTTTAGCAATCAAAAGGTAGATACATTTAAGATCAATACAAAAGGAAAACTTAAAGCTCTTTAAGATTTCTTTTCTCGTCTACACATTCACCAATCATTCGGTAATCATTAGAGGTTCTGAGAAGTTTTTTTTTTGAGGGGGGGAGCACTTCCTTACTTGGCCAGAAAGGGTGTGTGCCATGTGTCACTAAACAGGTGTGATTTCGGAGTTTAAAGTCTTTTAGGGAGTACACTATTGTACAATTTAGCTTCATCAGTGTTTCATCGGTACCAATTCCCCTTCTCCCCAGCCATTAAAATTGCTCAGGGGTAATGGAGTAACTCGTACCCAGTTCATTACATATTATATTGGCCATTGCAGGACTGAGAGGGGATTCGAGAGAGATTTTACAAAACAACGAGTGCTTGCCACTGAAAGTGTAAACACATTCTTAAACTACGATGTGGTTGAGATCCCAGTTTTTCGTGACGCCCAATACGGTCGGTCGAACATCAGTTGGGTTCAGAACAAACCACGATGTTCGATGGTGCCACAACTGTTGTTCAATTAAAGCGTTAGGACATGAAAGTTAACGTTCAGAAGAAGTTCAAGCAACATCTAATACCATCGAACAACCTTGAACCCTCCTCCTTTCCTATCCTCTCTAAATGCAAAACAGTTGCAGCTTTAATGCAAGTCATTCTGCTCTACGATGATTGCAAATTGATAGAGCATTTTAAGGTATTCAGAGAATCATCTCCTGTATGTTAAAGATTGAATCTTTTCTCTTGTGGTTCGGACTAATATTAAGTGTCTGCCACAACTCCAAGAGAATAGTAACACACAATTTCGGTTGGGCTTCAAAGATGCTCAAGCATTCCGTCACCATGGTTATTTCCTATCCTATCCCTCCACCCTTCTCTCCCCCCCTTCCCCCCCCCGTCCCTCACCCTGCGCCCTCTCCCCACTCTCTTCTTCCCTTTCGTGCTAGGAGAGGTACACTACCCCACACGGAAAGCCACTCAGCCCCGAACAAAAGCGAATTCGTTCCATGCTACAGAAATTTTGGATACAATCCCTCATAGAGTGACAACCTGGCTGAACCTGTGTATAACCAGCCCCAGTTCCCTAAAAAAAGAAATTCAGCACAAACAAGAGGACACAAAAATAAGTTAAAAAGTAAGTCATAAATAGAAAAATAAAATCTGTATAAGTTTCATGAAGCTTTGCTCCTGTTCTTTCTGTGAAAAGAATCCATTCTTTCTTGCTTCTCTCCACGGCACAGGACACAGCTGTATTTGCTTTTCGTCCGGGCGAGTTGTGCATAAGCCTTTTCGTCGATACCATCACAATCTGAAAGGTGAAAATCATCCTCTTAAAAGTGCAATGTGAACCCTTTACAATCCAACATCAGTATGCATATTCTCCACACTGTTCTTTGGACATTTTCTAAGGTGACGTAAGAGGAACTAAAGTTCAAATAGTTCTTTTCCCAACTGAATTGTCACAAACCTGTATATAAACCTTACATAAAAGTTTTCTAGCTCTGTGTATGATTTAAGTGATTAATAACAATCAGCACACAAGATGCATATTGCATAACCCATCCTAACTGAGATAACCTTGGTTTTCAAAGTATAAAACAACTAGCAATTATGCTCCTTCCACCGTAAGTAACTGCCCAGAATTTACCGGAACCCAGCTATACTCCTAAGTGGCTTGAAACGAGGAACCACGAGAATAAAGTGTTTTGCTCAAGAATACAACACTGTGACATGGAACCCAAACTTCTGGATTTGGGCTTCGGCGCTGTAATGTCTTCCAAATCGAAATGAAATAAGGGTAAAAAAGCAGTTCAGTCAAACCTGTGTGAATCCAGCGGTCACACATGTCACAACACACCATGGGCAAATCAGACTCGTCATTGCGGTAAACTTTTAAGCAAACCGGGCAGAAGTTTCCTGCGCGGAACAACCTGTGAGAGGAACAATGGAAAAGGTAACATCAACATGTACGTGAAGTAAACATAGGAGAGAACAATGGACCACCATCATGCAAGTCATTCATAAAGCATATAAGCAACGTTTCCTTTACAACCTGAAAACAAGGAAAAAATCGATCGCCCCTAAAAATTCGACCAACGTTTATTCTTACTTTGATAGCGTAGTATCTACAGGAATTGCAGCAAGTCCACACATGTAAAATGCGTGTACTTTTTATGTGCGTGTACAATACGTGGACACTGCACGCAGTGTTTAAGAAATAGCATAATGTAACCGTTTATACCTGGAACAGGCAGAACACAAGGTTTGTAAGAACTGCACTTCTGATCCGTCTCGTGGTTTGGTGTACTGTGGGGCACATACGAAACCAAATTAGCTGATACACGTCAAAGCACTCATTAGCTGGTTGCAGTAAAAGGGAGTAAAACTGTAAGAAGAAGTTATATAAACCTCGTGTTTCCATCTGGAGGTTGGGCCTTCACCTGGGGATCTTCTCAAGCAGGATGCACACATACCACACTTATCACATGTCCATCGACCTGATGAAAGAAACCAACACAGTGGACAATCAACGGCACCCACCGTTTATTTGCAAAATGCGTCTACTTTCGTTCTCTCTATAGGCTTGTTTAGTTTTCCAGTTGGGACTCATAGTTTTGGTAAAAGGTGCCTCGTCTTCATCGTGCGTGTTTACCCCCTCTCCCCTCCTCATTATTTGCCCCTTCCCTCACCCCATCTCTCCTCCCCTCCCCAGGAAGTCCTTCCCTGCAGGTCTTGTCGAGGTAAAATTTAAGTTTCAACGCGTTTAGTGGGGTTGTAAAACTGTAACATCATTGCTACATTTCAATCAGTGTGTTGATCGCATACAATGGACACCGATTTTCACCAAGATTTACAAGAAACACAACTGGAAACTATTACCCATGATCACACTTACAAGTACTTACCTACTGGTATCTGTTTGAGTCCCACACAGAAACTGTGGTATCCACGATCACATTCGTCACAGAATAACATCTTATCCTGTCAACAAAGACCTTAGAATTAAACTTTACGTCCGAGTTGATAACTCGTGCGGTCAAGCAAGTGAACGTGTGGGCAGAGGGATATTTCATTTTTCAAAATGAGTTTGTTTCCAGACAAACTTTTAAGGTAATTTAAATTCGAAAGTTTATCACAGGGAGTGGAAGAGGAGCTAGTTTGCAGTATAGCTCAATTAACCATAAGAGTAGTTTGGATCATACAGATGTACATAAGAGAGGGAATGACTAACGCTAAAACGATAATTTCCTCATTCGTCGCTGGTAAAATGTTTTCGACCTTGTGGTCTAATGGCCCGGATGTTAAAAAGGCATGAAAAGGTCTGTTATCAGTAGAAGTGACTGAAGTTTTGACCACCTGAGTGAAAAATGTTATGAAAGTCACGTGAATCAGACCCCTAAACTCTTAACTCTAAAGATGACATCCGTTTTGGTTGTTGAAACGTCTGTCAATTTTAACGGCGACAGTTCTTCTCAGGACAACTGCCCTCACCCGGACTATCAAACAATTTACTGTGGCAACAAGTAAATAATCCTTAACAATAATCTCTTCTCCATACCTCTGACATGTGATGCACCTTCGTCAGATCTCAAAACATTCTGTACGTGTACAGTAAGTACTGCTTAAACTCGATCATGTCATTTTATTTACCTCATCAAACGGGTCGCGGCAGACGATGCAAGTTTTACATTCCATGCATTGCCATGGATATGTCTGGATTACTACAACCAACTGGGTGTTCATGTCCAGACATGTGGGATGTCCTGTGCAAAACACAAAAGTCCTTAGTGTTCCTGTGATAACAAAGTTTTACTGCATGTCTTGCACTTACACAATTCCTTCACAGGGCTATTCTTTAAATACAGACTGATAGATGTTGCAGAAAGGAAGATAACATAGTGAACGTGTACAGCCAAGATAGTTTAAATATCCATTCATAATTAAGAGTACATCATCTCAGCTAAAACACAACCAAGCTAAATTACACTCGTATAATTACCATTAACAAAGATATAATTCTTATTTTGTTCTTGCAACAAATCTCCTGCAGAGTTAACACTTAGCAATCAAAGGTCACAGTTTTCCATATTTTCAAGAGCAAATTATTCATCATAAAGCTATATTTCTATAGCTATAGCTACAACTTCACAGGAAAAGCTATAGGAAAACTTTTCGTAAAACATCTGCAAACAACTGGCCTATCAACCAAAGCAGTCAGAACACAGTCATGCACAGACATACCACTATTCTCACACTGTGAGCAGTGTATAAGTTCCTCTGGCAGTCCTTTCTTGTTTGAATCTGGGCCTTTCAAGCAAATGCCACACAGTGCATCGGGACGTTTTGGGGGCTGTGAACAAGATGTCAAGGTGACAGTAGAGTTTTATACATGCGCTTTCATTGTAACATTCATATTGAAAAAATAATGAATAGGAAGTACTCGTTAGATTTTCCCAAGTTTTCAACTGTCTCCCAAAACTCCCAATCCAAAATCAAGGGATGACATTAAATAATTACTGGATGAAGTTTTTGTGATATCCAGAATAATCATCTGAAGGCTGATAACCCTTACCAAGACCTTGATTATTCTGGATATTACAAAAACTGAATCTAATAATTGTTTTATTATACAAAAAATGAAAAAAGAAATGGTCCCAACAATAGGTGGAATTGATCATTTATTTCTAAACTCAAAATCAGCAAGCAACACGAGGCGCACAAACTTGAAAAGATTACCCTTGGAAATCATGCACCATGGTCATTCATGACCTGACTACCTGCGACCTTTAGTGTCCTCGACATGACTATTGTATAATCTGCAGCTAGATGACATCCTAGATGCTGAATTTGGAAATTCAATGTACACTTTCAGCTAGTCAGAAACCAGATTGTGAGTTGAATGTATAACAATCTGTATCATTTCACCTGTATATTTCTATTCATACATTATCAAAAGTTGTATATAAATTGTACTAACTTTGTATTTTCCTGGTATTTTCTTTGCCGGTGGTTCTTCTATTTCCTCTTCAGAACTGCTATCACTACCTTCTTCAGCTGTTGAATCCTGTGTGACAGCAAACATTTTTCAAAGTTCAATTTTGTGTGAAAACCATGAACACCAGAAATATTCATGGGATACTTATGTAATTCATGGGCCTAAAATAAAGTACTGTTAACCCTATCATTACAAGATTCTCATTAGCAGTTCTCCTTACTGACTACCATGGAGTTCTTCTAAGGCTGATTTGGAGAATATAATATTGGATCAACTAATAATTTCCTAATTGGTATTTTTTTCTCACCTATTGTCTGCTTGATAGACCAGTGGTTGTGAGGAGAAATTCTATCTTGGGAGTTGAAGGTTTAACCCCTTAACTCCCACAGGTGATTAACATGAAACTTCTCCCTATAATATTCATGTATTACTCAGGTGACAGGTAATGAGAATATTCAAACTTATCAGGTAGAAGCTGCTATCTTGATCTAGCACCAAGTTCTTATAACTAATTACGAGGAAATGTATAGCTGCTAGAGGGAAGAATTAACAAGAAGATCTGGGGAGTTGAAGGGTTAACAAACTATTGAACAGTGAATGCATAGAGAAAAAAATGCGAATTCAACCTACTGGCAAGGATATATCATCTGATTCTTCAGAGTCTACTTGCTGTGGAGGTACATATGGTTCTGGAGGCAGTGGGGGCTTTGGCATTTCCATAACAGTACCAAGTGGAAAGTTGTTTAGCTCTTCTGAAGTGTACCTTGAAACAAACAATGAAAAGCACAAAAACATATGTCAACTTAATAATGATTGCAATAGTTCCTAGCCTTTAAAAAAAAGAGCAAAGACAACATCTGGTATGTGCACAACAAACATTTGTTACAAGCTCATGTACATGTATATACAGTGTGCAATATTATTTCAAGTCTTGAACTTTCTAAGAAACATAGGAAAAAATGATGTTGGCAATACAGAAACATGATCTTCATTTTATTGAGATTACTTATCAGAGTTTTTAGTCTTTCACAATTTAACCACTTCAGACAGAAATATTTTTTTTAACAAAAGGGGTTTTTTACCGCTGTATTTGTCACTTTAGGGTTTAAAGAGAAGGATTAATAGCATTTTTGTTCAATATCGTTAAAGGTCTCTTACTGCCTAGACCAAAAAGCAGCAAAAGCTAAATTCATTTAATACCTTTTATAGTATTCCTGGAATTGTCCTGGAAGAAGAGCAACTGGGTATAAACTTGGTTTGGTGCAAGGCTTTGTTAATCGTGTTGTCTTGTTGGCTGGAACATGGATTATCTAGAGTAGGATATGAAACATTTTGTACAATAAATGTAAATCAGAAATAAAAATCTACACCTTCTACTAACTGAGTTCAAGGTCCATACTGTAAGTTATAGACCAAGATTGTCTACTTGGGTTTATGGCCCTTGAGCGAAGCGAGTATTAATGGGTTCTGACCAATCGTCAAGGAAGCCTGGGAAAATGCTGAGGGTGGCCTTGTGATGAACTAGCCTCCCATGCAGGGAAACCAGAAAAAATATCTGCTGAGTGGTCAACCTGGTTTGAGTACAGACCTAAGAACATTTGATCTTACTTGAGTCTGCATGTCAAAGTATGAACATCTCTCTTCTCTCCTCTGCTGAGCCAACTGAGCATTGAACTCTGCCACATCTTTGATGGCCCGTTTGATGTAGTTTGCTACTTTTCTAGTTTCCAAAGATCTCTGTAATGGAATGTGCAACAAATATAAGTCTTTTTTCCACTATTTTTAATTCAGTTTTCAAATTATCAATATCATATTAGCTGGCCCCCAATAGTAATCATAGCTAGTTTTTTGCAGTCAGTAATTAACCCTTTAATTCCCATGAGTGACCAAGACAGAATTTCTCCTTACAATATCAATGTAATATCAACCAGATAAGTGATGAGAATAAAGAAAAATATCAATTTGGAGATAACTAGTTGATCCAATACTAAATTCTCTGAACTAACATTGTAAGAATTGTATGGTTGACAGTAAGGAGAGTTACAAATTTGATCTGGGAGTTAAAGGGTTAAGAACAATATAACTGAATAAACTATTTATGTTAAACTAAACTGTATTCAGTGTAGAGAAATTTTTGCAATTGAACACTGAAACTTCAATATCAAGAAATATGTTGAAGAGGAAATTATTGCATGGTAGCTTGTATATTAGCTTATTGTTTACAACAATTTACTTTTGTTATAATTGTTATGGTAGTTAAGTATTATTATCTTTGTTTGCCTGGATGCCACACAAAATATGATAGAGTTCAATCTAAAAAGATTTTCTTGCTCTAAAATTAGAGTCTGTTGGATCATCAATCAGTGAACCAATGTACATGTATTTACTTTCCTTTAAAACCATTTACCTTTTCTTCTTCTGCTTTTCGAATTATCCTTTGACGTTCCTTAACATGAGCCACCCTAATATATTCCTGTAAAAATTTTTGTTAATAAGAAATTTGGTCACAAAATTTTTTGAAAATGTGTTCATACAAACCCATTCATATCATTATCAGTTTGTTGTTGACACTGTTAACTCTTTGAACCCTAAGAGTGACTAGCATCTAATTTCTTCTTTCAATATCACCCCTGAATCACATATTTAGGTCACGAGAATGAAGGAAATAATCACAAAATAAAGAAGCTCATAATTGTCAGAAAAATTCTCTTTATCAACACCATATCAAATGCACAGAGAGCAGTAAGGAGAAAACACATACTAATATCAGGGTATAAAAGGTTTAAAGTCATTTACCTTATATTTTTTGGGAAAACTATCTATCATTATTTGACAAACATCCTCAGTCTTATAAGCTGTTAATTCTGAAATATAGAAGCAGATGAGGACAAGGGTGTTAGTGGTATAAGGTAGTGTAGAAAAATTAATGCAATTTCTTGGATCATTGACAGGTTCAAAGGCACTAAATACAACTGTACAGTTCTCAAGAAGTTAATAGAGGGCAAATTATAATTTTCCGTTTAACCCTTTCACTCCAAAAAGTGATTAACCAGTAACCTCTCCCACTAATATCCATACAAGACTAAGCAAACAGGTTATGAGAAAACTCAAGTTTATCTGGTAGAAGTTGTTGCCTTGGTCTAACACCAAATTCTCATAACTAGTTTACACGGAACTTTTGTAGCAGCTGGAGGGGAGAATTAACATCTGATCTTGGGAGTTCAGGGATAATTCTAACAAGTGATAGATGTACCTTGTGTTTCATCAGTGATGACTCCCTGCTCTTTAAGATACAGTTTTTCATCATCCACTACAACGTGCCTCTCTAAATCTGAGAAAAATTCACAAAATAATCTTTAAAGCAGATACCACAAACAGAACGCAGTCTGAGTCCTTGGAAATAGAAATTGGTAAATTGAAAAAAAAAAAAAAAAAAAAAAAAAGAAAAACAGAAGCAGCTCTATCCTTATCAGCCCTACCAAAATAACTTGCTCCAATGTAGTCCTACATGTATGCGACACTAAGTAAACTAAGCTACACTGTTTATAAAAAAGTCTTAGTAATGGAGTTTTCTTTTATTGAGACCTCTAATGTCAGAGAGAAGAGCATTGGATACCAGGTTGCATCAGAGCTCTTCCATAAGTTTTCAGGAATTTTTTCAGTGTCCTTTGAAATATTTGGGCATGTCTAGTAAGTCCCTGGAAATGCCTTATGCCTTGTACTAAGAATAAAGTTGACTGGAATAATGGAGAAACAGTTTTTCATACTCAGTTGCTTTAGCTAATTATTCTTAACACATAAATAGCCAAAATCTCTCACCTGTATTTCTTTCTTCAAGATCTTCTGTTTCTAGAAACTGACACACTTGATGCTGCAGAAGATAATACTCTCCTGATCTGTCAGGAGGCCATTGATACTCAAATAATCTTTCTGCAGTAAAGGCCTCCTCAACAATTTCAGGGGAAGAGGGATCAGGAACTTGTTTATTTGTTGTTTCAGTGGAGAGTTTTTCATTCCCTTGTTCATTTACCGAGTTCTCTTTCTGTTGCTCCTCCTGTATTTCAGTCTCTGTCAAAACTTTTGGTTCTTTCAATACAGCTGACTTCCTCTGGAAATTCAAGAACAGAGTGATGTTTTATTCGCTTCCAAATTATCAACACTAGTTAAAGAAGGAAAGAGACAAACAAACAGTGAAAAAATAAAGAAAGTAGCGCCAAGTTTCACACGCCACACGATGAAATCAAAACATTGAAATTACACCTTTCGCACATAAAATACATCTGCCACTCTACGACACTATTTAATTTACAACACCAACCTTCCGTGGCATTCTTCGAGCAAAAATTACACCAAAAGCTTGCTACACTAGAGCATTGACAAAGCCGCTATCGCCGCCATATGCAGGCCTGGAAGCTGAGGTCCAAACCAGTTCACCACGAACCTTGCGGAAACGAGGCTACCACGTGCGGGATATCACTAACAATGTCAAGAGAGCAAGATTTTCAAGCGTGTAAGATGCCACTCAAGCTCAAGTTGTAAATTCAGAAATACTGTTTAAAACCGAAAATAATAGCAAAAAACAAAAAGAAGTATTATTTTTTTTTAATCGCCAAACGGACGAAAAGTTATTAATTCTTCATGTGTGATAATGCATAAAAGTGGTGTGTACTGACCCAGATCTGTGGCAAATAATTCAACGATGAAACAATAGGCCGACATATTTAGAATAAAGAGTACCACTGGCTGATTGGGAGTGGATTACTAATTGAAAATGAAATGCAGAAACACTCTGTTGACAGTGGTCTGGATTATACTGAACAACATTTACATTGCGTGGACCTGTCGACCCCCCTGGCGACAAGAGACTTTTCACACATGGTCTCCTTGTACGATATAATCCCTTAAGTCTTCGCGCAAACATTTCAAACAATTACTTAGTCGCCTTTTCGAAAGAGCACAAAGAAAAAACCGGACGTTGCCGTCTACGAATGTGGAAATATTACCATTTCAGGAAAAGAAGCTAATTACAGAACAAACGAGCAATAACCCGAAACTTTTCTTAAACAATACGAAATAAAGTTTACTGCCACGAGGCGTAGGAGTAGCTCAAATTATCTTTTGCATTTTCAGCAGTGTAGACGGGCTGGAAATGTTAACATACTCAGTTTTTCCTCGATTACAAAGCGCATAAACAAATCCTGGATTCTGAGCACCTAGTTTGCTTTTTTCGCGCTAAACACGGTTTTCCCACTCCTTTTCTGATGACTTACTGACGTAATTAAAATCAAAGATAGGCCAATATGGGTTAAGATAACTACTGATAGTAGTCATCCCCTTCATGAACTGCTTCCTGGGAAAAGGGGACACCCTTATATCCTGCCACGTGTCAGAACTGAACGTCATAAACGTTGTTCTATACACAGATTTTATTCAATTGTTATTCATACATTCGTACTTACCGAAGCGGCTGAGTTACACGGTCATCTTCCGCTTGTGGTGAACCTGACCTGTCAGTTTACATCAGTGCACTTCTATAAGTTTTTCAGGCAACCATAACCGTGTTTTCTGGTTTTTTGTTTTTCTACCTCTGGCTTTTCTTTAGTTGATCTTTGAATGTCTTGGCAATCAAGCACTGCACTCTTTGAATGTCTTGGCAATCAAGCACTGCAACGAGTCTTTATGACCTACGAATGACTCTCCATTCAAACCAATATATTTTCGGCGAGTGGGAGATAGGAGTTTCATCGATTGAAGCCTGCACAACCCATTTTGTTGACATTACATAACGTGGCTCGAAAACTTACCGGCATAGGCATGTTGAATAGTTCCCTAGAGCTCTTTACATCCAGGGTTGACACCTTTATTATCTAAATCAAATTATTTTCATGCATGTCATGCTTACAGGGTTAAATGATGAGAGTCAGTAAAGCATTACAAACCTCTTGTCAGACTGTGGGCTCAAAACAAACAGACCCAGCAACGTGACACATTTACTTGAAGAAAGGCCGGTTTAAAACCTTATATAAGTGATTTACATCATGACAAACTTCCACGTGAAGACTTGAGGAGTTCTAACTTATGTATAACTATTTTAAAAACATAAGGGTGCCAGGCTTCTCCCTCTTCCTCCTGTCTCCCGCGCAGATAGCATATCCTAATCTTTCTTGGACGTCTTTGAGTATCGGTTTTCCGCTTTTTACACCGTTAACGACTTTATAATTATTGTGCCAAAGGGTTTCCTGCGAAGCCTCGACATTTCGATTGTCAGTGATTGAGAGAAGACAGAGACAATATCCATTTTCTTGAGAGCTTATTTCAAAGGTTCAAACCCCCAAAGGAAGCTATTACCCTGGAACATATTATAATCATCCTCCAGTCCAAATTGTATTGTTTAGCTTGCATCTTGAGAAACCGATAGATAGCTCTTGATATACTGAAACGAAACTGACTGACGACTCAAATTTCCTACATTTTATATTCTTGCGTTGCCGAAAGGCCAAGATAGTAACTAAAATAACCGTATTTTGCTCAAAAAAGATAAGCCTATACATTTTAAGTTATATCTGTAGCACTAGGCTATTTTTGAAAGAAAGTCGTCTTATAGAATGTATTAATATCTTTCCTCCTTATTCATAGATAACCCATCACCGCCCTCCCAGCCTGTTATAACACGATTAGTAAAGTGTCATCTACCGTTCGTGGGGTTAATACAGAGTGCACGCGAAAGGGCGGTGGTTGACCGCGGAGATACAACCTGCTTGAAATTTCACAACTTGTTTGAACTATTTTGACACGTTGGCATCCTGCAAGGAGAATCCTTATGAAATTAATTCTTCATCGTGGCTGGATTATATAGGTTTTAAACTAAACAGAGGAGGAGCTAAACTCTTGGTATACATGTTTAACGAAACATCTGCGAATCGTTGCGTCAAAGTCAATACACGTACCTTCCACTCTCAATGTTTATTAAACTTCACCTATGTTCAATTTTCCTTTCACTGACATGAAACAAGTTCCTCCTCTCGTATAATTCCATAATTATTAACATGTATTCCATCGCTCTGCCGGATTTTTCGAAGCTAATAAACAAAACTTGCCGATGTCTCATTCAGTCTGATGTACATACAGATATACTGAGTTGATTTATGATTTAACTTCAAAAGTAACGGCAAGGTTTTCTAAACATATCGTTTAAGTAACACGACAATGTGAATTGTAAGCCCAAAAGAACATCTGGAAATTGCAGCTCTGTAGAATTGATAATAGTGAGATAGCGTGTAAATGGCTACGCCACTCTGTATCGCAAAAGAACGTGGAACGGATTTTGTCACAAGCTGGCTATTTCACTTCGGCGTTAGGGTTATATTCGGCAGCTTTAAGCATTCTCTTTCTTCCTCTCCTTCTCAAGCTTTATCTTTAAGCACACGTGCAGAAAGAGCTAACGGACTCTCTCCTTCGTCGGAGCTGGGGATGTTGGAACGATTCTATCAGCAAGAGTAACTAAGGTACAATGAAGCCAATGAACCACAGTGTACTTTTACAGTTTTCATCCCTAACAGCTTTCCGCCCATGACATACTTTCTCTAATGCAGAGATCAATGAAATCTTACTCAATACAATATCAAATTTATGAGTGCAAGCGGTTCTGGACCACGAAAATGCCGACCAATAATTTTCGCTGTATACCACTGATGTTCGAAAGATTTGGTTTTCGCCACAAACGATGTTCATCTCTGAGGACACATAGCACGCATAGATTAACTATGTTCAGAGAAAAAGAAACCAACCAAAATCTGAAGCAAGCTGTTTTAGAATGTTTTCTTCATAAACTCAGTCATTCTCTCAAAAGGTGAGTCAGTTTAGTTTATATCCACTTCGGCGTTTTAGGAATAACCCGCACACGTTAATGTGTTGACCGCAAAATTAGCGAAACCTTTGCGTCCTTTTAAGTTATTCATTCAAAATAGTTGGAGTCACAGGTTTGGTACAGTAGGAGGGTGAGAGGAACAGAATTAATTGTACATCATCGCAAGTCTTTGGGGTAAACTGCGAGGTCATTTGCATCATACTACACAGACCACACGTGCTCATTTTATAAAACCATTGCAGAAACAGTCTGAGGTCTCTCCTATGCGCTATTTTATCCACAAATTTCTCAAAGCGATTGAAAATCTCAGATCAGTTGAAAACGGTCTTGCTGTCCGTTAGTCGCACCCTAAATTCAAAGAATTGGCGAGTTCAACCCAATTAGCCTTTCAAACGCAGTTTTATGTTGCGGTAAACAGGATTGCTACAATCCTCACCAGCAGAATAATGTTCAACCTCGACGGCATTTTAAGCTGTTACCATACAGAAGTAAAAAAAAACGCAGAAAACTAACGAGCAATCAAATTCATTATGCAGGCCGCAGGATCAATTTTACAAAAAGATGGAAATCCAAATCTGTGAATAATAGAACCGTGACCAATTTTTTTTGGCTTACAGATCATTGACTCTTAGAACCTTGTGATTATATACGCAAGATTGAAATCTTCACAACTCCATTTGGTTCAATTTCGTTTTCATCCGCAGACATTACTGCGGACTAACTCTGACCTAATACTGAATTGATTTGGTAGGAGAAGAGGCACAGAAAAGAGGACAACTTCCAAAAAGAATTTAGTTCATACCTTTTCAGATTATATTCGTATTTCCATAACCGAACCGGTTCGTTCCCTGTTTCCCGAGAGTATGCGTATTTGAATGTGGTTGAGTGAAATAAAAAAGATTTCAAAAAGGTCAAATACAACTTAGGTTTATTAACAAGTGGAACTTAAACAAGAACTGTTCAAGGATTGAAGGCTACAAAGAGTTCGTAGGTTTTGGCATCGATGGGGAAAACAAATTAAAGATTAGGGAGCAGAATAAACTAACAACAGACAAAAACTCATGTTCATTAACTTCAAGTAAACAGGTACGCGCAAATATACCCCCTTAAAGGGGCAAGAAATTAGAAAAACAAAGCAACTTTATTAAACTAACACATCACTTTCAGTTCCCCCCACGATGAAGAACAACAGAACTGTAAGAAGTTAATAAAAGCCGTCAAACGGTAACGAGCTCACTTACACATCTCATTGGTAATGTAATTTTGTGTTTTGGTGTTGTTAATTAAATTCTACGATGACTTTTCAATAAGAACATTTAGATGTAAGGAAGAAGTTTGTTTTTGGGGACGTGCAGTTCCTTGAAGGACCAAAGCACCGGAGACAGAATAAAGACAAAAGTAATTAAGGTGCTGATTATGTAATTACACGCCAATTCAATTTTCTCTCGCAGTCAGTTGCAGATTACGGGAGGTTTACCGCCAAAGGAAGGCACGTCTCTGCTAAGATGTCAAAATAGGCAGACTTGATAACAAGTTTGAAAAATTCTTTGATTTTCGTAAAAATGGGTAAAATTGACCACAAACAGTATGAAATCATTTTGTTAATAGTAAAGAATTGTTTGGGGTTAATCTCATTTTTTGCATACTCAAGTGAGACAGACCTGAAAACATACGGTTCTTAAGTAGGGTGTATTCATAGAGAAACCCCTTCGTGGAATGTAACTCTACCCCACAAGAGGTACGGCCGAAATGTGTAAGCGAGTTCATTGACATGAAAGATTAGAAGTGTATACATTTCATCTGTCAATCTCCAGCCTTAGTGCTTCAACAAAATGTTTATCAAGAACAAAAGAGTTTAACGAGGGTTAAGTTGTTAGGTAGAATGTATTCTTTCGAGTTCAAGATGAGCTTGGAGGCGGAAAATATAAAGGGAACAACAATAACTCCTGCTTGTGCTACATTAACCTCTAAATCGATGGGGCGGTACTTACAGAAAGCAATTCTGTCAATCATGATAGCGATGCCTTCACGATTTACGAGTTACACTTGCGCCAAATACTAAAGAGATGCTGTCAGTAAACTGCACAATTTCGAGCTAATTGAGTCCGCTCCTTGTGTTATTTTAATCAAAATTCAATTATCGCTCCAGTCCGTGATTGGCTGGTTTCTGAGGAGCTGTCCCCGGTCTAATAGAGGTCGTTCACTGTAGACAAACACCTCTTATGACGTAACGAATTAACACTGTAAGTAATTCGTAAATCCTTTTGGCTACAAAGCGGCTGGCATATTGGGCCTATTAGTCAGTCAGTGTGATTCGGTGACCCCGATCAAGCACAATTCTTCCGGCCGGTTGGCGAAACAGCGTTAAGAGCCCAGCGTTTAAGAAACTTCAGTGTGAATTAATTTGGGTCAACGTATCATGTCTGCTTTTAGATCCTCCTTCACTATTGAGAGCATTCTTTCGCGGCCAACCCACCAGCGATGTGTGCCGTATACAATTCCACACCCGTACCCAATTATCCCAGCCCTGGCTCCAGGCTATATCGGTACAATCATTTTCTTTCTTTTCATTTTACATGTACTCAGCTCGTCAAGTGGATTGTGTTCCATCCACGAACGATTTTCTTCAGCGCTTTCTATTGATCCGTCGAAACGTGACGTGGGTCGGTTCTGGCGGAGCGGATTATTGTTCGAAAAAATGGCAGTTGATTCCGTTCACGTGGTGTTATTTGCAAGATTACTGTATCATGTGAAGGACTTTGACGATTTGTAGCCCTTGGTGTCTCGATAACACTTTAATTCGCCCCGGCCTTGGAACAGTTACACCCACAGATTAAGGTTTTAAAAACTCAGCGAGTGCAACTCTCAACAGATGGTGACCATAAGACCTACAGAGAAACTAAGTGAAGACAAACAGACCAGACCCCGTATTCTCCTCGTCGTCACTAATTTCTTTGTTTGTGTGATTTCATTTTTCAGGATTTCCGCGATTCGGCGATCTTTTACGCTCGCAACCGAAACGTAAGAGACGACACCGAACGATATTTACTGAAGAACAACTCGAACTGCTTGAAGGAACGTTTCAGAAAACTCACTACCCTGATGTTCTCCTTCGGGAGGAACTCGCTATGAAGGTGGACCTTAGAGAAGAACGCGTCGAGGTAAGAACGAAGGGAGAATCTAATTTCGCCTTCATAACATCCAGGCATGCGTGCCCCTAACGCTCTTGTTTAACCACCACAAACAAAAGCTATTGCTTTTAATATTACTTCCACTTAATTCATCCTAACTTGCTTTGTGAAAAGTAAAGAGAGTTGGTAAGCAACTATTTCAGAAGCTATCCCACTTGTTTATCAAAGTGTTTGATATTAACAGAACCGTGCAAAATTACGGAAGCGAAGCGTAAATGCAATTATGGCCTCTCGCCGACTGAAACAGAGGAAACCAAAAAATGGCCCATGACTAGGTAAAATGTATACAATAAAATAAGCGAATGATAACAAACTCCGACCAATTGGCAAGCAAAGGAAGAGTTCCAAATCATATGCTAATTTTCCAGTTTATTTTTCCGATTCCAAAAAAACCATTATGCCTTTAGTACAGTGGCACGTTCAAATCTGTTTTTGTATTGTACAAACATATCTCGACTTACTTGACACTATCGCTGGCTTCTCTAAGGACACCGCGACTCTAATCGTAATAATCGTGGAGTAAATACGATAGCATATTGCTGTCAAAACTTAGAAGATTAATGATTTCTCTAAAATGCCACTAGTGGACGTGGCATGTCCAGAATTTTGAGTGACATGGTCCTTCTGTAGATCTTGAGCTGCAAGCCTGTTCCAACTAAATCAATCCAAAAGTTGTGATATTCTTCATTTTCAACGTGGAAGAATGATACTGGAGATACGTTTTGGTCTTTACTGTTCAGTGGAAAGGGGCGAACAAAGGAGATTATTCAACTTTTATAAGAAGTGTCACTTCGCACAGATACGTGAACACATTGTTTGGAGCAGTGGCCGTGCATAGTCAGGTACAACATCTTTATTAAAAGCACAACGACAAAAACCTAAGGCTTCAAGCAATATTTGTAAACATTCATAATGTTTATCATACTTCTGTTGCATAACTACTAAGATTCTCCAACGAAACTTCAAAAATATTTTAAGAGGACAAGAGTTTCCACGACACGTTGGCGCGCCATTTGCAATCGATCACAGTTGAGGTACACCCACTTTTCTTGGGTATTCATCGATTTGCTAAAGTTCTTTTCCCTAGTTAGGTGATCTTATGAGAAGGCTGTGATCACAGAAGTGATGTTTTATGTTTATAATAAAAAGGATGTTTTGCTAGCGAGAAAGTCAAAGACTAAGATCAACGATCGCTTCGTACTCATAATTTTGCCAACACGATTTACTAAGTGGCGACCAGAAGTCTTGAAGATGTGTGAATTCTCGCGCTTTATAAACCCCGGGTATTAAACTGGTAATTGAATTACGAAAGCCCTACTTAAATTATTCAAATGGAGAGTAAACATTCGGAGCTTTGGTTCTAATCACTTCCTTACAAAAAGAGGTCGTCTTTGCAACTCCATTGATGGGAGAACACAAGCTCAGGGACTCTCAGTCCTGGATAATTTTAAACTGAAGTTTATACCACAGGCTCTAAATGTTGAAGTCGGTTTATTTCAGACTTTGTTCCCTTGATATTCAGTTTATTTCAAAGTTAAATTAATTAAGTATCAGGGAGCATTCCTATGAACAGCAAAGTAACTTATCAAGTGGCTGAGTTTCGACCACGTTCTTCGTCAACAGACAAACAACTTTGGAATTTCCTAGCTTCGTAGAACTTCAATGTGATCCTCAAAGAACGGGAAAAACTCTCATCACGAAAAAATGTTCGTGCGGGTGTTTTTGATCTTTTTTTCTTCATCAATTTTGCGGTAAAATTTAGGAATTAACCAGTTCTCGGAAGACTGTGTTGATGAATTCCTAACAGCGTAATGAGCAAATTCCACCTTGTGTTATAGGTTGGTGTGTGATCCACTGTCTTTCTTGATCTTCTTATGCAAGTAATTCAAATTTTTTTTCCCTGGATAGCTGACAACAAATGATCTAATATAAGGAAAGGTAATTTCTCAAAGGTTTGATTCTTGCGTTCATATCACCAATATCGGTAAATTTTGCTGAACACAAAGATCGAGAGAAATCAAATCTGACAAACATTAACTCGGTTTGTTAAGTCGCACAGCGTTTCTAAATTTACGGCAAACACTGTTCAGATGGTTTTATATTCAGTGAGTCTTCGATGAGGATCATAACATCATATAGTACCATGAAAATCCTAGCTTCTTTTTCGTTTTATCGGTTTTCGTGTTTCGAGTTTCAGTTCCAATCGTATCAAATAGTTTGGTCGATCGAAGGCTGATCGATTTGGACACGAAAGCGGCAATAGTCAGTTGGGATTTCTCTTTTCTTTTCAAGCGACAAAGTATTTGGATTTTCTGTCTGCTTAGATCGAATAATGCTATGAGAAAGTGTTAGGCTCTTCTGGAATCATGTAGACTGGTGTCGCTGCGCACATTCGCTGATCGCTGAGTGAAGCATAATCAGAGCAAGCTAACATAGCTAACAAAACAATCCACGGTGTTGGATCTCAAATCAGTTTTGTGACATCAAAAAGATGTAGAAAAATAATGAATCATGGATTCTCAAGGATCTGTATTGTGTATCAGTTGAGGGATCTACAGTTAACACAACATTAATTATCCACCCCTCGGACGACTGACAAGGAGCCGGACAGAAGTCGTTTCTGCGGGGTGTAGAATAAATTGTGGTTTCGAGTTCAAGTAAGCCGGCAGGACAGATATTAAAAATTTTCACACTTCGATGTTGTGAAAATGGTCCGAGTCTTTAACAGATTTGTGTCTGGGTTAAAATAATTCTATTGTATATGGTGCTAAGTCAATTAAAAGCTTAAACCCAAATTTGTTCATGGGCAAAAGTGCGGTTTAAATAAGTTTGTCAAACAGTTAATTAATGATCGTAAGCTTCGCTTTCCTATTCCAACATCTGTGAGGTTTTCTTTAATTCGCCGTAGTCGTGATGATACAAAACTCTTTGTTAAATGGTATGTACATTAATTCCTTTCTCCATTTTCGCGGCCCAAGGGCTTATTAAGACCTGGTCTTAGAATAATTTGTGTTTAATATTAGTCTCGCAAATCATGGAGTAACCTTGGCAGCTAACCGACTACTTTTGATGCATACAGCTAATCCGCTTAAAACGCAATGTAACTTATCAAACATTGATTTACCAGCTAGTGCTTAACTTACTTGCTGGTGGGTTAGATTTGATTGTAAAAACAAAATTTTTGTCTTAAGAATCCTATTTTGAAAGTTATCACCATAAAAGAACGATATGTCGACTAAAACAATAAGTATATTGATGTTATTGAACATATATTGTGAAGAATTTGGCAGCAGTATCCTTCATCAGCTAACCACTCAAAACAGCAAGTGTAGCAACATTGGGCAATGTTTGCCAACCTTGTCTTTCATGTCTAACATACAGTATCAGAACACTCCCCGAAAACTGGTCAATTTGTAACTATAAGCAGTCATTATGTATCGTCTTGAGGGTGGGGTGGAGGATTTTGGGGATCACTCGTCGCCAATAGAGTATAAAGGAAGGAGTACAGAAAACTGACCGCCAATTCACCTACAAATGAGAGGTGAAATAGAAGATAAAGGATAAATGAACACCAGTCCTAACCACTTTTTCTCGCGTTAAGCTATTACTTTATATTTGAGCGAGGGAATCCGCCTTTTGCAATGAATATACTCAGAATGTACTAGCCCCTTACAATTTCTTCAATGACTCATAGCATTATGTCTCTCGGCAGGTTTGGTTCAAAAATCGTAGAGCAAAATGGAGAAAACAAAAACGGGAAGATCAGGAAGCTAAAAAGAAGAAAACACAAGCTGACTCTACAACAACATCAATACCAATGATTGAAGAGGAAACACCAGTACAGAGCGCAGAAAATGATAGAGACAATTTGAGCGACATACATACACACAAAGAAATCAAGGATTCATGCGCGGTTGCACAGCCTTTTACTGAAACATCCAATCTTGATGCAAACACATCGGGGCGACCGCTGACATAGTAATGACATAAACATATATGTACACTGTATATTAATTCACAAGTAGAAATGCATATTATTTATTGGTCATATGATAATGAGAGTGAAAAGATAAACATTGAAGTCATAGCGTATAAATTGGTTATTAAACATGTACAAAGTCTGTAAGAGTTGATAATATTTTATTGCAGGTTTTATACTTGTTAAGTTTAGTTTAACTTCACTCAGCCTGTTAAGACTTTCGTTTTTAATATGAAAAACAGAAACAGGTCATCAGCTAAATAAAGTAGTTCTTTCTAAAAACATGTGTTACCCGATCATTTAATTATTTCATCCAAGTATCACTGGATCCAGTTCTTACTGTACCTCTTAACTTTCCAAGCAAGTCTTTGTCCCTGGAAAGTACGTTCATCAATCTGGTGCTGACTAATCAAGAGCTAATAGAATATTGGATCATATGCATCTTTGTTAAATTGTAAGGAGGATGAACTTTGGGATTTGCAGTTAGTGGTATTCAGAGCTCGCCAATACTCCTCTCTCATCAAGATTATATTACCTTATTAAAGTAAAAAGAGATTCCAGATACCCCTAAACCCGAAACCCCCAGCCAGGCCTCGATAGTTGCAGACATTTAGACATGACTGGGTCAGTGAAACGAAAGTCTGCAATTATGAAAACATTTCAGACCTGGGTCATTTCCAAGTAGTTTGTGTTGTGTAAAAGACTTCAGCGAAATTTTCACTGCTTTCCACTCACTCTTTAAGGATTATTTTAGTACCCGTTCCAACAAAGAGTTTAGATTGGGATACGCCACAAAAAACCCCTCAACTAAAGAGTTTAGAGTATGTATTTGGCAGAGCTATAAGTGTATGTCTGGTATTGTAGAAAACAGGGAAACAGTTTGTCAATTCACTTCATAACTGCGCACATTTACTAAGGCTTTGGTCATGCGAAGGTCGTTTCACATTTTCAACGCCTCGTGTGGCCACCGACCCGACATACCTCTAATCCTCTGATGTTATAACCTGATGAGGAAGTCGTATGGTCCCCTTCGAGTTGAAATACTCTTCAAATCGACGCATGCTATCACAGTGGCAAGTTCTTGACAGATAATTCCTTTAATCGTTGAGATAAATGCAAAAAAAAAAAAAAAAAAAGGAACAGAAAAAACTGAGGCCAATTTGTTCACTTCTCTTAAGTGGACAAAACCTACTTCACGAGACGCTTATAATTATTGGGCACCAGGTTGATATTTTTATCAGCTATGAGTGGGTATAACCGTTCAACCCGGTGTACCCAGTTAGGGGCATTGACACTTGACTCTCACAGCGCTTCTTGCTCATTGTGTGCTCCATAAATTGGCTCAGACGACCTCGTACTTGGTGCGTGTGGTATCCTGTGAACTGAGAGAGATCAGGCTTTGCAGGGAGGTCAAACTTCCTCCAGGAGGAAAAGTAATCTTCAAATCAAGGTTACAGCACAGTACTTCAGTTGTTGACATGTTAACATGATTATCTGCACCAAGTATGGAAAAACAACATGTAGTTTTTTCGATTGAGGTCACGAAACTCAAAATTAAGGACTGTCATAGGGATGTTGAATGGCCACTTCTGATAACTCTCCACATGGAAGATCTGGTAAACGTAAATGATGAGAAAAAAGTGTATAATAAAACCAAATTAAATCTAAAAGTCTATTGAGAAGGAGCCTTCTGTGTTACGCTGATGAGCATCAGGCGTATTTAAAATCATCGAAAAAAAAAGGTGGGTAAACTACAACCTCCGTGAAACAGTAATTAAAAACGCTGAATATCTTTCTAAAAATTTAATGTATTTTTAAAGTAAGGCCGCTAGGAAAAAGAACCACAGAAATCCTTTCATGAAATCATAAATCATTGAAGTAAGATAGATTATCCACTTTGACAAGGAAAACAAACTTAATTTTGTATGATTCAAGACCAAAAATAATACCCCGAAATATTACAAAGCGAGATAAAATACGATCGCTTTATCCTAAACGTTTCTCATGCCTGTTAGAGAAAATCTCCAGCCTCTATAATATTCCTTTCCCATCTCAGATCCTTTTCCTCCCTTTACAATACCTTCATTTATATAGAGGAGTTGTATGGCTGAAAATATTTCGGCTAAAATCATTGATATAGAGGTAATCATAGGAAATGACATATCATTTTTTTTGACAATTCTTAAATATCATCACTCAATGCTCGATTCCTTTTGAAACCTCCGCGCTTTCGAGGCTCTGTTATCATATTCAGTCATAGGTGTGTGACTGTTTGCTCCCTTAACAAACTTCTTTTGTTTTCTACCATATGAGAAAGTTAACGTGGTAGTTAGAACTAGAAGATTTAAAATAAGCATAACGCTTATCTATTCATCAACAGTTAAAACTATAGTTTAATCCCCTTTTTCAGCTGGTTTCCTACATGGCTGGTCCAGAGGCCAAAAATACTCAGTCATTCTACTTTTCTACTGAAACGTTTAAAATAGGGCTAGCTTTTAAGGCTATCAGTCACGCGCATGACAAAAGTGATAACGCAGAGAATATACCTGGCTTACAAGAATGTCTCGCTGATAAGGGACCAGAGGATTTTGTAGGGATCACGTGGCTTTCAGAGGGAATGGAGTGGGGATCAGTAGACACCAACCGACCCTTAAGGGAGAACTATAGAAAACTAACTGCCTATGAGGGAATATCATAGGGCCTTATGTGGGATCCGGTAAATTTACCGTGACAGAGACAAATCCTAATAATACGCCGCCCCCACTCTCCGTGTGATAAGTTTCTGAAATAGCCAATACTTTTAGAAGTCCTCCACAAATTACTCAAATATCTTTATCAAATAATATAATCTCTGAAAAGTCGCTTTCAATGATTTATCATATACAAACGGCATCAACAGAAACAGGAACTAACACGAAATATCAAATGCAAAGAAAACATTCCCAGAAGTCTTATGCTGAGTTTCTGGCTGTGCTCCTAATGGTATTTTATCAGAGATCAACACATACAATCTGTACAAAGGCAGATCCAGTGCATTATAATTTGATATGGCCTCTTTATTAACCTATTGTCTCTTGCATCGCGTGGTATTTTTAGCTATTTTGGCACTGATGTCCTCACCTTTCAACTAACATCAGATCATATGTCTGATTATAGGATTTACGATCATGACAGGGAATTCAAACGGTAGAGTCATTAAGTAATATCAATGCCTGTGTTAAAGAGAAATTTTTTGAGTACAAAAACAGTGAATGATATTTCTATACATGAACTGGTATCAAGTAAAATAAAGCTTGGGGTTTGGATTAAGGTGTATAACTGCGGCTTGCCTCTCGAAATGGCGCGACTTCTACCAGCACGTTCAGATAAGCAGAGTGGGGCTTTCACTTATGGGATATAAAGGAAGCGTTTAAGTAGTCTCAGTGACAGGGTTTAGTTTGCTTAACCTTCCATATGAATGTGTAGACAACAATGGTTGTTCATTGTTATTATCCATTTGATTGCATGCAGCCATGCAGTGAAATTATGTCAGCTTTGAAACTTAGTGCGTCAAGCATACGTGAGACTTATCCCTCTGTTCGTTCTTTCCTTCAACTGTAAGAGAATTCCTTTTCGTATTTTCAGGATGTCGGGCAATCGCTTGAACTTCACTCAGCATATGATATTAAATAGAAGGGAAAATACAATTCTGGAAGAGAATTCAATTAGTAATGGGTGGTCCTGGGTCGATAAGTTTATCTCTTACCGGTGGTGCCTATACTTAGTCTGTAACGACAATCATTTACTCTGGTTTCATTTCCTTCAACGAGCATGTAAACTGATTGATTAAAAGCGCAGATATAGTACATACTACGCTTTCACAAAAGAATTACCTCTGTTGCACTCAATTACTTCCGGCCGGTTATGATAAACATGAATGCATGTGTTGCACGAAACCCACTCATTGCATTTTTCACACGCCTTCCTAAACTAGTTCAAAATGTATCAATGATCACGTGCCTTAAAAGACATCTGCACGCACGTGTTTGAGACATATCAAAGATACAAAGCATGCTAGGGTTTTACAAAATCGAAAATAGTTGGAAAGGGAACAAAGCAGACCATCATTGACCACGCCCAGTTTCCGACCAGTTCTTTGTTAGGCGCCAACAAGACTCCGTTTCATTGCGCCAAAACTGGTAACAACAGCTTAAGAGCTAAGAGCTTCTCTCAGAAACGTGCAAGAATTCAAAAGAATTCAGTTAAATATAATGAATGACTGAAGAGATGTTTTCATCTAAAACAATGGAAAGCAATTAAACTACCACCTTACTTGTTTTATTTCTTGGCATATGTCAATGGAATATAAATTTGTGTGTTAAAACCCTAATCGAACCACTATGAACAACGATCACTTTTATACATTAATCAATGTTTTTGGGGTTACAAAGTAAGGGCGTTCTAAAATTATGCCCCATGTTCTACAGATAATATTGAATAAATATTTTCGTTGCATAAAAGACTTTGCTCAAGTTGCTTACTCCGGACGTACAAAGAATTATTTTTGGTTACCCAAATGTCAAGAAGATCACATCGCACAAATCGGATTATTCCATAGTGATGACTGTTTTATACGTGACTCGGGATTAAGCGAGTAAGACTTAATAGCCTTTCATACTGGATAGGCTTAAAAACAGATTACTTGGTAAAAAAAAGCCCGTGGGCACGGTCGCTTGTTCTTAAAAATGATCCATCATCTTGTTTAACGTTTTCCAAATAGAAGCATGAAAGATATTTATAACTGTATGACGAGTCGAAAGAATCCTTATCAATCAAGTGTCCCCAAAACAAGACATATACCGAAAAATGTTCACGTTCGGCCGACGCAACACGCAAACGGAAATGTTTAGGTGTCTCAAAACGTTGACAATTACAAATGTCTTCCGGCCATCAATAACCACACTGATTAAAGTCATGCAAAGAAAAGCGCTGCAACAAGGGACCAGTCATTGTCTTTTGGGGGGAGGGGTTGTGGGTTTGGGAGGATTTTAGATGAGTCATGATAAAAATTTACCTGATCCCTTTATAGGGCTCTGTGATATTCTTCAAGTCCCCTTCTCCCTCATTGGTAGTTGATTTGTAGTCAATTTCCCACAGCCGCCCCCCCATATCCTCTGTTAGCAACGACTGATCCTCCTCCTGTTCTCCCTTAATATTTTGTGATCCACCCTTAAAGTCCTCCACCTAGCCCCCCCCCCTCCCCCATCCTACAAAGATTAATAATTACTAGTCCCTTAAGGCTTCGCGTTCATTTGCAATGATCCTACAGACTTTGTGCCAGGAGCCCATGAACTTCTGCTTTCTGTAACGTAACTTAGGAAAAGAAACGCAAAGGATTCTATCAAAACAATACGTTCCAGTTGTTCTATCCAATCAGAAAACTGACTCGTTAGCACGTTCGCCACAAGAGTCACAGCGAGTCTAGTGGGCAACTGACCCTTTAAAGAGTAAACGCGGGCTCGGTCTCAATTGGGAATATGTGTTGGTAATCCATTCCATGGCCTTGAAACGTCAGGTGTACTGTATGCTCCGATTTGATCCTGAAGTCTCGTTATAGGGTAATAACCTTTCTCTTATTATCCTCTCTTCATTCACGTCATTGAACTTGACCCAGTTTACGGTATACATAACAATCGCAGCAATCAACGCCACGCCGCCTGTGACGTAAAAAGATACATTGTAACTTTTTGAGGCGTCAAAAATCCATCCAACCATGGGTGGGCCTAATGTTTTGGGAAACGCCATTAAACAATATAAAGCACCTATGGCATGCCCAACGTTTTTCACACCAACAATGTCACGCGTTATAACAGGCAGTAACATCTCGTAACAACCGTCGCACACACCAAACGTGAACGCGTACACGGCTATCCACTCGTATTTCGTTGCCATTGTTACAGCAGACGTAGAAATAGCTATGCATAGTAAGGTGGCTGGACAAACTTTAACGCGGTTGAACTGAGGGTAATCACATAGCGCACCAAGCGCCAGACTTCCCAGCAAACCTCCGATTGCTAAGTAACCCGTCAGGAATGATGCGCTAGATTTGGTGACTCCTTTATCTTCTGCGAAGCGAACCTAAAAACCAATCAGAGAAGTGGTTAGCGAGTGAGGCCATATCCCTACAACGCAAATAGTCACTGTTACCTGGCACAGAATGCTAGAAAGTTGTGTGGCCAACAACTTGCACGGGGAGCAGAACAAAGAGACTAATGCTAGTTGACAATTTTTAATACCCCTCTTTGTTAAGAAAGTCAGGAAAGCAAGAAGCTTCGTCTTTGACTCGTAAAAACAATATTCATTGATCACTAGTAGCTCTGCTTGCTTCACGATCTCCCTCGCCTTACAACTTTACTGCGGTCATGAAGGGCGTTTCAACCGTGACACTAGATTTATGTATATTTAAATTAAAAAGATCTTACCAAATGGACGAAAGGCACAAGAAACACCACCATAAAGATGCATTGCGCCACAACCCATATAATATATGCTTTGCTCCTGAAAAAACTCAAGTAGAATTCTCTGTTTTGTGGTTGTTGATTTCTCCTTGTTGCCGAGGAGACAGGGGAAAACGTCAAGGCGCTCAGAAGCATCAAACTCTGAAGACCCGCAAGAATCCGAAAGGTAGTCGAGACGCCAAATTTGGAAGACAGCTTCTCAATTATTGGGCCATATACAAGAGTCCCAGATGCAGCTCCTGCCAAAGCTATTCCCGAAACAAGAGCCAAGCGCCTTTGAAAATACTTCGTTAGCATTACCAGCGAGGGGAATAAGCCGAGACTTGCCCCCAAACCCCAGACAACTCCATAGGTTGCATAAAGCGGTGCAAGTGTTGTTGCGAAGGAACTGGCCAGGAGGCCTACGGCAGACACAAAAGATCCAATGATGACAACCAATCGGCTTCCGAAACGTTCTGCGAGAGAGGTGCCCACAGCAGAGAACAGATACATCATACTGGACGCCAGCGAGGCAACCCAAGCTATGAAGGGAGACAAAGTTACTCTTTTGACTGTTTGGTGTGAAATAATCAACGATTGAGTTCCGCCAGCCATCTTATATAGGAGCGCGCCAGTTAGATTTTCGCCCTTGGGATGCGTGCAGTGTGATTCGGGATAGAGAATTCTTGTGGGTGGTTTCGGAAATCTAAGGGGAAAGTTGGGTTGTAACACAGTATCCTAACGTAATCGACTCATCTTCATCTCTGGAAAATTTTGAATGGTATATCTTTTACCTGTCTCTCCTCTTGATGTAGAATATTTTTCCATCAAAGCATCATAAACCACTCCCGCGCAGTTTTGTTGTCCAACAGTCAGGAAGTTCACCATAAACACACCCAGACAGACGACCCATCCCCAACCTCCGTCGGGAAGAGGATGACTACCATTTGTTTCTGCCACTTTCTGTTTTGAAGGTGCATTAGAAACATCAAACTTTTCTTCATAGTTGTTGCACGCCATTTTCACGTTTTCCCTGATTGTTTTTAGTCTGAATTAACTGCAAAGATAAATTCACAGATCAAGAGTTAAGCCTATTATACCTTAGCAGAAGTTTAGAGAAGGGATTGCTTGACGATTCAGAAAGAACTTTAAGATGAACGGCCTTCAAGTTGAGGACAAGGGAAACAAACAAGAAACCTGTTAACTGGCGCATGGCAGTTGAGAACTATATCTTTCAACAATTGCCTTCTTTGTATAATTATTGCTGCTCGCTAATGCTCGCAGCAACACTATTCTTGACTTTCCGCGTGGGGCCTATATATATATATGCGTTCAACATATGTGTTCAACACTCGATTCATTGCAATGTGACTTTCGTTCGCTCGATGGCGATGATTTTGAAGATGCAGTATTAGTAGTATTAGTAGTTGTTGAATTGTGCGTGCGTAGCTCACAAGGTCCCATAATCCTACCATCAAGCCCTCGAGAATTCAATAGTCGACCAGAACTGTTTTTGTATTTATTTTTGAACCGATCTATCATGTCAAATGCAATTCTATCAATCGCTGGAACTATTCATCAAGGTCACGAACGATTTAGTGACATTTCCAGGGGAAGACAACGCCCGTTTATGAGTTTTTCAGCGTTGTTGTGTGCACAATCATGTCTAGTGCGGCACTGGGATACTGCTGACCAAATTTTAATCGAAGGAGACAGGATGTACTTAAGTGCACTTGAAAGTCAAAATATTCCAGATACAGAGACGTTGTTACATCCTATTAATAGTTCAATTTAGGTTACTTTTTAAATAACAAGAGAATTACCCACTTATCGTGGAATCATGCAATAATTTATATAAACAGTTGATGACAGATATTTCAAATTACCTTCATATTACTTAAACCCCATTAGTCGTTAAGTCCACATTACTTGTTCGGTTACAAGAGAGCTATCCATTTGTTGATTTATTTTCTAACAAATCAATTACAGGTAAGAAAATTTTGATGAGATGTTAAAGCACCTAGAATTGAATTCAAAACAACTCACTATGGCTTGAGCTTTTAGATACTTAGATATCCTGATAACATACAGTTTCATATATGTTATATAGCTTCTAAAATGAATTAGTGATTTCCTTGTGTTCTTGTTCTCTCCAAGAAATGTTAATTTAAAAGACAAACCAATCACAGATATGTGAAATTGCCATCGTATAGCTCTTTCTGGTTCCTGTTACTTGTTGAATTCTAAAGAGCAATATTAACATAACTACTTACATTTCAATAAAAGCTAAGTTTTTTCGTTTGTCTCACGATGTAGTCACGTGTGATGTAGATCGCGACGTTTCGACTGCATACTGCTAGTCTTCTTCGGGCGATGAAGTCGACTGGTCATGCGTGATCCTATAAAGCATGATGCTCTGTTGTGATTAGTTGTTTTTTCAACAGCTATGATTGGTGCATTTCGATCCTTGCTGTTCACTCAGTGATTTGCTCCCTCGGCGGTCCGCTATCACACGGCTCTCTTGTTGTTGTGTTTTTTGATCGTGGACATCCACGCTTCTGGAATTTCTATTCCACTATCCCTGTTGATGTTTTTAGGGCGAAGTCTTATATGAATTGCCTCTTTAATTGACCCAAAGACTAGCAGTATGCAGTCGAAACGTCGCGATCTACATCACAAGTGACTACATCGTGAGACAAACGAAAAAACTGAGCTTTTATTGTGATTCACCACGATGAATAACCACAACCTTTTCTACGAAATATTTACATTTCGTTGTTAGTGTTCACACAATGACCAAAATCCAGAACAAAAGGAAATGAAAATACCGTAAACATTGCAGAGGCTATTTGCCTTTACTATCAGTGTTTCATTTTGCTTTGATTTACATGACAAATCGTAAGTAATGTAACTTGAAAAAATCTGCTACGTAATTTTAGTTGACTTTGGCAATACTTTTTGTAAATGTATGGTTGTGCAAATAATGCTTGTTGTCGTTGCGTATTTCGTTCGTCCCCTTGCACCACTTAACTTGTCATTAGCAACCACTAGTCATAATAATAGCAATCTCGAGGTAGCATCGTAGTGTCACGCAACACTGTATATTTTCTGAAGAGAGAATCTATATTTTGTTGTCAAGAATGAATTCGAATTTGGTTCGGTTCTGCTTAAGTTCTTTTGTGTGGCTGCAATAGTATTTTCTTCTTTTTTGTTCTTTATTCTTGTGCCTCACGTCGCACGGTTCACTTTCTCAGCAGAATGACAATAATGCAACCACAGACAGAGACAAATCTGGTGAAATACTGCCGACAACACCACGCTGGGAGAAGTTGCAGCAACCATTCGGTTCGTTTTAAAAACAGCAACTTAACCGAGAATATCCAATCACTACGGCGGAACTTTTTCCGCCCTAAAAAGGCTTGAGATGTGGAAAACTCGCCGCAAGAAAACTCGTTGCAATGACTTGAACTGCAGTCACACTGAGCGATCTGTCGAGGCGACCTGTCACAATGAATTGTGTTGCCACCTCTATTCCTTTGCGCTTTGACGCACAGGAACTTTGGGATGTTACCTCATGAACAGACTAAAATTTTAGGTTGTAAGTCAGTAAAACTGCTTTATTTTATTCCAATGCTGCCTATTGTTGTACAATCTATGATGTTTCATTTACATGCAGACCTACCTTAAAGCGGACTTAAACGGCTAAATTCAGAAAATCCAGATGCTGGTTTGCCCAATACCCTGCTCCTTTTCCAATTTGTGTTCCAAGAGTACGGTCGAGTTTCATCCACAACAATTTACCCGTAATGAGAACAAATGAGTGTTCTTACCCAAGCCTTGTTCGCTTTTGCACACGCGAAGAATTACGCCAGACAAGCTTTCTTAGGAAATTGGGTCATTGTTCCAGTAATAAATTGCGTAACTCCTTACAATGCATTACAAGACACCCTCGGAATGTCCCACGAGACCACGACTCAAAAGTTCAAATAACGCATTTGAAAAAATAGCTTGAATGAAAATCTTGTGTGACTCGTAGGTTTATTTATGATAACAGACAACGAATACCTTGCATTATTACAATACCTTTAAAATATTACCAAAAAAAATGGGTGCTCGATTCCCACGATCCGGGACTGCCATATTCTTTGGATTGTCGCACGATTGGATTGTCACGTAATGTCACGAAAAATACCACAGCATTAATGATTATTTGCGTGAATTGTAGCGGCTGAAATTATTTACAAACTAATTTTGTTTTCAATTTGATGATAATGTGCGGTGGAAGATTGTATGAATTTGAAAACGGGGCCTATTACAATGCTTTTCGTTTACATAATTTGGTGCCCGGCCCTGACTGGATGATGACATTCTTTTTGGCTAAGTCTACGAAATCGAATTTTGTAAATTATCCGAAATTTATTCTGGAATTTCCAGACCTCCTATCGATAGCTCTTCATTACTATGCCACTTACCTTATGATAATTAAGATTATCGACAGAACCACATGTGTTTTAAAAGACGCCAAATCAAGCCATTGATTGCTGTTTCTTTCAGGATACCAGACAGGTATGTCAAAGGCGTATTCTTTTCTTTTGTTATTGTATACGGAAGAGGAGTAAATTGATGGATGATAATTACTTTAAAACGGTGAAAAACTCCGTGACAACCAACTGTCTGAGAAAATGCTCCGTAGGTAAAATTTGCACGAGCATTAGGATAACATTAAGTTTTCTCTCTGTGCAAGTCAAGTGAAAAATACGCGGGGAAAAAGCGGATAAAAAGGGGATACAATATCACAGAAACTTAAAACGTACCTGAAAAGGAAAAGTTCGCTTTATTGTGCAGACGACACTAATTCTGATGATTTTATTCATCAGGGGAAAAAAAAAAAAGGCTAAATGCATATTTAATTGCTGGTGGTGCGGGATTGTTTTGGTTAAAAAACTGCCCTGAAGGGAAAAAAAATTAAGTTATTACTTTGCCTCAAGACCCCAATGACTAAACTACAACTACGACTTCCATGAAACAGTAATTAACAACGCTGAATATCTTTCTGAAAATTTAATGCATTTTTAAAGTAAGGCCGCTAGGAAAAAGAACCACAGAAATCTTCTTAAGAAATCGTAAATCACTGAGGTTACATTAATTATCCCCTTTGACAAGGAAAACAAACTTGCTTTTGCATGATTCAAGACCGAAAATAATACCCCGAAATATTACAAAGCGAGATAAAATACGACCGCTTTATCCTAAACGTTTCTCATACCTGTTAGAGAAAATCTCCAGCTTCTATAATATTCCTTTCCCATCTCAGATCCTTTTCCTCTCTTTACAATACCTTCATTTATATAGAGGAGCTGTATGGCTGAAAATATTTCGGCTAAAATCATTGATATAGAGGTAATCAGAGGAAATGATATATCATTTTTTTTTGACAATTTTTAAATATCACCATTCAATGCTCTGTTTCTTTTGAAACCTCCGCGCTTTCGAGGCTCTATTATCATATTCAGTCATAGGTGTGTGACTGTTTGCTCCCTTAACAAACTTCTTTTGTTTTCTGCCGTATGAGAAAGTTTACGTGGTAGTTAGAACTAGAAGATTTAAAACAAGCAGAACGTTTATCGATTCAACAACAGTTAAAAGCTCCTGTAAAAATGATAGTTTAATCCCCTTTTCCAGAGTTTCCTACATGGCCGGCATAAAGGCCAATTATACTCAGTAATTCTACTGACATTCCCAGAAGTCTTATGCTGAGTTTCTGGCTGTGCTCCTAATGGTATTTATCAGAGATCAACACATACAATCTGTACAAAGGCAGATCCAGTGCATTATAATTTGATATGGCCTCTTTATTAACCTATTGTCTCTTGCATCGCGTGGTATTTTTAGCTATTTTGGCACTGATGTTCTCGCCTTTCAACTAACATCACATCATACGTCTAATTATAGGATTTACGATCATGACAGGGAATTCAAACGGTAGAGTCACAATCTCGAGGGAGTTGTACCAAAAAATAGCCTGTGTTAAAGAGAAACTTTTTAACCCTTGAGTACAAAAAAAAGTGGATGATATTTCTATACATGAACTGGTGTCCAGTAAAATAGAAAATTAAAGTGTATAACTGCGGCTTGCCTCTCGAAATGGCGCGACTTCTACCAGCACGTTCAGATAAGCAGAGTAGGGCTTTCACTTGTGGGATATAAAGGAAG